AAAATAAATAAAAGAAGAAATTATTTCTTCTGATATTTATTATTAGAGAAGTATTTCATACATTAAAAGTAGTCTTCTCTGAAGAATCTGTCATCTGTTACTACAATTCAGAATGTAGAATATATCTGAAAATAAATACTTCAGAATATGCTACAGGTATAATATTACTAGAGCTATTTGATAACAGATGACATTCAGTTATCTACTGATTATTCAAGTTTGACCAGAGCCAACAAGTCTATAATACATCAAATAAGAAGATATTAGCTATTATTTAAGTATTTGTTTATTGGCAGTAGTACTTAAAAGAAATAAAATATTCTGTAGAGATTATTACAGATTATGCAAATTTTTATTTATTTATAAAGTTTATAAACAAGATAGCACAATAATAATATATAAGATAGATAGAGATTCTCAGAGCATATAATTTTGAAATTCTCTATTATTCTGAAAAGTATAATTCAGCTGATATATTATCACAAAGGTCAGATTATATCAAACTAAAAGAAAGCATTAGTCTGTCAACATATATATTTAAATAATATTATATGAATGATGTTCTAGAGTGAAACTTATTTGAAGAAACTTTCTTTAATAAAAAAGATATTCAAGTACATACTGCTTGTGCTATTTAAAGCAGTAGAGTAGAAATGATGCAGAAAAGATCTAATAACATCAAAATAGTTAAGTCAGTTCAGAGAGCACCAGCCAGAGATTGTAAGAATTTGCCGCGAACCTCTTACACAGACAAACAGCACCTGCAAGGGCCAGAGAGCTTGGCTTGTAAGCTGCTAGGAGTTGCATGTGTCCTTGTGAGGTACTAAGTCATGTGCTCACAAGCATATATAAAAGACTGTCACTGCATGAATCTCTTGCTGGGAGCCAGTGGCAATCTTGTTTACAAGTTGTACATAGTTGCCAGAATACAGATCTTTTACCTCACATACTCTTTTTCCATGTATATTCCTTCTAGAGATTCATTGTCACACTGATCCACACATACAATTCTCACAGAGATGCAGAAGAGACTTAATAAAGAAATTACAGAAGATTTTGAATTTCTTATATATATATAAATATAGTAATAAAAGATGAAAGGATTTATAATAAATTAACTATACGCATGTTAAATCCGCTGCTAAAGATACAAAAAGATAATCTCTCTATGCAAGCAAGATTCATTAAGACAGAATTTTAGTAGTCAGAGTGAAAAATAGATAAACAAGATCTTTTAATAAAAAGTAACAAAATCTATATTTTTAATAATCTAACTTTAAGACAGAAACTACTACAAGTCTACTATAATAATTTATTTGTAAATTACTTTAGTATGGCAAAGGTATTTGTCTGACATCAGCAAAAATATAATTAGTAATTAATAAGATAAGATATTCAGATGTATATATACAAATATTAAACCCACTAACAAGAGAAGACTCTAATATACAAACTATATAGACTGCTTGCATTATTACTAATATTTAACAGTCTTTGATATTTAATATCTATAAACTTTATAACAGATCTTTCTTTAAGTAAAAAGAAGAGAAATTTATACAATATAATTCTGATTATTGTAAATTAATTACAAAGCTTGCATGTTTTCTTGTGTGTAAAAAGAAAATTAATACATCAGAGATAGTAAATGTTTTGTTCAGAAAAGTATTTAAAGACTTCAGATTTTTAAATAATATTATTTCAGACTGGGAATCTGTTTTCACAAGTGAATACTGGTCAGAGCTATATTTTTATATAAAAGTTAAATAAAAACTTAGTATAGTATTTCATTCATAAATAAATAGTTAAACAGAGACACTGAACAAGATCTTGAAGAAATATCTTTATATCTATTATAGTTATAGACAAGTTAATTAGAAAAAGTAGCTTGTATATGCAGAATTTGCATACAACAGATTAGAATACTTTATAATACACATGTCTCTGTTTAAAGTAATATACAGCTTTGAATCTAGAAAATCAGATAATATTCAGAAGTTAACTGATAATAATACACAGATAATATTCAACAGAAGATTAAGAATAATCTCTGTGTTAAGAAATAGTCTGATAAAATATTTGACAAAGATAAAAAAAAATTAAGTACAGTTCTATAATTAAATATATCAAGATAAGATATATGTATCTGATAATAAAGTAATATTATTATTAAGAAATCTACAAATAATATACTCTTGTAAGAAGTTAAATAACAAGTATTATAAATCTTTCTTAGTTATAGAGATTATAGAAAATAACACATATCAGCTGAAGCTCTCTCTAAGCTATCAGGTCTATAATATTTTCCATGTCTTATTGTTGAAATTATATTATACAAGAAAGAATAAGACACTAGTGTATTCTTTTGCAGTACTGGTAAATAATTATCATGAGTAAGAAGTAGATAAAATCTTAGACAACAAGATGTGCTATCATAAGAAATGTTATCTAGTAAAGTAAAAAGAATTCTCTATTAAGAAATTAATATAAGAATCTGAGAAAAATCTCAAAAACACACAAGAGACTCTTAAGAATTATCTAAAAAGAAGATGTAACTACCAGAAGATGAATAAATTTATATATAAGAAGAAAAATAAATATAATAAAGGACAAGTCTAAATATCAAGACATGTCTATAAAATCAAGAAGTTAATAGTAAGAAGAGGTACTACAAAAGCATCTAGGACAAAGCTGTAATAGTAGCAAGCTAGTTATAGATAAACAAGATTAAGAAATCACAGGTATATTTGATATAACTACTAATAAAATCATAATATAAAATACAGCTACAGAAGAAGATAAAACAGACAAATAATTATAAAAAGAACAAAGTATTTTTATAATACTTTGAAAACCAGAAGAAACAGCATTAATTAAATAATTAATAAAAGATATAAGATTAGTCTAAGTAGAAGGTAGTTTAAGAATAAGTAAAGATAATAAAAAAAATCTACAAGACTAGTTTCTGTGCTATTTTAAAAAGTTTTAATCTTACTTATTAAATAAGTGATAAAATAATCAAGCAAAATATAAATATTTCTAATCTTATTTTTAACTTAAGACAACATAACATAACCTGAACTTAATAAATAAAGAACTTCAGACAGATTATTCTTAATAGATCTGATTTTAAACACAAGATTTACAGTCTTAGTTTATTAAAGTAAACTAGAATAATAATATTTTAAAAAAGATCTGTTGAAAACTAAAGTGACTTGATAATAATAATATTTTGCAACTTTGAAGTCAAGATTACAGAACTCTTGTATCAAGATACTTATACATTTTATATTATATAGATAGTAAGAATCTGCAGTATTAAAAAATTAATACTTCTTATGAAGATATAAGTGCCAACAGACAATATTAAAAGTAGATTTAAGTATCTACAATTATATTAGATTAACAAGAAAGAACAAATAAAAATACACTTATATTATAATAAGTATAAATTTAGTACTTTAAATAATAAGCACAAGATTTTTTTTCAGAGTCTTATATATAAGACTTTGCTTTATCCAAATAATTTGTAAACATTGAATATATATATATTGAGCAGAAAAATATTTTCTCTTCAGCATCAGAGACAGAATTCTTTAAAGAAGACATGATAATAAAAAACAGCTTAAAAAATTAATAATACTTTTATCAAGATATGGTAGAAGAAGAAGAAAAAAAGAATAAGAATAAGAAAATCTTTATTTATATTTGTATTATAATATACTAAAGTTACTAGTTCTATAACTTGTTAATAAACAATATAATAACAGACAACAGATAATATAGTAATCAGACAAGCAAATAAACAAAAAAATAAGTATGTAATAAAACACTGAACTTTTATTAAAAAAAACAATTACTGTTCTACAACAAAAAAGTCTACTATAACTAGTAGTGATATGCATGTAGAATATCTATATAAATAAGCAGTAGAAATGCAGAAGCTTATACATTCAAGAATCTATAATACTTTACCAATAATAGAGAAGCTACAACAACAATATATAAAAAATTACTTTGATAGCTTTATGTCTTAAAGTCTGAGATCTCTGAAGAAAGAGATAGTGTTACAGATATAGATCTAGACTAACAAAGTATTAGATGATGTTAAATATTCAGGAGTACTCATATAACTCTAACTCTGAATATATAAGAATTATATAATTTATATGAATCATGAGAACCTTAGCATTCAGTCTTCCAGTTAAAAGACTCTTACATTTTACACATAACTTTCTCCTATTAGTTGTGGGCATTGGACCTACTTAGCTCTTTTATACCCTATTCTGGAAAAACTCATATAATCTATGACTGGTTCTCTTAACAAGTCTATACAAAACTTGATTAGTTTGATTCTTCTTTATAAATTTAATACAATAGGACTGAGAATTCTGATTTTATAAGTCTAGTTTCACTATAGACCTGGCTGAAACAGAAAATAGAAGTTTAGCTTCTCTGCTAGAATAGAATGTAGGATATAATTTTCTATTTAAAAATGGGACTGGGAAATAATTTATAGAATAAAAATAGAAATGGGACTTCAAGCTCTTGAGTAAGATGGGACATGGGACTGAGATTTCATATTTGGAATCCTGGCTGTTTCTAAATTCAGGATCACCTTCAATGCGAAATAGGATCCTGTCCTGGTCCCAAATACCAGCCTATTCTGAATTCTATATATTTTAAACCCTTTATACATGCATTGTAAATATATGGTTGATCTATGGTTTCAAGCTTGCAATCTGTGGTTCAACAGGTTGCATCAGATAAACATTTTCTGATGGTTGCCTGAAAAGCCCATTTTTCCGGTATGGCGACTTGGTATGGTCACGTGAATTGGACAGCTGCGATGACTAATCACGCTACTAGAGTGCCTGACATCAGCGGATTCCGTGACCAGGCGGAGGCCTGCGAACCGCAACGGAGCTCTGGGATACTCAAAGGGATGGCAGATCGTATTACGACCTCTCCACTCTCCAAATAACTTCTCATCTTCCTCTTGCTACTTTCATAGCCGAATCTTTTCGCGAGGACCGTCCGTTTCCAATTCCAGACATGGACGACTCGGAGCACCGTCTCTTCCGCTTCTCCAAACCAGGATGGCTGAATAGCGCCAACGCTCGCACTGCAGGTGTTTATTCCTCCGGTGCTCTGGTATGTATCTGGCTTTCCACTTTAAACAGCACTTCAATCCTCTTCCTCCTTTCCCGTGTCCGCCCGTTCCGTTCGATTCTGGTGCTGTTTACCGCGCTCTAATTCATTCTTCCAACTTGATAGTGCTCCCTCGGATTTTTCTTCTTCATCGATGCGGCGGCTTTTTCCCATAGCTCCAGAAACGGCTCTGTCGTTCACATCAAATTCGTCGACTGGATCCCCGGTATCTGTTCTTCGCTCGGGATGCTTGTGATCAACTCGATCGAGAAATCCCGGTTAACCGCAGATAGCCTTAGCTACTTTGGTAGTGGGGTAGCTTGGAAAGTGCGATTTGTATTATTTTTAGGATTCGCGTTGCTGGCTGGTGGTCTAGCAGGGAGCGTGGTATGTTTTTTGAAATGTTGCTTAAGCATATTTATGTGAAACCCTGGTCAATGCTGACCGTGTTACTAGACTGTTATGGTTCTTAAGTATATCATTAAAGGATACCCGTTGCAGACGCTTTACTTTGGAATTGCCAATGTGATTGCGAATGGCTTGATTATGGTCAGGTAGGACTCTTTCCTTTTACTTTTTAATTTCAGTCTTTGTCGTTGAGAAGAATTTCGGACAGCTGACATTAATGTCGCATAGCTCTGCGGTCCTCTGGATTTCGCAAAACATGGAAGATGACTATACATACAGTCTTGCGCTCTGAGTTTAGGACTGATATGCCTTTACCGCCCTCGCCATGCTAATATCCACTATCTTTGCTTTGTCCTTTTGTGTACATCCGCTCTCTCTTGCATTCGTTAAAGATGACCTTTTATGTCCGGCTGTCACTCTAAGTGTATTTTTGCGGAGCATTCGGAGTTTGCAGGCGTTCCGTTCAGAGCTTTGTATACTCTAGTTTCGGATTTTAAACACCATTGAAAACATATATACTCATGGATTACTGATAAACTTGTGCCTGGTATTTACATTCAGCATTTATTCGAGCAGCTCCTCAATAACTCGAAAATCAGTGTCTAGCGGAAACCAGCTGGTTTATTGCCGGTAACATCACATCACATCTCCTTACAGAGTACGGAATACCATCTCCTTGGAATGACCCAACGCCCAAAGCAGCAATGCCGTTCACCCATCTAATCAAAATGCAATGATTTCTTTTGCCCAACCTCCTCAAGCCCATGATGCAAATATAGGAAATACGCAAAACTTTATATATGTGAAAAGTAAATAGGAGAAGAAAAAGTTGTCATGCAGGAATCTCTTTCAATTTATTCATAATCGCATCTATACGGTCCATGTCAGCAGCGTTCATCTTTTCACCCTCGGAGACATAGTCAGCTGGCAAAAGTTTTTGCAGCTCATCAAGTGAAGGTTGGTGATTCCGCACGGCAGATGATAATGCATAAATGGCCTTGCGGCGAACAGTTGTATCCGGATCCGTTTTTGCCAATGAGAGCAGTTTGGGAACCGCTTTAAAGTCGAGAAGCTATACGTCCACCCTGGTTAGTGATTACACGGAGGACAGAGAAGAAGGCGGGCGGGGGGCGAATCAAAGGTTGTCGAGCAAACCCACCTTATTTTGTGCCATCTCATTGTTCTGCACCGCCGTCCCAATACACCACGCCGCCATCTTTCTCATCTGCGGCTCCGCATCGCTGAGCGCCTCTACCAGCGGCGTCCACAGCCCCAGCACCCCCATATTATTCGCATTATCAAGGTTCTCAATCAATTGCTCAAAGTTGTCGAATGCGATGAGCTTGTTTTCGAGCGTGGCGAAGTCGTCGCTGACCACTTCCATGGCGGCTTTCATGAGGTCTGCGTCGGAGGGGGCATTGCTAAGCAGGCGCTGGAGAGCCTGTGTGTCCAGGCGGTCGAGGGAGCGCTCTTGTTTGACTTGCTCTGGATCGTCGGGCTGAGCGGGCACGGAGTTTTCGATACTCCATTTGAGGAGGTTGTTCATGTGAGAGTCCATGGTGTCTTGTTCCTGTTTGCTCTTTCTTTCTTTCTTTCTTTTTTTTTTTTTTCCAGTTTAGATTCTTCGTAGATGCACTTGATCTTCCCGGGCTTTATCAGCGGAACCTGGATTGAACTGAGAGGAAATTAGGAGTGAAATACGGTGGTAGGTTTGTTTAGCGGCGGTCAATTATTTTTCGATGATGGCATGGACGAAGAGGCTCAAACGTGGAAGCTTATCGAAGGTCATAGCGGCATCTAGAACGCCCGACCAAGCTAAAAGGATTCGACCAGGACGCACGTCCGTCTTGATGCCACCATGGAGCTATATCTCCGTCGTTTCTACGGAGTACCCTGTACGGAGTTCTTTTCTGTTATGCGGCGAGGCTGCTACAGTAGGGTGTGTCTATTATTAACTTTCTTTGTGGGCTTGCCAATCCGTGCTCCGCTGTTACATACCCACCACGGCGAAACTGTGCTCATTTCAAGGCTATCTGAAGCTTTTGCTCTATCTGAGGTGGTTGAAAGAAGGTTCTGGGCTCATGCAATGGTTAATCCCTCCCTCCCCTGCAGGGAAAATGCTGCGTTTCACTTGAAAACAAAATGGATGCTTGTTTCCAATTACCCCCCGCCTCCCCTGCTCTCAACTTCCACAGAGCTAGGCTTCTGGCCAGATAATTTGCTTTCAGCTAGCCGTCCGTGGCAGTTAGTAACTTTGGTTCCCACATGCCGAATTAACTGAGCAGGCGCGGGCATCGGCCATTGTCATTCCGGGGGAAAAAAAAAAAAAAAAAGAAAAAAAGAAAAAAAGAAAAAAAGAAAAAAAGAAAAATATCAACGCAAAGCCGCGTGCTAGACAATTTCATTAAGCAGTACTCTATGGTCACCAGAGGATTGTAGAGCCGCGATATTCCAGATGGGGCCCAACAAAAGCAAAATAAACGGCCCAGCAAGGGTTCTGCGAATCAAACAGCCCAAAATTCCAGTTCCCGACGGTATAAAATAGCCTGGGAGGGGTAAAATCCAATGGTGCCTGATTGGTCTTTCAGACGGAGGCATGCTACATAATTTTGGACGAACCGCTGCGGTCACACATGGGTGCATGTTGCGGTGGAAATTTCCCTTCCTCACTACGTCGGCATGGGATGAATTGCGCGCGCGCGTCTCCCAGCGTAAACCCGCGAGCACCACGAAGGTCAGCCGACTGGTGCTCTCCAACCTCAGGGACTTCGCGATGGGTTTTGCCGATGCCTGCGGCTTAGGGTCTTCTGCAAGTCCTTGGATAGAACCACGAGTTGCCCGCGCCAAGAACTTTTTGTTTCTATTTTGGCGCACACGCGTCGCTTGTGCCACCGGAACCATTGACTTCGAGATGGTGGAGGGGCAATCCAGGGCTGCGAGGGGCCGTTTATCCTCGTGGCGAAAAGAGTCCTTGGTACGAATGATGCCGGTTGAGCGAGGCAGACGGATTTAAATATTTTTGCCTGAGAAAGCACACGTATGTGGTATCCGCAGGTCTGAGTTGGCCGAATTGGCGAGCTGTCAGGGAAATCTGTAACAAGTGTCAGCTTCTTGAACATTTTGAGTTTCGGGACTCTCAGCAGTGCTTGTGGAAGCTTATCACGTAAAAAAATCTCGAGATGTATCGGTAGAACAGAGAGATAAAAAAAAGGTACCCTGGACTCGAGAGATAAAAAAAAAAAGGGGCACCCTGGACTCGATTGGATTCTTCGAATGCCACTCATTCCAGCTGCTTGATGCTGGAGGCACCAGCATTCCGGTGACTTGAACAATGTACGTGGGCCCGGCTGAGGTGGATTTTTGTAAGAAGCTGGGCCTCCCGTATCTCCGGGGCCGCACAGTCCGTGCTGCGCTGGCCTCTTGCTGGGGAAAATCAAGGCGGCAACATTCTCGGATCGGGGAGCGGGAAGATGTCGTCGTCACGCAAAAAGACAAAGCAGTCACAAGAGCGGGAAAGAAAAGAAGAAGAGATGGAGCCTGGAGGAATTGCTGTCGCCTGGGGATTGAGAGTGCGTAGACACGACAGAGACAGCGCTGTCGCTCTGTGGTGAACCGTGCGTGTGGGAGTTTTTGCTGGGTTTTGACGAAGTACTGAGTACAGAGGGCGGCGGTGGGAGTTGCCCCTGCTGGCCAAGTCACCAGTACCAAGCCACGCAAGACGGCGAGCTACTAGTACATAACTTTAACCTTCCCCTCTCCGAGCCCCCTTCCAACCCTTCAAAATTCTGTGTCTTTCTCTCGTCGTCTCTCGCTCCACTTCATCTTCCTTCCAACAACCCATCAACCACAAACCACAACAAACCCCCCCCCTTCGACCACCATCCACCACCCTTCCCCATATTCCACCATCTCCCCTTCGCGCTCCCCATCTTTCTTTTCTCTCGCCTGTACAGTACGCCGCTGCTCTACAGGCTCTCCTTTTGCTGCTTCGATTCACAACGTACATTTTCAGTAATCTTTAGTTTGCTTTTTCGCCGTCTCCCACCACCATGGAAGGTAAGGCACCCTGGACCTCAACCTGGGTCTCGCCCAACGTCTCCCCAATCTGCATCGCGTCTCGACGCTGAGAACTGAGGGCTAACATCGTCTCTCCGGCCGCTACAGAAGAAGTTGCTGCTCTCGTTATCGACAATGGGTATGTCTCCTGCCCCTTGGGCGCCCGCCCCGACCGACCGACCGTCGTCCCAGTTCGCTCCCACTTCCACTCGCACCTCAGCCCCACCCTCCCCCCAAACCGCCGACACGATCCCCCATTTCCCACACAGGACGCTGTTGTCTGCTGCAGATGTGTGCTGACGCTTCGCTTCTAGCTCTGGTATGTGCAAGGCCGGTTTCGCCGGTGACGATGCTCCGCGAGCTGTTTTCCGTAAGTGCCTCCCCAACACAAACACTCAGGTCTTTCATCGAGTATTATACCAACCCTTGACCTCTGCCATCAACGAAAACTAACGCAGCTCACAGCATCCATCGTCGGCCGTCCTCGCCATCATGGGTAAATACACACACAACCCCCCTCCCCCCCCCCCCCCCTCTTCGCTTTTTCAATCCAATTTTGAACCGGCAGATCAAACTTACATGTGTTTCCAGTATCATGATTGGTATGGGCCAGAAGGATTCCTATGTTGGTGATGAGGCACAATCAAAGCGTGGTATCTTAACCCTCAGATACCCAATCGAGCACGGTGTCGTCACGAACTGGGATGACATGGAGAAGATCTGGCATCACACCTTCTACAACGAACTGCGTGTCGCCCCCGAGGAGCACCCAGTCCTCTTGACCGAGGCTCCGATCAACCCCAAGTCCAACCGTGAGAAGATGACACAGATCGTGTTCGAAACCTTCAACGCCCCCGCTTTCTATGTCTCCATTCAAGCCGTTCTCTCTCTCTATGCCTCCGGTCGTACCACCGGTATCGTGCTTGACTCCGGCGACGGTGTCACCCACGTTGTCCCCATCTATGAGGGTTTCGCTCTTCCACACGCCATCTCCCGTATCGACATGGCTGGCCGTGATCTTACCGACTACCTCATGAAGATCTTGGCAGAGCGTGGATACAGCTTCTCCACCACTGCCGAGCGTGAAATCGTCCGTGACATCAAGGAGAAGCTCTGCTATGTCGCTTTGGACTTCCAGCAAGAGATCCAGACCGCTTCCCAGAGCTCCAGCTTGGAGAGATCCTATGAGCTTCCTGACGGTCAAGTCATCACTATTGGCAACGAGCGATTCCGTGCCCCCGAGGCCCTGTTCCAGCCAAGCGTCTTGGGTCTCGAAAGCGGTGGTATCCACGCCACCACCTACAACGCCATCATGAAGTGCGATGTCGACGTCCGAAGGGATCTCTACGGAAACATCGTCATGGTAAGACAGCCCGCTTCGAACCCTCCTATTTGCTTCACACAGTTCTGTCTGTGCGCTAACCTTGTATGTAGTCTGGCGGCACAACCATGTACCCCGGTATTGCCGATCGTATGCAGAAGGAAATCACTGCTCTTGCTCCTTCGTCGATGAAGGTTAAGATCATCGCTCCTCCAGAGCGCAAATACTCCGTCTGGATCGGTGGTTCCATCCTGGCCTCGCTCTCCACCTTCCAGCAAATGTGGATCTCCAAGCAAGAATACGATGAGTCTGGTCCTTCCATTGTCCACCGCAAGTGCTTCTAAGGTGTTGTGCGAATTCGGGAGTAAAAGGTTTTAGGAGAATCACCAGCCAATATCTTTTCGTGACAAGAGGCCTGTGGCAACTCTTAGTCAAATTTGGGTTGATTAGGTAGAGGCGCCATTACTCCATTCTCGAGCCCATTATTTGTTTCCTCACACACTCCACGGTATCGAGTTTAGCTAGCCGTTGTTATCCAACAGCTTTATCTTAAAGTCTTTATTCCCTTGCAAAAAATATTTCCTCTTAGCTTCTTTGTGTATTTCAAGCTGGTCAAAAATGGAAGTTTCCAAATGGTCTCGCACTCCTTTTAAAAAAAGACTGAGGCATAGAGAGTACTGGGTTCAGATCCCCACAAAGGCACTATCAATTGATATTACGCTATGTGCCCATTTTACGTTGTAGCCTTGGAAGGCAGTAGTAATCTCATCCATTTTGAGAATATAGCCTCCATTTCTTGAACCAATACCCCTTTTTTACAAATTTAACCATCCAAGTGCTTCATGCTATAAAGGTAGAACCAGTGGAGTGCTAGCATAGTGAGATATCACAGCTGCAAAAATGGTTTCCTATCTTTGCCTAGAATGCCTCAAAGTCATCTTGCATGCTGTCCGAAGAGTGAGAGGGTAACGCAGGAGAGGAGTGACTACATCAACGGTTCTCATCAAGCTAAATTATTATAAGACTATATAGAGTAAAAACATAGCGGTAGCAGTAGCTGTTAGTACAAAGGATAACCACTCCCGGAACATTGGTTGAACGGAACCCCAAACACTCCCTCCTCTCCCTGTTCAACCTTCAACTTAGGGTGAACGTGGCGAAACTAATTGATCTCTTCATTCGAGTACTTTTGGGCGAACATCCCAAGGGCCTTCAGCGTAAAGCTGAATTTGTAGTTCGGGTAGGTGATCATGGTGCTCTTGTTGAAGACGCCTTCGATGGCTTCCTGCTTCCACTCGCCATTGGGCTGCTGTCTGTCCATTATCAGCTTGACACCGCGTCGCAACGGCTCGACATCAGGGTAGCCGGCGTTCATCAGGCCAATCAGTGCCCATGCTGTCATCACGACCTGAGAGCCTGAGGGGTGTTCGATATATTCGTGTCTCTCGCAGGACTGTTATTGTATAGAGTAGTCAGTTTGATGGATGGATGCTTTTGGGAGAGACTGGGAGAAGGGGGAAGGGGGTGGTTCTATGGAGTGAAATGCGAAGAAAAGTCTCACCCTATAACTCTCACTCCAGCCACCATCTGGACGCTGTTTGGAAAGCAAGAACTCGCATCCGCGCTTCGCGTGCTCGCTAGTTGCGTAGGTTTCGCCCACTAGCGAAAGACTCTCCAATGCAAACATGGTGGCATAGGTGAAACAAATGCCCCAGTTACCGTACCAACCCCCATGGGGATACTGTACCGTCTTGATCCAGGCAACAGCACGGTCGACAAAGGAGCGAATCTCCGCAGCTCGGTAGTCTGGCCAGTAATGACTGAATAACGAGAGTGTTGTCACCACGGCTGTCGTGCACTCCGGATAGTCGTACTCGACCATGATGTTCTCAAACACCTCTGCAGCGTTGAGCAATTCAACCCAGTGAGGCCCTCGTCTCCGCTCATAAGATGCACAGCCACCAGTGCTGTTCTGGTAGGTCAAGAGTACATCAATGGCGTCGAATATACGTCGATCCTCGAGTAGCTGGGGGATTCCTGGCGTCTTTTGCAGTAGGATAACGGATTTCAGAGCTTCTGCGACACAATCGCTGACTGGATATCCCTGCCATCGGTTGCTGAAAGCCCAGCCGCCCTTGCGAGGATGTCTGTATTCTCGATACTGGCGTGGGACTTCTTCTCTTATCTGCTGGTCATCCAGGAACTGAAGAGCCTTGAGTAGCATCGGACGCCATTTGTCGTCTTGCGCTAGGCCTGCTTCGATAACGGCCTGGATAGTGAAGGCTGTGTCCCAGCACTGAATTCCGTTGGTTCCGTTGCAGAACATGCCTTCATGATTCACCCACATATTTTCCGCGATCCCTTGACGAGCCTGCTTGAACTCGTACGAGTCCGGCCCCTTGCTAGCAAAGTACACAACCATGTTCATCGGGCCGTTCGCAGGAGCCAGTCCCAAGTAATGAGTATTCTCGCTTTCCATGTCCACCATCTCGGCAACCCACCTCTCGGCCTTGTCCGCCAAAAAGTTCGGCCTGAGGTACGGCTGCCACACGTTCACCAGCACCCAGTTTGCCGTGTTCAAGAGCCATGACTTGGGATGAAAATTATCAATATTAGAAATCGAGTTTCTGTGAGCGGCCCAGTTTATTTCTTCCCAAGGCTGCACGAACATCTCCTTCCGCAATTCCCGAACGAGCTCGGTCTCCCTCATCACCCATCGCTTTGAATACAGCCACGACATAGCCAGATAGATGTATCTGATGTGCACCCACCAGCGCCATGGGTGGAACGGCAACCAGTCCGGAAGTAGCCATGCCTCTGGCGGACACGGGTTAACAATATCCCACTTCACAACGCCCATCAGAGCCAACCAGAATTTGGTCCAATGGGGCGCGTGAGTGGCACCTCCCAGCCTGTGCAGGGTTCCGCGCGCCTTGACCATCGCAGGGTGGTCTGCGTCGACGCCAACGATGCGCAGAACCGCGTAGTTGAAGGCAGTTCCGAGCACGCTGCTCTCTGCCTCGGTGTGAAGCCCCCAGCCGCCGTCTTCAGGGTTGGCACGAGCAAAGAGATAGTTCTTGATCTCGACACGGTGGGACCAGGGAATGGGCGTCTCTGTCACGTACCATGTGATGACAACGCCTGCAAGAAGGAACATGGGACCGCCATACTCGCATGCCCAGTTGCCGGGGGGTAATTGAAGCTTGGAGAAGAACGAAAGGCCGTTGTCCACAGCTTCCAGAGGCTTCTTGGCCTTCGGAAGATCAGGCAGGTCCTGGTACGGGTAGTCAATTAACAGGTAAACAGAGTGTTGAATGAAAGAGTTGTGGTCGTTTTTTTGAACTTACAGTTGGGAGGTTCAGGTACCATCGGTCGGCAAGCGTCTGCGGCCATTTCTTTGCCTCCTCTTCGTCTAGGTAATGCCACGATTGCCGGCCCTCGACAGCACGCATTCGCCATAGACGGGGATCGCTTCGAGCTTCAGGAAATCCCGGATCCATAGAGCCATTGGAAACACCATTGGCGTCGGAATGTTCGGCTAACGCGGACGTACGCGCAGCCTCTCCCGGCATTGCTGTTGGGAATGAGCGCGTAAGTTGTGTAAAAGTGCACACAGGCAACCAACTGCCAAATGATTATAAAAGCCACGAAAAGATCGATTCTTCAGGCTGCCTATCCATGCACGGATTATTGATGAAAGCCTGTGGTTTAACTACGGGGGTGTCGAGCAGTTGTGGGCCGGCACGCGCTGTTGATTGAAACCGCCTTCCACGGAGTACCCCTAACAACGAACTAGTTAACTAGTAACCTGGCTAACCAACTACTAAAAACCAACTTACTAGCGGCTCAGCAGGACCAGTTCACAATCCAACCGAGCCGTTATCCGACCTTCTTGCAATATCGCTTCCCATCCTTGTTACACGAAGGCAGCACGGCGAGGTCTACACATAGGTAACACATATGCAGATGAAACGGTTCCGACTTGTGTGTTGGCCCGGAGTCACCCGAAAAAAAAGACTTCCCTCTTCCGAATGAGTAACATGAATGAGAATGGCAAGATATTCAGACATATGTGTAATCAGGGGATTCTCAGTCAAATCTCATGGTAATTACTGATGTAGTTATCATTTATTAAAGAGCAGAAATTTCTTCTAGTTATAGAGTCGAGACATTGGCGAAAACCTCCTACTTAAGTACCCGTAAATGAAACCCAGTGCTAAAAAAAAATGCTGATGATGAACATAGAAAAATGGGGGCAAGAAAAGAAAAGAAAAGATAGGTGAGACAAAGCTGCCGCAGAACCTCCCCAAGGGGTATATATGCGCCGGAGACATTTAAGAAGTCATAATCATCTAGAAGATCTAGTCTATACTTTATGCGTTGCTTCTCGTTGTTGTTGTTGTTGATCCTGCGCACTGTTGAATTTTCCCAGTGGGAATTTGATGAAGGTTGTCTCTGGCAACATGATACCAGATGAACCAGCGTAGAAGGCCAGGAATGCGCAGACCACCGAGACCGCACCGCCGGTCTTATTAACCGCGATAGCAGCGTCCGGGTGTTCGGTAGCGATGAAATTTGCGAGCGAGAGGAAGAAGAAAGCAAGGACAAGAGTCGTGAAGACCGAGACGATGGCGATGTTGGTCCGGAGAGCGGCCAGGAGGAACAGGAAAGTCAAGAAGCACCACAGGATGAGATAGATGGCGACGGCGAAGGAGAAGGCGCGCTCGTCACCCTTGTAGGCTGCCTTGATCCCGAGTGTGGGAACGTGGAACATGGCGTAGCTGAGCCAGAATGCACCGTACGAGATGTGCACGGTGGTACCGAAGGTGTTGCCAACGCGGAATTCCATCAGGCCGGCAAGGAGTTGCGCTAGCCCACCCATGAAGATGGCAAGGCCGAAGATGGCAGCGTCCGGGCCAATGTCGCCTCGTGGGTTGCTACCAGGGAGACTATTTCAAGCAAGATCAGTGTGAGGACTCGCCACCAAAACATATTTGGCTTCCTCAGTGTCATGGCTTACCCTGCACCGCATTGATAGAGCCCCAAAACGAAAGTGGTAATTGCAAAAGACAGCAAACCCAGTGGACCGGGGTTGGCAAGCTTCTCGAAGGGAGGATGGGGCACCTGCGAAACTGTGAAGAGCCGCGGTTGCTCGCCATCTTTCACCAAGAAAGGGCTTTGATGCACGCTGGAGTTCCCATTCAGGGACCCGGTGTCGTAGAATTGCACCCCCTGTCCTAGAGCAGGAGCCAGTCCATTCTCGCTATGGTGTTCGAAAGACATATTTTTGTTCTTGAGACTAATAGTTCTCGAGGCAGCCGAAACGGGACCTGACCTGAAGCTTTGTCGGGAATGAGGAACGGAGGAATAAAGAAAAAAGAAAGGAGAGAGAGAGAGAGGGGATGATGGGAGGGAGGAGGACGGGGATAAATGTCAGGAATCTCGCCGTTTAAACCCTCTCCGGGCTTAACGCAATTAGAATTTCCCCAGTTTTACTCTTGCGATATCCTTGGTTGAACGCATCGCCGGAATTTAGTGGAGATTTTGAAAAGATACGGCATTTTCCTAACAAAATTCCCGGGGGTACTCCGTAAGAAACAGAGTGAGGCAAGGCCCAAAAGAAGATTTCTAGTGCACTGCGCGGAGTCTGGGTCGAGAATCTGGGAAATGTCCATTGGCCACCCGTGGGTGGAGGCAAAAGCGTCTTTTTCGAGTGTTATCGGCAGGCAATTTGTTGAGCGTCTGCTAACTCTCGTTGTAGACAGCGGCTACGGGAAGAATCTTCGGGTAATTGAAGATGATGGAGATGATGCCTGGCAGGTCGTGCACGATGGTCTCTTGAGCATAATTGAGGCGGAATATTCGCCCGAGCGGAACTGCGACTCTAAAACGAGGGTCATAGTTGATAAATGACCTGGGGTATGGAGTACTCCATACTCCATACTGCGTCCATAAAATGTATCCTCCCCGTCCATCCACTGGCCACTGTGGAGATCTCGTGCTCTCCGCGAGAGTTGCTGGGGGCCACTCTCATCTGGATCAGTTACAGAGTACAGTCGCCCTCAGCGTGTGCCTTTTCGGCGGTGTTTAATGGAAGCTTCCCAGTATTCCCAGGTGACGTGATTAGGTAGTTTGTCACAGACCCACGTTACAAGCAGATCAAGGCACCACACTCTGCCTGGCTAAACCACTCCGATTTTTCGTCGCAGATCATGTTGAAACAAGAGCTTTGTAGACTGGCTATTCCCTACTTAGGCATACATCGTAAAAAAGGCCGCCGTGTTACCACGTGTAGGCCTGCGGGACGCCGGATGTCCAAGGGCATCACGGCTTGTCAGGGAAAGCTTCCAGAACGGCCACGTCAAAAGCGTCATCCATGGGTCGAGCAGCACCCTGAAGGAACTCATGTGGATATTTCTCGGGGACCTTGCACCTCTCCAGGCGGAGATCGCAAACTTTGAAAGGGCTCGTGCAACCTGCGCGGATAGAGGTCCCAAGGAACCTTCACATGTGGCAACAACGTGAGATGCTTCTCCTTTTTTTTCCCCTTTTCGACTTACCATCTCTTATCAAAGGTGGTGAGATATCCGCGCTTTATATTTCGTAATCTGCAGAAACAATAAATTCTGAAATGTGAGCAGTATCCGTTGATAAGGGTGTCTTGTCTCTCCCTACGTCGCCGGCCATTTTAAAGCTTGAAGAGAACTGGGTCAGATCCATGGGGCTCGGACCGGATGTGTGGATGCCAGTCCATCTGGGTCGGCATATTCAGTCGGCAATGGTTCGTCGTGGGCATATCACGTTCTCCAGCTCGCTCACTCACCGGACAGGATAGACATCTGGATGACATGTACTCACCAGTGCTCACCGTGGTTTAAGAGCCCTGATACGCTGGCGCGCAGAGGCTCCGGCTGGGTTTCTGCGTGCAAGCGGCGGTCGGATGGCGTTTTGATCGACGACTAGTGAGCCAGCCGGCCGGGCGGGAGGAAGTTTTAGCGAGTTTTACATAACTAACCAACTAGTTAGTTTAACTAGTTACTCCGTGGACACTAGCTAAGTACGCAGTACATGGTGAACTAGTCAGTTAGTTCAGTGCGCTAACCAACTGACCAGTGAGTTAAGGAACTGACCAGTCAAGAGCTTGTACGAAGCATTTCACTCGCCAAGCGATTCTAAAGCTTCCCGGCGGAGCGGTCGCCGAACTGCCCAACTCTCTACAGCGTCACGCGGTCACGATCTTTCGGCGCAGTAGTGTTTGGGATAGGGACGGAGGTCGGAGTGGGAGTTTTTAACTATCCAGATGGAGTTTCAGGTTTGGGGAAAAGAGCTATAGTTAACTGCCTGACTAACTAGTTAACTGTTTAGAGAACGTTCATGAATCGAGAAACAAAGCCAATACAACAAAGGTCGGCCATATTTCTCGTAAGACACATAACTAAGCCATATTCATGAAAAGCCAAAGTTGGGCCCCAACGTGAAACCAAGGTTGAAGATACAACGGAAAGGGGCTAGTTAACTAAGATGTACAAGTTGAAACGAAAGACGGGGATAGCAGTGATGCAGGCAGCTAGCAGCGGGTTTTCCAAATCAACTTGGCATCCCATTCTTGAGGTTATCATAGACCGACTCGGGATAGCTGAGCTCGTTCTCGCGCTGCTCAAGTTTGCCGGTACCTCCCAATCCGTTGACGACCTGGTTGGTGCATTGACTATTAGTATGTCATATCCTAAGCCGCCAATGCAAAGCACTTACGGTTCCAACGAGACTCTCATTTCCTGTCTTGTCGCTGCTGCTCTCCCACCACATTCCACCTCCCATTCCATTCTTCGTAATGTACTCGGCCTTCTTGCCCGCGATCTTAACTGTATCATAGCTGATCAGGTAGCGTTTGTTCTTGTCATAGCTATACGACGCAGCGATATCCTCAAGTTCGGTAACCTGAGCGCCTTGCTGCGGCATGTCTTTGTAGTCCCAGACACCGTTCTCCCAAGAACCTCCGCCAACACCGTTGAAGCTAGTGCCGATCCCATCGGTCGAGGCAAATGCTCGCCCATAGAGTGGCATTCCGAGGACGATCTTATTGGCTGGGACACCTGCTTTGATGTAGTCCTTGACGGCCTTGTCACTGCTAAAAGGTGTGGACTCTGGCTTTGTTGTCGAAGGGAAAACGTTGGACATGTGGCCAGACACTTTGTCCCAGCTGCCGCTGAAGTCGTAAGCCATGAGGTTCCAAAAGTCAAGGTACTTGTCCATCTCGGCTAATTTCAGCTTGTTGTAATTCTGGGGACCTATAGCATGTATTAGGACAGGATTTCCCAGAACACACGGGTGGGCTTGCTAGACTTACCTGCCGGTGAAGCAATAGTGAGCAAGAATTTCTTGCCATTCGGGTGTTTTGCGGAGTACGCGTCGAGTGCCTATACTTTTAGTCAACAATGTATATGTCTTTGTTTTCCCGTTTTGGAATTTGATCATACTTCTCTACATGCTTTGAGTAACAACACAAAATCATTCGCCTGCTTCTCATCTTCGGGGTACTGCTCTCAAGTTAGAAATCGACCCCAAGAATTAATAGCATTCCTTTAAGATGGGGAGAAACCCCAAGCTTACCTCCCAATCGATGTCAATCCCATCAAAGCCAAGGTCCTTCATCAACTTCAGAGATGTGTCAGCGAATTTCTTCCTGCCTTCCTCCGTGCTAGCCGGGGTTTTGAAGTTGGGGGAATAGGTCCATCCTCCAATCGAAAGCAACGTCTTCAAGTTCCGGTTGTTCTTCTTGAGCAAGTACATTTGCTTGGTACAGCCGTAAACGTTTTTTCCCGGCTCGTCCCATTTGTCACCGGGGTAGTGCTTGTCGGTATCTGCCCATGTGTCGGACAGGTACACCTCTCCTGACGGGCGGATATTTGCAAAGGCGTAGAGTATGTGAGTGAACTGATCAGCCTTCAAATCTTGCGGGTTATGACCACGTCCGTAGATCGCCTGGATGTCGTCAGTAACAACCGTCACGGCCGTCACGGTCGAAAGAGTAAACATAAACCTACCCAGTTCACAAAATAAACAACGGAGCGAAAGCCACCTTCCGCCGGAGCCTCGGGGACTGGATAAGAATTGGGCATACTTGACATCGAAGATGCCTGGACAAGAGTTTGGAGAGTAAGTAAAGCGCCAATAAGGAACCTCATTGTGAGATGGAATCTGTCGTCGATCTTGATAATGAAAAAGTGACCAGGAAAGAGGATATAGCCCCAGCTATATGTGCTTTGCGCGATTGATATATATATTCACAAGAATACAGAAGAGGAACACATCTTAGGGTAAATATCAAACCAGGTAATATACAATACACCTGACCACTAAGACATCACGCAAGCCCAATGTAGAATGAGGCCTCATAGAAGGTTTCAGCAGGGATTAGCCGGAGCAATGGATAGATCTCGCGGATGGCAGTGTAAGCAGGTTAATGCAATAGAGAGATCGAATGCAAATGGTCTTTGCCCTCGATGACGGGTGCATCTGTCAGATGGTGGACGATCACCCGCCTGAGAAGTCAAGGTGACCCGCAAGAGTCCGGAGTGGACCCGTTTGGCAAAGAGTAGACGCGCGCGTATGTATGGGGAAACACAAAGGGGATAAAATCAAAAAAAACGCCAAAGGGTAATATGTGCTATCACTGCAGAAGTCTTGATGGACAACATCCATCCTAACGGGTATCGGCCATGCCACAAAAAAAAACGGTAGGATGTCCCACGATGGAGGAGCTCAATCGTGGCCCCGAGATCACGATTGGATTCTAGAACCGCTGCAAATTCACGTTTGAATATACATCTGCGTGTTTCTGAAAGCCAGATGACCAGAGGGATAAGACAGATGCAATCATCTGTCTGAAGCTTTTTCCCGGTTGACCGCCAGAGAACGGTCTTCAAGTAGCCCTTCGCAGTTCCAACAAATCCTCTTTGCCGGTCCAACTACGCAACGGGGGGGAAAGGAGGCCTGGAGGACGCCATCCCTTTCCGCCTCCCACGCGCAAGTGCCTGCCGCTATGACCACCTTCACAGCGTTGTGGGTTGGAGGTGATCTGAGCATGAGATGCCATGAGAACCTTGAACTTCAGAATTTTTCTTTCTGGGTAGGACAAGCAACGAGCAAATATTAAACTTTGGGTTCACCAGCAGTACTGTGCCATCCACGAAGGCCTTGTGGGTCGAAGAAATCTATGGATCGAAGAGGAGGATTCGTCACAAGATGATGTCGACATAAGAGATGTGTCACATTCCTTGAAAATAGTTACAGGCAGACAGCCGGTTTTCTATGTGCTGGGTAGCTAAATGTGTATATAGTGCAAGCACTCTGCATCTCGCTAGTTGTCGCCTTGCAGCAGTGAAGGGCTCTCTAAGCAGTTAGCAGAGAGTAGTCACGTCGGTGGGAGTAAGACTCGAGCAGTGTCTGGACTCATAGCTCGACTTGAACATCGGGAGCCAAAATGAGGCCCGTTCCAGTTGACATTCGAAGTCGCGGGCCGGTTTGGAACGCCTGGTTAAACCCTTAAGTAATCTAGGTACGACTGTGTCACATCATGCCCGAGCATGGGTCCGTTCTGAAGAAAAAGCTCCGTGACCGATGTTTCTGGTTGAGTTATCGCTGTGAAGGTGGCAAACCCCAGTGTCAACCGATCGTTGCAGAAGATCGACACCAGTTGTGCCCACAGGGCGAATATGTAAGAGTCATCAAATCCGGCAGTCTTTCGCAATCAGAGTCTGCTCAAGAAGTAAAGAGAAGACAAAAGGGCCCCGAGCAGCTGGCTTCTCCCTGGATACGTACGTATATCATCGACGGGATGCCATGGACCGACCATACTTGCATTTGCCCTCCGTCCGGCCGGCGCAGGGTGCTGCCAACCTCTCCCGTGCTCGGACGGTGGTGTAGGAATCCTCGTGAGGAGTCGTGCGTTTGTGACAAGAGCTGACCTGCATCTGAAGCTCCGACGTGCAGCCCTGTCGGCGACAGGGAAACATTAGCCGGGCCAAGCAAGGGTCCAGACAGGTCGCGAGCTTCACCCATACCATCTGACAGACAAGGGAAGCACGTTAACTTCTTCCATTTTTGGCGAACGACAGAGCGGACCTGAGCCCAAACTTAAAGCCACGAGATACTTTAACGTTCACCGTCCCATCGCCCTCTCACCGTATCGAGGCGGCTGCTGCCATAGACCGACGACTCTTGATGGACAATCAGGGAGATTCCAATTCATCTATGGAGTACGGAGTGCTCTGTGCATTGCATCCGCTAAATAGGCGAATGCCCGCTGTTAACTACTCGAATAGTTACTCCTAACTTTTCCAAGCCTTTTTTTTTTGGCATTTAGCTACAGACTCCGACGTTCGTCAACCATCCCGGCCATTACTTTCGTCAAAACTTAACCATCATCACTCAAAAAGACGCTGTCACTCATCCCATGTATCCAAGTTCTTAAGCACGCATCCTTCCTTGGACTTATCGCCCTTGTCGGTAAGGGATCCAATAACGAACACCTTTTCTCCCTGCTTTTCCATGTAGCTCTTGATATTGCCTGCCTCTTCCGCAGATACCACCATGACCATTCCGATACCGTTGTTGAGGGCTCTGCCCATTTCAGCTGAACTCACATTGCCCGTCTTCTTGAGCCACTTGAAAACACTGGGTAGCGGCCATGTGGTAACATCAATCTCGGCGCAGAGGTGGTCTGGAAGCGCACGAGGAACATTTTCGACCAAGCCACCACCGGTGATGTGCGCGAGGCCTTTGATAGCACCGGAGGCGAAAGAGCCAAGGGCCGAAAGAAGAGGTTTAACATAAATTCTGGTAGGTGTTAGAAGGGCGGCACCCAAAGATGCTGCAGACGTTTCGAATGGCGCTGGATCCAGGTAGGATAGACCTGACAGGTCCACGATCTTGCGGATCAAGGAGTACCCGTTTGAATGTGGGCCGCTACTGGATAATCCCAGCAGCACATCACCGGCTTTCATCTTCTCTGTAATAGGCAAAATGGCATTTTTGCTTGTATCAATGGCTCCGAGAGCAGCTCCCGCTGCGTCATAGGCGGCATCGACGAAGAGTCCGGGCATTTCAGCTGTCTCTCCACCGACTAGAGCGCACCCTGCTTCAACACAGCCATCTGCAACGCCGGAAACGAATGATGCCGCGGTTTCAACGTCAAGCTTCCCACAGCTATAGCAATCTAAAAATAGTAGCGGCTCAGCGCCTTGCACGACCAAGTCGTTAACATTCATTGCGACCAGGTCAATGCCAACGGTATTGTGGGTTTGCATCTCATGTGCGACCTTGAGCTTTGTGCCCACGCCATCTATGGCAGCGATCAACGTAGGAGAAGCACTGTGGAACCCGGAATTGCAGTCTGCGAGTGAAAACGCACCACCGAATCCGCCAATGACAGCATCGGAACCCGGCCGTTTAGTCCGCGCGACGTTGGTTTTGATTCGATTCACCAGCTCGTTTCCAGCGTCTATGGAGACACCGGCTGAGGCGTAAGTTAGCCCCTCCTTCTGGGAAGAGGAATCTCTAAACGCGCGGTGAGCAATATCTTTGCGATAATACATGCCCTGGAAATGAATGGTTGACATGCCGGAATATGCCTTCTTGACTGCATCTTCTAGGGTACTTGACGTTGCTGTTGCAGCGATAACTCGGCCGCCAGAGGATTTCAAGTGGTTATCAACCATGGTCGTGCCAGCATGGAAAACCAGTGTATCTGATGCCGGAGTATCAAGGGTGATATCTCGGCCTTTTGCATATGACCCGGGGTAACCTTCAGCTACTGCGATGACAGTAGCCGCGAATTTGGGTTCGACCTTGATGGTGACACCGTCAAGCCAGTGCTCTGTACAAGCGACCATTACTTCGGCAAGATCTGTGTCATTGCTGAGAAGGGGGAGTAATGTCTGGGTTTCGGGGTCTCCGCCACGGACGTTGTATTCAAGGACCTTTGGTCCATTTTTCGTCATCATCAGTCCGGTAAAGAGAATACCAACGAATGGGAAACCTGATGCGAACTCAGCTGCTCGTCCCGAAAAAGGCGTATGACGGCTGGAACATACCTTCTTTTCTCATTCCATCAATACTAGGCTTCACGATCGTCGTGTCGATTTCTGCGATGACTTCTTTCGAAGCGATGCGAGTAGGAGCATAACATCCCATTCCTCCCGTATTTGGTCCTTGGTCACCGTCAAAGATTCTCTTGTGATCCTGGGCGGGGGGGAGAGATCGAATGGTATAACCGTCCGAAAAGGTTAGTACGCTCAGCTCATCTCCCTCTAAAAATTCTTCAATGACAACCTCATCTCCTGCTTCGCCGAACTGTCGATCGAGCATAATCTCTTTCAAGGCCTGCAGGGCTTCTTCCTTGTTTTGGGGCATAATAACTCCTTTCCCGGCTGCAAGCCCACTAGCCTTGATGACAACATCATGGTCTATGGAATCTAGATATTCACATGCAGATTTATAATCGTTGAAATTCTGATACCGAGCGGTTGGGATATTGTGACGCTGCATAAAATCCTTAGAAAAAGTTTTGGAGCCCTCCATTCGGGCTGCGGCTTTTGATGGGCCAAAGCATCTTATGCCAACTAAAACACCACGAGTCAGTTCTGTGTTCATGGGGAAAGTAACCCTCGACGACCTACCTGCCTGGAAATACCCCTGGATCCCATCAACCAGGGGAGCCTCCGGCCCGGGAACGACGAGATTGACATTCTCTCTCTGAGCGAAGGAGACCAAGCCCGGATAGTCGTCGGACTTGATCGCAACATTTGATATTTTGGAAGACGCCTTTGCTGCGGTGCCTCCGTTTCCGGGAGCACAGTAAACGGCGTCAACCAGTGAAGACTGGCTAAGTCTCCATGCTAAGGCGTGTTCTCGACCACCGCTGCCGACGACGAGAACACGAAGTCTTTCCTGGAGCATATCGGGTCTGCTCCTCCAGAAGATACTACGGCTCATTATCAGAAATGACTCATTCACCGACAAACGCGTGATATCCCACGCAAAAATGATAGCAATTGGAATAAGTGAATCATAGAACGGCAAGCGTAAGACATTGACAGCTCCTTTGGAGAGAAGACTTGGAACCGCATTGCGGGAAGATATTCGTCGTGGTCTCCTTACAATTAGGGACCAGTTTAAATCATACAACAGCCCTAAAGAAATCCTGAAAGATTCAAGGAAAGGCGCAAAAGGGCAAGGGCAAGGCAGCATACCCGTGAAATCCAAAAGGTATGGAAAACAAGATCACGGCTAATTGTATGAATTTGAACGTGTGGCATGACTCGATGAGGGGTGCGGGGCCATTTCGAGCATCTCTCGAGCTTGGGATGATCGACGAGGTGTGGGAAAAAAAAAAAAAAAAGAGAAAAGAAGTAGAATGAAAAGGCAGACTCACATTACACTTCCACAGTGACTGGTTTGAGGAATCAAATAGAACGCCGCACGTTCAGCTGCTTTACATGCGACTGTCCTTGCTCAAGGTGGGATGAGTGCGCGCGGCACTGAATTATCTTTTTTTTTTTTTTTTTTTCTCTTTTGACTTTTTTTCGTCATTGTGATCCGACCGTATCGGTACGGTATGGAGACAATTGCTTTCCGTTGTTATATGGGTATTTGGCGTATTTGTTTGTACGATAGTGTCATTTATTGATATCAAGTGGTTATCAGTGCAGTACCACCACGCGGTGCAGACACACATTGGTCTACCGTCTGACCCTGCTTTTCAGATCCGAAACCACTGTCTACTTGCATAAAAGAACAGACCCAGTCTTAACTCAACCTCTTCCTACTTCGTCCGGGAATTGAAACTGCGCCAGCCCGCTCAAAGTCTCGCGATGGCAACAAATGTGGATGACATAAGCAAGACCTGCCGATAGCGCCAGTCCAGAATCGGCTAGCGGGCCCCTTCCGCCGTCTTGGCGCCCAATATCGCCGCGTCTGTTTTTTGCGCCCGTTCATGAAAAAAAGTCTCGTCGGAGCCGCCAGAACAACTTTCACAACAATTGCAATCGCGGCTTTTGCTGGTCCATATCTTCTCCTTTTCCCCGGACTCCCTCTCGTCCTGTCTGTTCTTTCTTGCGGTTCTTGTCTTCTTTTCCTTCCTTTTCTTTTCATTTTCCGTGCGTGGTTTTTGGCGTCCCTTTGGTTCCTTATCCTAGCTTGAAGCTCAAGCTCCTTTTCGATTTCTCCATTGCACCCCGTTCGTTTTCGTTGAAATGTTTAGAAAATCCCTTCAAGCCGTTGCAAGGCCGTCCCGCTCATACGTTTGCCTTTTTTGTTTCTCTCGCACCTTTGAACGTTCATTTATCGCGTCGAGCGCTCGCCGTGAGCCCGCAGCCGATGTTCATCCACGCTCTGACCGGAAGGACGGCTTTATTCTTGATACTGCGCCTGTGAGCCATGGAGCGACGAAGTCCGATAAAACTAAGTCCTCCATAAGTCGTCTGCGCCGGGGTGATAAGACACATGTGAGTTCTGCTTTTGTCCCATCTTACTCTGAAGCTCGATCCATGTGCTACGTTGGAGGCTTGATTTAGGACTACGTCGTCTTTGACCAGAGCCACGAAACTAATGTGTACAATTTTTCGCTAGACCTTTAAACCAAAAAATGGTAATCCGACCGGTAGAAGCCTTGAAGAACCATCGCACAATGAAACAAGTTCCGGGGTAACAACAGCCCTCAAGAAGAGAAAGAAGAGAAAAAAGGTGGAAAAATCCTCGGCTACATACCCTCCAGTGCGTTCTGTGCTTTCGGGAAGGGCCAGCCGGAAGTTAACCGGACAAGAAAAAGAGGAAGAATATAGGCAGTCAAAGGACCATGAACGTGTTCCAGCGGATGACCTGTTGCGTTGCCATTCTGGGATTTTAGAGCCTTCAGAAGAGAGTATAAAAGGTAAGGAACCCGTATTCAACAGAGATCCTGTCAAAATTTGTGTGCCTAACAGCATCTAGCTCTGAATGTCGAATCTACGGCTGTGCCCACTCTTGCGTATAATTTAGATCGGGTGCTCTTCAAGTAAGTCTAAAAATCTGGTTAGCATTGTTGGGATCTTGGAGGCTTGCTAATACCTTGTAGCCCAGGTGTTTATCATCTAAGAGACCCAAGGTCTCGTGTGTATAATTTTGACCCTTACCTGAGCACTATCATGCCGGTATCCGAATTCGATTTTGAGGCGCTGGGTTCTTACATCACAAGTTCACGGGACGTTTTTCTTCGCGAAATGGCACAAAAGCATGGCAAAAAATATATTGGGTCGTCCTCCAGTATGACGGGAGTGCTTTCGCACTTCCATTTTCTTCTTTCTGCTTGGCGACCCCTTAAACTGGACACTCTATCTCAGCAATTCTCCGACACAATTCGCAGTTTCACCCGCCTGACAAGAGCTCCGGCTGCCGTGTTCTTGCGGTATAAGGGGGATGGGATTTATGCTATCGACGCCGATAAGGAATTTGATTCTGCCAATATTCTGATGAATCTAGGTAGATCGATGGAAAAGCTGCTTACGATGCCTACGGACGAGTATGAACGTTATCGGCGGACGAACGGTGAGAGGACCCCTCTGGGCGAGGCGGAGCCAGAAACATACCATTATTCAACTTGTGGTGATTTCTTGATGAGAGCACAGCTGGATGCTTATGATCCCCGCCTCCCAGGAACCGGCATGTTTGATCTGAAAACTCGCGCCGTGGTCTCCATTCGTATGGATGCCAAAAACCCGGATAAAGGGATTGGCTATGAGATCAAGGATCGGTTCGGGGATTATGAGTCTTTCGAACGAGAATATTTTGATATGGCTCGCTCAGCCTTCTTGAAGTACTCGCTCCAGGTCCGAGTGGGTCGAATGGATGGGATTTTTGTTGCGTTCCATAATACCCAGCGCATCTTTGGGTTCCAGTATCTGGCCTTGCCAGAAATGGACAGGGCCCTTCACGGCCAAGAAGACGTAGCTTTGGGAGATGCCGAATTCGTGCACAGCATAGCGCTCTGGAACAAGGTTCTGAATGCGGCTACTGCCCAATTCCCGGAACAATCACTACGGTTCCATTTCGAGACTAGGGACGGCGTGGTCCCGTTTATGTACATTTTTGCCGAACCCGTGACGGAGGAGGAGATTGACGAGATACAAACTCGCAACCAGGAGGAGATCGAGAAAATCCAACACAAGCTTCTCTATCCTGAGCTATACGACAAGTCCGAGGGGGCCAGCGACTCGGTCGACGAAGAAGCTAAGCCAGCAGAGGAAGTCAAAGAGGCCGATGGTTCTGAAACCACCAGTCAAGTCTCTGACAAGCCTGTGATGGGAATGATTCTGCGCATCTGCAACAACGTGAACGGGCGAATTGTTCCGCGACCTGAGCGGTTCGTGGCGCAGCACAAGTGGACGGTCGACTACAATTTCGATATTATGTCTGAGACTCGCGGGAAAGCGCTTCTCGCGGCGTGTAAACGGCGTCGAGAAAAATGCCTCTCAGACGCTGCTAATTCGCAAGACGGAGGCTATGGCCACCGCCTGTGGGAAATCAGCAGCAAGGGCCGCAAGTGGCGTAAAGCCCAAGATGCGCTAGATAAGAAGCATGGTATTGTCACTCTGAACGATTGATAGAAGTTCACTAAGTGGAGTTAACGGCGCAGTGGTATGGTTGAGTTGTTTGCTAGCATGAGAGAATAATGTGTCGGTCTTGGGTTCATGGTTTCCCGGCTGCTTCTATATTGGTAGTTTCTCTGAGAGGACTTTTTTTCTTTTCGACGCCACAAAAAAAAAGGGGGGTGGAATGAGGCATCTGTATAATAATAAGGCTTATTAGACGGCAAATACATATAATCGCGACTGCATAGTGACACCTGTTCAAACGATATCTGGCTTCTATCCCAAGTTGAGCGCGACCCAATTTTTTTTTTTCACTTTGCGGGGATTGATGAAAAATGAATTTTTTAAGTACTATTTTCATTGAAGACGAATATCTTTTCTTTTTCTTTTTTAGTTAAGAAGAGAAGATATCGAAGTCTTCTTGACTAAGACAGCACCAATGGTCAAGTGGTATGACGCTTGCCTTCCAAGCAAGCTGCCCGCGTTCGATTCGCGGTTGGTGCAAGATCATTCAGGTTATCTTCTTAGCAACACGCTGAGAATCCCTCTATCTATTTTTTTTTTTTTTTTTTCCCTTTTTTTTTCCCTTCCTTTCGTCTCACCTGAAGATCCTAGTCTCTGGTTTTTGCCACCCGCAAGGACGCGACTATCTTTTGCCCTTCAGCTTGGTTTTGGCGCAACGAAAAGGACGGGCTAACCACGGGGAAAGAGGCCCATCGAGGTGATCTTTGCGTAGCAACTACGAGGATAATAATATGCCTGCATGTGGGATGAAAACCCGGTCGATCTCCAGATCTCAGTTGGCCACGACAGAGTCTTCTAAAGCTGGGATGAGAAGGTGTTTACTCAAAATATGTACTCCGTACTCCGTATGGATTATGCGTGTACCAGGAGAGAAGCTTAGTGGCTGGGTTCAATATTTTCCCTTTTTTTTTTTGAAAAGATGATCGCCGTTTGCTCGGCAAAAAAAACCTTTTTTCTGTATATTTTCTTTTTTTTTCCTTTTTTTTTTTTTCCCTCTCTCTCTTTCTTTTTTCTCCTCTTCCGTCTCTTGGACGATCGGCGGGTTGATATCACGCCTCCACGGACACGTGTCCGACGTCAGATCCTGAAGCAAGAGACAGTTGTACGTTGCGTTCCAGTAACGGCGAAGCAGCCGAAGAGAGAACTGGATGATCAAGATTTGGGTTCGATATGAGATGGTGAGAAGGGGCTTGAAACGCAGACGCAGAGCTAGCTGGCTGGGCTCGATCGCGTCCGAGGGATGATGACTTCGGACGAACGAGACGCGTCCAGGGAACAGACATATCCATGCTCCGTACGGAGTACACCCCCTGTGGAATGCTAATGGATGGACTTTTCTTGGAGATGTTGCTTGACAGGAGAGTGCCACGTTCGGCAGACGAGACTGCAAGCCTCAAGGAACAGAAACTCTAATCTGCCAGCCACAATCTGATGTTGTGCATTAGTTAGACAAAGGCGGTTCTCCCCGCGGAGCGATTTGCATACTACGGAGCATTATTCTTTGAAAAGCGCGCAATTTCGCTGACCAGGGCTCATCCCGGGAGGCAACTAATCAAAGGGAAAGCTGTCGTTAAATCTCGCCTGGCTTGAGAACCATTTTTTGGGGCCTGGCTGCAGAATGCACATGCTTTCCGGCGCAGGGCTTGATTGGCGCAATTCCGGGGAGAATTTGTCATTCGATTGACTTTTCTTTAAGGATCGCTCACTAGAGCGAGTGTGGGTGGAAATCATGCCCCGTAAATAATGATATGTAGTGCGCTCCCACCGCGAGGGTTCGCTCTGATGGCCCCGGTGGGGGTGCAATCGGAGTTTGAGATCTCAGCCAGCCACACTCCGGCCCACTCGCTCGATCCCTCAAGCGAAAAGGAAAGTCTTGATCTCGTCGAGGGATGCCCGGTGCAGCCGAAGGGCCTAACTAAAGGAGTGGGCTGTGGCGGAGGAGAGGGGCCCCTGTTCGACCAGAATTTTGGGTTTCAACTGCGAGAGCATTCTTTTTTTTCTTTCTCTCTTCCTTTCTTTTCTTCCCCCCCCCCCTCTTCCTGGTCCTGTTTTCCTTTTCTTGTCGATTCCCTTGTTCCTTGGTGGTGTTGAGCATGGAGCGGGTGAAGGGTGAAACATGCCTGGCAGTCAATGTCGCCTGCTTCAGTATTGTATCTGTAAAACCAGCGCTGGAGCTCGCTCGGGGGTGGCTTATTCGGTGAGAATCAGCTAGCGTAGCGGTGACATCACGGCGCTCCACCGACGTACCGGTACTGTCAGGGGGCGTACCGTTCAACCCAGAACACGTATTGGACGGGATGAAAAGCATGAACCTGAAACAGCGCTCTGCCGGGTGCGTTTTTTAGCAGCTTTGCTTCAGTCCACGAAACAGCGCATTGTCGATTTTGTTTGTTTCTTTTTCCTTTTTCCCCTTTTCTTTTTTCATTTTTTTTTTTTTTTCTCTGCACTTTTGGTTAGGGACTGCAAGCATTTTCTTGCTGCCATTTTGCACGCAAGGTCGACAATCAAGAGCAGCCTCGGATCTGGGTCGGACGGCGCCGTTCTCCATTTTCCTGCTTGCTGTTGCATCACACCGCCAAGGCACGTCATCGGATGATCCGTATTGTTACCATACGATGTTGGAGCTCTGAGACATGCGGCCTGGGCAGTCCTCAACTGCACAGCGCTTCTTTTCACTCTGTTTCCTCCACGCCCCTCAGATGGATTCTAGGCGAGAATTCTCCTTCTGTCGAGCTGGGCTGCTGTAAGCGTGTACGTGTGTTTGCGTGTTTCCTTTTTTTTTTTTTTTTTTTTTTGCTGTTGAATTGGTATTGTTTTTCTTTTTTTATTTTCGCTTCAAGGGGAGAGTGCCAGGAAACACATACATGCATTCATACATAGACACAGTCTGGGATAGAATGACGTTTTAACAGCGGAGGCATGGCGTGCTGATCCGTTGCTGGCCAACCACCTGGGTTGAACGGGAAATCCTGGAGCGCTCACTCGTTCCTCTTTCCATGACGCCGTGATGCGCCCGTTTGGTTGTCAATAGAATCACAGTTCGGCACTTTTGCTTTCCTTCTTCCGCCTGTATGACTGCTTCTTGTCGCCAGTCTCGATCCCCGGCATTCCACACTAGCTCTGCTGGCGTGAACTTTCCAAAAACATGGCGGAGGATGCTAAGAAGGTCAAACGGAGAAAGAGTTTTAGCTTGCTGTTTGGCTCAACAGGGCTCTTGGGCTCTGACGGCTTTTCCGCCACATCACGGCCAAAGTCGCACGGGCATACTCGATCCACTCCGGATAATTCCCCCCGCCGATGTAATGCTCCTGCTCCCGATCATAATAATGACGGTGATGATGTGTTGGGTGGCAATATAACCAGGCGCCGAAGGGGGAGCCGCCCGACAAGCAGTGGTTCATTCTTTGGGATTATCGGCGTCAAACGCCGTTCTCGAAGCTTTGGTGACAACCTCAACATGAAGAAAACCGGGCCTAGATATGTTAGTCGCGGCAGAGTGTCATCCACTCCTCTGGGGTCCAACGACTGCCCCGTAACTGAGGCAGAAACTCACCTATGGCATCTTCCCCCCGAATCTACCATACGCGCCAGATCTAAATCCCTCCAGAAATCGAAGCGGAATTCTGTGTTTGGCTCCTTTCGCTCGTTGGGCACATCCCTGGATGACGACCAGGTCTCCACCAAAGCACGTTCAAAAGAATCTTCCGGCGAAGAGGACGACTTCGCGGTCTTCTTCGACAGGTTACCCCTTGGCACCACCGTCCTCCACCACGGCGAGGTGCAGACATCGGCGCCAATGTGGAGGAAGAAGAGCCAGTATCTTGTCCTAACGGACACCCATCTCGTACGCTTTAAGAACCGGTCGAAAGCAGCCGAAGCATTCCCTTCCATACCCACCCAATGGGGTCGAAACACGGGCTCCACGTTGACATCGAACCGTCTTTCCGTGGTTTCCCTTGCTTCACTGCAGGATAGTCCACTGCCTGGTGGCGGCGGTGGCGGAGACAGTGGGAGTGGCATCGCGTTGAACAGAATACTTGCTGTGCACAAGCTGGACGATGGGCGGCCTTTCTTCTCTGTTGAGGTTTGCTACATGGAGGACAAATTGTCCAAAGCATCGTCGTTACAGATTCAGCTTACCGATCCTCTCGATGCAGAACTTTGGCGGTCTGGTATTCGAGATGCGGCGACAGAGGCGAGACTGGCGGATCCTGTACCATTCGAAAGGGATACCGTCGAATATATCTCCCGTACACTCGATCAAGAACGTGATTACGACCCGTATTCGATGTCAATGCATCGTGCTGTGCGAAGGCTCCCTGTCAAACAAGGCGGACGTTCCTCGATCGATGACAATATAAAACTTGCTTCCACGCCGTGCTACCTGGTAATAGGAGTCCATAAAATTCATATTCTTCCCTTACCTAAGACGGCCAACCGCGCTTCGATGGTGTCCTTGAGCGAACTCGACATGGGCGAGTCTTATGGTATCCTGTCACTGGCAGCGCTATATATGCAGCGCGGCGATGACGGACTCCAATTGATTTTTCGGTGAGCATTTAATCATCTCTACACGCGAATCTTATTGTCCCAAGGGTCGCAAAAAGACTTACCTTTTTCCTTTTTTTCAAGCCTACCGTTCAAGTCACCAGTACATATACATTTATCTTCGGCCTTTTCGGCGGATATCGCGCTTCACATTCGACAACGGGCTGAGTATTTACGCCCTCAATGGCTTCAACAACCATATACGTTTAACGTTCCCCACTGGCTAGAGGATCAGTTTCCCCCTCCTCCCACCAAGCCCGAAGAAGACGACGGTCACTTCGACCGTACTCTCACGGCATACTGCGCTGCATACGATGTCCACGCCTCTAACATTAGATATTCGATCGATTACTCGTGCGAAGATGCGCCATGCTTTCAGCTAATCCCGCCTGCTGGTTCCAGAGATGGAAAAGGGTATGGCGTTCTTGAACTGTTAGCTGTCATGAAAGCCTTGCGATATAATGAATCTTTCAGAACCATATCTTTCGGAGGTGTTAATTTAGATGTGCTGCAGAACCTGTACGATCCATATGGTTTCGATTACGATGCGATGCGGACACGCTCGAACGTTCCCCTTGAGATTCCCGGGCAGGAGCAAATGTCTGTCTTGACACAGGAGATTCGGGCTTTGGCTTTGAAGAGCAAGGAGCTGAAACGCCTGAATTTCGCATTTTGTCTTACTCGAATTCCAACGACGGGAAAGGGCGAAGTTGACCCCGGATGCGGTATTCCCGAGGCCATATTTCCGCTATGCCGCCGAAGACTTACCAAGGTGGACTGGGTCGTGTTAAATGGCATAAAGCTTGGGGATTCGGATCTGGACTACTTGATCGACGCTGCATCTCAAACAGCATCTAAGCTTCGTGCGCTCGAAATTAGTCACTGTGGAATTTCCATCCATGACCTCGATTTGATATTGTCGACCATGACTGCCCAAGAGGCCACCCTCGAAGCGATCAATATCTCTGGAGTTCAAGGCCGATTGAGTGCTGAATTGTTTCAGCAACAGATTGGCTACTTTGCGCATATCCGCAAGATCAACCTGTCGCACATCTCGCGCAATACCGGCCCTGAACCGCTTATTGCTCCGGAAACCCTGCTCAACTGGGAGTTGGAGGAACTGTCATTGAGTCACACCGTCGTAAATGAAAAGACCGTGGATTCGATCGCGGCATATCTCGCCAGCGAAAAATCAAGCAAGCTACGTGAATTGAGACTTGACCAGTGTGGACTTACCGGAGGAGACGTGGCCACGTTTCTGTACTTTATGATTGACGACAAGGGACGGCCACGAAATATCCATCTTCATGTCAGCGAGAACAGACTACACATCGATTATTCCTTGCTCTTCGAATCAATTGTTCAGAATAAGACTCCAACTCATCTTACGATGAGGATGATGGATTTCCAAAAGGAGGATCATTTTAAACAGCTTATTGAAGCATTGAGGAAAAATAAGTCTTTGAAATACCTGGATATATCGAAAGCTTCGCTTCCTTACGATGCTGGGCCTGAGACGTGCACGGCGTTACAGATGATGTTTGAGGAGAACACGACGGTAGAAGAGTTGGATATCAGCGGGGAATATGCACATCTGGATGTTGCGAGATTTGGGATCGGACTAAATCTTGCATTGACTGGATTGAAGAAGAACAAGACTCTGAAAGTTTTGAGGATTGAGCATCAGAAATTAGGACTGCAAGGAGCTAGTACGCTTGCCTCTGTCTTGGAGGAGAATGACTCTCTTCTTGAAGTGTACTGCGAGAATAACGAAATTAATCTCCAATCTTTTACCGTCTTGATAAACGGGCTGCAGCGAAACAAAACCTTGCTTCACCTTCCATGTATGGATCGGGATCGAGAGCAGATGTTGGAGAAAGTACGGCGTGAGATACAATCGGTTAACAAAGAGTCGAAACGAAGCAATTCAAATGGATCCACAGGAGGGTCTTTTCGCCGGACGATCCAGGCCGCCGTAAACGGCGCCAGTGTGGGCGGTACGAAGTTGACCAAGCCGAGTAAACCTCGCCAGACCAGTTCGTCTTTGATCTCACCTTCTTCCAGCACCGGGACAACTTCAGATTTTACGAATCCCCAAGTTCAGGCAATCCTGAAGTCGTTGAGCGAAAAGTGGGATCTCGAAGTCGAGCGACTTCAGCGCTATCTCTACCGCAATTACAGCCTTAGACATAGAATCAGGCAGGTCGATGAAAATGGAGACGTTATTGATACCTGGGATGCGTTGAGTGATGGCCGTCCGAAAACAGCCACAAGTCTAGCCACGTTTCTAGACCAGTTTGCCTTGGAAACCAACCAGGAACGACTGTTACTAGACAGCGATGCTGAATCCCAGCAACACCCAGAGGCAGAAGTTGGAAGGATGACGCCCCTAAGGCGACCGACATTGCACAAGAAACTCTCCGGTATCTTATCAGCTCCATCCCCCGACCCCAGAAAGCAAAACATCTCCTCGTACGGTCTCCCGTCTTCCACGCAGCTTGGCGGAACAAATGGGAATTCAACCCCGGTTCCGGCTCATCCTCGCCCAATGACGACACGCACTCAAACCAGCACAAGCTTTCTCAGCGGAGTTTCCAGCAACGCCAGCATAAACACGAGCGATGCTTCGGCATTGGGGATTCACAGAACCAGTAACACTTCGAAAGTAACGAGTGCCTCCTCGTCGCTGAGGAGCATACTGACCGCTCGCACGCAGGGGGAAAAGTTTCTTTCGCAGAAGAAGAAGGACAACCGGGTATCAGTGACCTTTGCGCACGCCCCAAGGCTAGAATTGGATTTGCCGAGTTTGGATTTGTCTTAAGATTTTTTTTTTTTTTGAGCGATATATTTTTGACTTCATTCTACGTTGTTCTTTTCTTTTCGCTTCTTCTTCCATTATTATGGGTCAAGATACATCGGAGTTCCAGGGGGGCATGTATTGGTAATTCACATTGGCTAATTTGGGTTGGAAATATATGTGGATGCATTCTTGTTTGGGGAGGGAAAAAAACATGGACGGACGGCTTCGTTGATTATCTGGGTGCATACTTGGGCTCAGTGGCTTTGTGTTTTTCTGTTCAGCCATCTATTTTGAGCGTTCTTCTGCACATATTTAGCTACTGCAGTTATCATTGCCCCTTTTTTTTTTTTTTTTTTTTTTTTTTTGGCAGGCTTGATGTTGAGAGATTTTGACGGCAATCAACTGTACCTGATAAGATTCGGACAGAGGCTAATAATAGTATATAAGCAGGATACTAATATGAATACATAGTATGGTTCTGGAAGATGCAGGTCATCTATTAAATCATAATACAAGGTATATGTATAAATGTCTATGAAAGACTCCTATTCCAATACGTCGTGCACCCATCGGGCACATCATAACGGCGTAGTTCTCATATCCCACAAAAAGCGCCCATGGATAAGCATTTCCCCATTTTTTTTTACACACCCACAACCATCGATCCTCTCACAGCACACCCTTCGTACTCACCACCTCCCCGCCGCCACCGACTTCACCGGCCCCTCTCCTCGTCGTTGCTCCCCTAATTGCCACCGCAACCGCCTTAATTGCACTCTCCGCCCGATGATGATCATTGCTCCCATACATGCAGCCAACATGCAGCGTCACGCCAGCGGTCTGTGCAAAGCTCTCCAGCGCATGGGGGATCATCTCTGTACTCAGGGCACCGATCTTCTCACGCTGTAGACCAAGGTTTATGACGCTGTAGGGTCGCGAGGAGATGTCGATGACGGCCCAGGAGAGGGCCTCGTCGAGGGGTGCATCGCCGCGTGCGAAGCGGACGAGAGAGACGCGCGGGCCCAGGGCGCGGGTGAAAGCGGTGCCTAGGGCGAGGAAGGTGTCTTCGGTGGTGTGGTGGTCGTCAACTGGGGGGAATGGGGGAGTTAGAGCATGAATGGATGTGTATATGGGAAGGAATGAGGGTGCACATACTGATCAAGTCGCCTTTGCATCTGACGGCTAAACTCCAACCGGCATGTTTGGCGAGGGCGTGGAGGAGGTGGTCTAGGAAGCCGATACCGGTGTTGATGGTGATTTGCTGGGTGGATGTGAACTGGGTGGAGTGTGCAGATCCAGGTAAAGGTAATATCTGCGTCGCTTCTTCGGGAGAGTTCTGTGGGAAGTGCTCGCATGGCTCGAAGGGGAGGAGGACGCCGCCGTCGAGGGAGAGGGAGACCTGGACCTTGGTCTCGTTGGTGAGGCGGGTGAGGGAGGTGGTGCGGCGCGGGAGGGCTGCCATCGTGGATATTATTGAATTCTCCCGGTGCTTCAGACTGCTTATGCAATGAGCTGAGATGCAAGTTGTCTCTCTCTCGATCCTGTTAGGCGTTCAATTGCATCGCAAGCTCGACAGCGCGCCGCTCTTCGCCCTTTCATCAAACCGCCCGCAAGAGAAAGACAGCCGGATCAGCGTATTTCCGAGTACCGTCGGAGCAACGATGATCCGGTTGCTGGGATGGAAAAAAAAAAAGGTTCGAAGTTCGCTGCTGAAGGTTTGCTTTGCTTCTGTCGCGGCGACGATTCTGATCCGCGTCTTCTCTCTCGCCGGCTGAAAGCTCCCTGTCGTTTCTGCCAACAAACAGGCACTTACAGACACAGCACGGACTTCGCTGCAGGCCAATTGACATGCACCCACCACCACAACCATCCCCTGTCCCCTCGCATCCCTGTCCCCGCATTCAATGAGACCCTTCAACGTCATTTTCTTTGCAGATCCCAAACTCCCACCGCCGAGCCAACCGCATGGCTCCGTGATCCTCAAAAGAGAACGAAGATAGAGAAAGAAAAGCGATCGGATCGGGTAAAGCATTCCAGACCGCGAACCGGCGATATTTGGGAGCGCCTAAATTGTTAAACTAAACCCCAGTCAGAATGCCGCCTCCGTCAAAGCTCAGAGCAGACGTTGAGCCTCCGGACCAAGTCACGGATGAAGGCATCAAAGGGTTCTTGACCGGTGCAGTGCGGGTACGCTTTCATGTCCGCCCACGCTCTTTTTCTAATGTTTCTCATTTCAAAGAGATCATGTATCCCACAGAATGCGCCTTTTCTTTAACAAAAAATAAAATAAAGGAAAATGGGAAGCATGGGAAGCCGGGGTAACGATAGAAAGAAGAAAATGGGTTCGCTAATCTGTAATATCTCTTTTCGTCTTAGTTTGGCTCCCTCTCTATCATCGCCCATTTAATCCTCATCCTTCCCCATCCGATGCATTTCGCTGACCACACCCCCGCGCCTCCATCGCCTTCGTCCGCCTCGTCTTCTCCATTCCGTGGACGACGGCCCATCAACCTCGCCTCCGTCTACCGCCCGCTCATGTCCATCTCCGAGTCAATTGCCCCGATATCAAGAGTTTACCGCGGCCTGACGCCACAGTTCAAAGTCTTCCTGCAGATCTCGGCGATGACGTTTGGTGGGTGTATCTGGGCGGAGAAGAGGGTGCAAGAGTACTTGGAGGTTATGAGGAAAGTCAAGCGCGCGAAGAGGAGGGTGGAAACGGAGGATGATTGAATTGAGTAGGAGTGTTTCACTCTTTCTCACTCATTCCGAGAAGGGCCTTTTTACCCTCCTGGATGGAGATGGATTGGTCAATTCGAGGGGCACATTTGGCATTTTGGGGGTTTCAGATCATTGCTAGGATAGGATTACTTGGGACGGGATTTTCTAACGGCTATTCACCTCTCCTTTTGTTTATTGTTATTCCTTTGGAATACGTGTACATATAACTACTTACCCCTCCGCACTGTCTAGGCGTTCGGGTTGTCGGGATCGGGAAAATGCTGTCATTCGCAGTTTGACAAGATTGCTGTGCTCACCCTTTTCCGCTTTTTGTTTTCTTTTTGGTGTTTTTGTCTTTGGGAAATGCTGTATGTTACAGCTACCGAGAATGCCTTGATGGTTCCAAAAGTTCAAGATAATTCACCGGAAGTTCATTGAGGAGGGGGGCTACCTTCTGTGGTCGACTGCATGGCAAGGAGGTTAACCCTCCAGCGAAAATCCGCATCCGCGATGAGATTAACCCCGTTTGATCGTTTTTCATATCTGAATTGCCAGTCAATAAAGGTCTGGTAACCCCTCCACCACGCTTGACCGATCTCACATGTTTCGTTTGTTCGGCGAGGATCGTAGTAATGAGCACTGGTTAATATTGGGGGTTGGCAAACCAGGAACTCCCAGCCAAGTACGGAGTTGCTCCGTAACATGCAACTATCTCGACTTTGCCGGGTGCCTAGGCTGGCGTCGCAGTGAACTCTGTTGCCGGACTCAAGCCGGTTATTCGGTTGACTGCATCGTATTTGACATCATTCTCAGACCTCGTATGAAGGGACATGTGTACCCGGTCACTGCAGTAAACACCCCTGCAGGCACAGACAGAACCTCCAGACAAAGAGTATCTCGAGAAAGAATCATTGATAGTTGGGATTGGGCTTCATCATGGTCGCGATAACTGTCCCGCAGACTCTGGCGGGCTACGGCCTCAGCACGTTTGAGATCGAGGCAGGCGGGTCTTGCATTCGCGGGGTTTCGAGGGGCATCTTCAGAGAAGATGGCAGCACTAATGGTGGTTACGAGGGGCCAATACTGGTGTTGATTCATGGATATCCGCAGACGTGAGTGGGATGATATGTGAAATTGACAGCAGGTCGTGAATTACTGATGGAAAGCATTGCATGAGGTAGATACTTCATGTTAGTGATCTGAGATTACCCCTTTTTATTGATATATCCCGGCTGCAGCACTCGAGAGCTTCGGGAAGAATGAGCAAGGAGGCCACTATATCCATTATATACATATATGCCTCCCTCTCTCTCTCATTTTTGGCTAACGCACTCCCTTAACGAATCAATTCTGCAGGTGGCGCCATGTAAGTGACATACATATGCGATGCGTCTTCGTGAATAAATAATTAAGGCGGGCCCCTCAGATAATCAAACTTCTCCCCAAGACGACTCGGCTCTTCGCGCCCGATATTCCCGGGTACGGCTACAGCTCTCCCTGCGAATTCGGACACGACAAGGCGACCGTCGGGAAGGCCATCCTCGCCTCTCTCTCCGCGTATCTCAAAACATCACAGACAGCGCAGCCGCAGCGCGTGATCCTCATCGGCCATGACCGCGGCGCACGCATCTGCCATCGACTGGCTGTCGACGCGGCGCAACACGTGTCCTCTTTCACCATACTGGGTACCGTACTGATGGACATTGTCCCGACGGTCGTTCAGTGGAAGGGGATGTCGAACGTAGCCGAGGCGAAGGGGTACTTCCACTGGCCGTTCCTGGCGAACGCGGAGCTGGCGACGAAGATGATACTACAGATCGGCGGGGACACGTTCATCCGAGAGCTCATGGGGCGGTGGACGGGAAGCAGTGAGGAGGCAAGAGCGCGGGCTGCGGCTGATGATGCGCTGGAGATGTATGAGCGGCCGTTCAGGTGGGATAGCGTTGTGCGGGCCTCGTGTCAGGACTACGAGGCCGGTGCCACAGTGGACGTGAGGATGCAGGAGGAGGACCAGAAGAATGGACGCAAGATGGAGATGCCCGTGCTAGTGCTGCATTCCGCGGGAATTGGGCGGAGGTTCGACATGAATGTCTGGAAGGATTGGGTTGCTGATGGCCAGCTGCTGACGGTTGTCGGGCTGGAGGAGGGTGTAGGACACTTTGTTCCCGAGGAAGATCCAGAGAGCTGTATGGCTGCCATGACCGATTGGATGCAGAAGATCGGAGTGCAGCTTTAGGCACGTAGGTATGTCCTGTACATATGTATGCTATGCTTCGTTAAACCAAAAGGCTATAGAGCACTAAGTATGTACATCAACTGGAATCTAGGAGTAGGTGCCAAGGCCTGAAGACTTGTTGTACAAGGCGGGAACGGGATTTCTCAACACAATATTTAAGATAAAAGAGGTCCTAAGTAGTCGCTCAAAGCCTAAAAACATCAAATCGTGCCAGCACGATGAGATCCCGCCAATCCACGTTCCTCCCGTCGGCAGCAGAATCGGCCCTCGCCCTCCACACCGCGTCGACCAACTCTTCCAGCACCACCAGGTTCCTGAAGCCGAGCTTCCGCTGATCTCGGAACCAAGCCCGCATCCGCTGCTGTACACCCGATGAGCCGCACTCCGCCCCCAGAACCAGCACCGGCCAGAGCATCATGCAGCCCAGCTCGCCCTTGCCGACTCGCTCGATTGATTCCAGCTCGTGTACGCCGAGCTCGACGAGAGTCTGCACCGTGGCTACCGCTGCGTGGCGTATGCTACGCTGGAAGAAGACGAGACCGGCGTAGTAGAACACCTTGGCTATGTGGTGAAGGACGAGCCCATGGGCCTTGCTCGATGAAGATACCAGGTCTTGGGGTGGGAGACCCGGGAAATTGAGATACAGCTGCAGCTCGAAAGCGTCGAGCTCCTTCTCCAGTGTAGGTGTCCTGACCGTTGAGGTAGCGATAGTAGCTGCAAACGCGTTCATGCGATCGTGTTCCCGCAAGAAGGACCTCGATACGCCATAATACGGGAATGTGAATTCGAGCCCCTCGACAAAACGCTCGTCGTCGTTGAGAAAGGACTTGAGGTCGTCCCGGACGGGAAAGTCGCACAGGATGGCCATCGATACCATATGTCTCCGAAAGCCGGACAGAACAACCTCCTCCACGCCGCACGAGTGCAGTTTCGCAAGGTATGCCAGGCCGCCCTGGACGTGTGTCCGCCATCGTTGGGTTGTACCAGAGATGGCCTCAACCGCGATGCAGGCCATGATGGCCATCGCAAACGACTGGTCTCGATGCTCGTCGGCTCGGGCCAGGTTGTGCCGAAGGTGACGGATGGCCTGCTGTTCGTGGTTGAGGGCCAGAGCGCGATCCTGCTCGTTTGCCCTGCCATCAAGCTCGAACAAATTGAAGGCAGCCGACGCGCAGATCGCGTGGAAGATGGCGACGTCGGCGTTGGAGTCTTCCGAGCTAGACATGAGGCCCTTCAGCGCCATAGGGAGCATCATAGTACGGCAGGGATTGTGAGGCTCATCGAGAAGGACGATTTTGCTACTGGTGAAGGTAACCCAGTGGTGCATAAGCCTCTTTTGGCTGGCCGGCATGGACAGGACATCCAGATGGCGCGGCGGGGAATGTCCGTACTGTTGACGAAGCGGGGACTGGATTTGGCCAACGACTGGCGACTCAGGTCGCGGAACATGGTCGCGTTCCCACCCGAGACTTAAAAGGGTCTGAGCTACGGGCACAGCGTCAGGGCAAACGTACTGCTCCTGCCTCCCAGGGCCAGCGCTAGAAGCGGCGGGCGATAGTGGCGACTCCCTGCGAAGGTCGTCGGTCTGGTTTACCGTCTCTGTCGCCGACAGCTCTCCCGACACGCGGTAGTCAGAAGGAGTAGGCGAAGGAGTCCCTAGATCCAGCACCAGGCGCCCATCCGGCGCAGCTGGAAAGACGGAGAAGCCCCCCTGTTCTAGTCCTGGAGACTCTCCAACAGGAGACCATGCATCAATCTGCCTCAACGTGACATCAAGCTCTGGAGACGACAGGCGCGGAACAGATGACACCCCGAGGTATGTCAGGGAGCGTCTGCACGCCCTGGTGCCCGGGGCCTGGCCATCATCCTCCTGATCACCGTCATGACCATCGTGGCTTGTCCCGTCCGAACTGGGCGTAGGACGGTAGTGTACCCAATTCAAGCGGATGCCATAGCCTTCGCATTGGACGCCGACCTGACGACAGCGCTGGCATAATGGGGTTGTTCTATGCACAGAAAGGGTCAGGGGGGAGAGGAACGGCTCTGGCAGTGCAGATCACTCACTCATCGCACTTCACACGACGCGACCGGCAGGTCCAGCAGCCCGAGAAACATTTGGTGCGCCGCCTGTTGGTCGCTTTCATGAAGGTTGAACTCGAGCCCGCATTTGACGGGTGAGGCGAGGACTGTGCCGGGTTGAGTTGAGGTTTCTGCGGATTATCATTCTCGTGCTTGGCGAGAGGATTGGATGCCCTTTTTTTTTTTTTTTTCCTCAATTATGGAAATATAACTCGTCAGTTAAAAACTGTTACGGACAGCGAAATTCCCGTCGGACGATTCGGTAATTTTAGTTCCGATCCCTTCTATTGGTGGTTACTATGACTAATCGCAGACTAGTAGGACATATTGACCAATAAGAAACATAAAAATTATAAATCGACGAGTCGGCTAATGCTGATTGGCTCGCTTTCAACTGCCTGCCTCCATTCTCCAGCGGTGATTGGCTCGCTTTGCTTTTCCGCAGCCCGGGGACTCCTTTTCTCTCTGAACGGCAAGTCGCAGACGTTTGTGTGTATGTCTGTATCTGGCATCTACAGAGTACATATATCTAGAATTTCCCGCCCCGTCGAGATGGCGACAGGAATGGTCACCTTGGGCTTCGTTGCCATCTCTGATTACGGAGACTTCTCATCCCAGATTTCATTGACGCTCCCTACACAAACACACATACGAAAAAGCCATCCAGCATACCTCCTCAGGTCATGACTGCGAAGGCTAGAGGCCGGGACCATTCCACGTCGACAGGTCAGGTAGAGAAGGCCCCAGAATCGACCACCAAGTTCAGCGATGGCGCATCCGACGAATTCGAGTTCGGCGGCTCCCTTGGAGTCACCGCGTTGATGCTCGGTTTTCCCCTGTTGATGTGGTACATGTGGATCGGCGCAACATACTACAACGGGCACCTCCCCTTGCCCGACGACAACCAGACCTGGCGCGAGTTCGTTGGTCACCTGCTTGATCTCGTCTACGAGGGAGCCTATCCAACCGCCAAAGCCTGGGCCATCTACTGGACGTTCTTCGTCTTCGAGGCGATCATGTACTGCTACATGCCAGGCGTGCTGACCTACGGCCGGCCCCTGCTCCACGAGGGCGGCAAAAAGCTCCCCTACTACTGTTCCGCCTACACCAGCTTCTACGCAACGCTCGCCGTCGCCGCGATCCTGCACGCCACACGTGTCTTCCCGCTGTACACGCTCATCGACGAGTTCGGGCCCATCATGACCGTAGCCATCCTGTCGGGCTTCCTCAACAGCCTGATCGTCCATGTCCAGGCCATTGTGCGGCGGCGGACGCACCGCCTCACGGGCTATCCCATCTACGACTTCTTCATGGGCGCTGAGTTGAATCCGCGCATTGGAATATTGGACTTCAAGATGTTCTACGAGGTCCGGATCCCGTGGTTCATCCTGTTCCTCATCACCTGCTCCGTGGCCGCTCGCCAGTATGAGACGTATGGGTACGTCTCGGCCGAGGTGCTCTTCCTGGCCGTGGCGCATTTCCTGTACACCAATGCTTGTGCTAAGGCGGAGCAATTGATCATCACCAGCTGGTAAGTTGCTCTTCATATATATATTGGCTTGGAGAAAGGTCCTAGCTTACCGATGCTTCTTCTCTTCCCCAAGGGACATGTACTTTGAAAAGCTAGGCTTCATGCTTACCTTCTGGAACATGGCCGGCGTGCCCTTCACCTACTGCCACTGTGCCCTATACTTCGCCAATCACGACCCGGCGGAGTACCGCTGGAATCCTTACGCCTTGACCGCGCTCTTCGTCACCTACCTCTTCATGTACTGGATGTGGGACACCGCCAACGGCCAAAAGAACGGATTCCGCCAGATGGAGAGGGGCCAGCTCATCAAGCGCAACACCTTCCCCCAACTGCCGTGGCAGATCATCGAGAAACCGAAGGCCATCGAGACGGATGCTGGGGATCGCATCTTGGTGGACGGCTGGTTTGCGATTGTGCGAAAGCCGAACTATGTTCCCGACATGTTCTTCTCTATGTCTTGGGGTCTGATCACCGGGTTCAAGTAAGTTTTCATCACCTGTCTTGTCCTCCTTATATATATATATTCGCGGTGCTGTGGACAGATAACTGAGTTTGCGGCGAGCAGGAGCCCTTTCCCTTGGTTTTATTCTATCTTCTTTATGGTCATGATCATTCATCGGACCAGAAGGGACATTGAGAGATGCCGAAGGAAGTACGGCGAGGCCTGGAAGCGGTACGAGAATGAGGTTCCCTACTTATTCATTCCGGTAAGACCAAAGACGGCCTGTATTATGCCCCTAGGGGGAGGGGAAGCATGAATATTTGCTGACAGATTTACCGACAGTATGTTATTTAAGAAGAGATTGCGGCCGGGATGACGTGGTTCACAGACTCAAGTGGGAACAGGTTCGGGTACAATTATCCTCGCGTGGGCAGAGGTCGGGTGTTTCCCCCGTTGGGATATATGTATATAGTGCCCTGTCAACCTGCCAAGCTGGAAACTCAAGTCCAGCGAGGTTTCTTGTACGAGGATGATGCGAAAGTGGCAAAGTGACCCTGTTGAAGGCCATCAGGATATGAAGCTTTGGGAAACAAAAATCACTCGCCATGGGCAACATAGCCGGGGTGAATTTGGCGGAATGCATGTCATGCAACCCAGGCTTGCGAGACAACATGTATGGAGGTTAAAATGACCGGCTTTCGCTGCTGCCGGGGATATAGAATATGTATATGTCTGTGAAACATTTCTTCAACGGGGTTTCAGTAAGTACCAGTCCTTCTGTAATAAGTTGTTGGCCATAGGTCTTGGGGGGGTTAGACCCTGGACAGGGGGTGGTGGTTCCTCAATAGATATACGACTTGCATGTGATTGTCTGGCGAGTCTATTTGTGACGTAAAGAGGACTGAGAATCCGCTTAGATAGAATGGTCACCGTTATAGAGACTAGGTGTGATAATTGTGATGTGGGTACTTGAGTGTCACAAGTATGCTGTTCTAAATTCGCGGCCATATACAGTCCTGAGCCTTCCCTAGGTCGTGACGGATCATTCAAGCTGACGCTTTGCCTTTATTTGCTGCACGACACGATACGCATAATATTGGAAATGTAAAATCTGAATATCCGTGCAGGCTCCATTCGCGTAAGCTAAGCAGGCATTCGGCGTGTAAATGCTCGCTTTGTATTATAACAGATGATGATGATGATGAGGAGGAGGAGTTAATGATATTTCTGTTCGGCGACGGAGCTATCGCTTTGAAGCTTGATGGCCCTGGTTAACCATGTCAGCTTGTAATATAAAGCAGAATTAGCCAACTTGAACACCATATCGGGTGATAACCACGCTGGACTCACTCCCAGAGCGGCGTGAGATGCCCTCGTCCCTCGAAGTGATCCCGCTCAACTTATTGTGTGGCCAGCCGACATCCAGCATGTCGGTTCGGTTACTCCGAATCCTCCAACATAGTTGTTTGGCAAGTGCTATCATCCGAGTCAGAGACCCCCTGTCGTGTTCAAAAACGGGTGTTCTGGAACCTCGGGGCAACCGGGACGGAGCTGAGATCCCACACAATATCCCACAGGGAGCTGGAGGCGGGATTGGAATTTGGTGGACGACCGGATGGGGGGATCCGTTCTGCGTACGCCGGATGTGGTAGTAGTTATGCATATGTTTGAAGCCCCCCACCTGTTCAGCTGGCTGGTTGATGATTGACGAATAAATCGACCAGCATGCCCATCCACGACGAGCTTGTATCTTCTTGGCTGTTGTGCTCGTATACCGGATAGAAGGGGGCGGGCTTGGGGACAATAGAGGATGCACTGCCGGGGACATTCACAGCTGAAGGGATACAAGGATGATTTTGGACAGGTCCTCCAGAGGAGATATTTTCCGGAGGTCAGAGAGAGAGTGTGTGTGCGCAAGATTCCTTTCTCCGGGATGGATGGATGACTTTTTGGGCCTTTTGGCTGCTTGGACAAAAGAGAAGTCGTGTTTGCCCGACCACAGACTGTTTCTGGACATGGGGGGGATCGACGAATAGCATCGCGGACGGAGATGAGAGATGGAATGTCGATAATGATTCGAGAAAGGCCCATATCTCCTGAAGGGGTGTACTCTCATCCGCAGTGGACTGCGCGTGGTTCGTTCGTGGAGAGGAGAGAGGAACCCCAGCGTCCTCCGCTCCAAGTTCGACGACTACATGAAATACATGGGGTGGCTGCCCCGGAAGCAGGCCCGGAGCACGCCTTGGCTGTAGGCGCCGGCCTCCCCTAACCACCGCCCGAAACGAACCTCCCTTTCGCGTTGATCTGCCTATCTTTCTGCGCTGGCGACGACGACGAGGACAACGACGACAATGATGATGAATGATGATGATGATGATGGTGATGGTGATGGTGATGATGGTGATGAATCGCGATGACGCGAGTGTGAGCACAAAAGCAGATCCCACATCAAGACCCCAAATAATCAGCCAACGGAACTAAGTTAACAAAGTAGTCAGTTTTAACTCTCCTCATCTCAAACTGTGGCTGCCACGCCCATCCCAGAACGATAAATACAAGACGATGCAGACGATGGAGCGATCCAAAGGCACGTCAACCACACGGTCTTCTCTCCTCTCTCTCCCTCTCTCCCTCTCCCCTCTCTCTTTTTCTTCCCCCCTCCTCTTGTTTTCTCTCTCTTTTTTTAAGATCAACTCGTCTCCAAACCCCCGGCTCACCGTTGCTGACCCCCTTGAGCCCGCGCCGCATCCCTGTCGCGGCCTGTTGGCGCTGGTGTGGCAGTGTCAGTTCGTCCGGTTCGTCGCCAAACTTTCCACTCTCTCCCCTCTCATCTTAACCGTCGCCTCGTCGCTCATCCTGCACCTCTTCGTCATATCTTTTTCTTTTCTTCTTCTTTCTTTTTTCTTTTCTTTTTTTTTTTTTTTTTTTTTTTCCCTTCTCAAAAATTCACTACTATCGTCGATATACAAATCTCATCTGCACATTCAATACTCTATCCCTCGTCTCCTCCTCAACCTTCCCATCTCACGATTTCGCATCTCCGTTGTCCCTCTTCACGGTCGTGATCCGTGGAGATCCCCCAAGCCACCGCGACCGACTGAGCTTGTTTGCCGTGGAGCTTGCCCGCATCTCATTTGCCAGCCCGCAGCCAGGGGTAAACAGCCCGTAACTAACTCACTTAGCGGGTGCATCGCCCTTTTTAGCGTCATTCATTCATTTGAACCATACTGCTAGCTGAACCTCCGTGCGCCCAAACAACGTCTTCCATCCACCGAACCTCGCCGTCACCCTCTTTTTTTTTTTCCCCAACCACACCAATTTTTTTGTATTTTTTTTTTTGGTTTTTTTGGTTTTTTTTCTTTATTTTATTTTTTTTCCCCTCCTCTCTTCTGGAATTCACCTGTGCGTCCATACTTCGCTCTTCACGTCTTCCTTCAGCCCATATTCAAACCAATTGTGCGCCGGTCCTCCTTCAGCTGGCCGTTACACCGCATCCTCGGTCTCGCCTGAACTCCCGACCCGGCCAATCCTTCACACCCAAAGTTGTAATATTTAAAAAAAAAAAAAAAAAAAAAAAAAAAAAAGGAAAGAAGAAGAATAGAAAGATAATTTATTCCAGGCGCTGATCGAGAGAGAGAGAAAGTGGCAGAAAAGAGTCACTTTGAACCCCCTTTACCCTCTCACCCTCCCGTCGTCGCTCCGACGCGGGAACCTCTCGTCGCAAACACCACCACCACTCACCCACCATGCGGAAGGGCGCGCTGATCTTCATCATCGCGAATTTTATCGTCATCGCGTTCCTGGTCAACAGCGTCTCTACCCTTCTCAGTCTCCTGTTCGAGGATGCCGCGACTGACGCCATAAGCCGCACCGAGCTCCCCGCACCGAACTCGACCTTCATCGACCAGAAGAAGCCCATCATCCCAAAGATCATCCACCAGACCTACAAGAATGAGTCCATACCCGCTATCTGGCAGGAGGCCCAACAGAGCTGCTTGGAGCTTCACCCGGACTATGAGTACAAGGTTCGTCGATATCTATGTTTTGGTCCCTTTTTTTTTTTTTACCATTGCTCGTTTTTGTTTTCTTTTTTTTCCCTTTTTTTTCCCCCCTCTAAATGGCTTGGATTGGGAAATTGTGCCTGTAGATCTCCTCGTCCTACAATCATCACACTAACAAAACCCAAAAAATATACAGCTCTGGACAGACGAGAAGGCCGATGCGTTCATCGAGAGCCAGTACCCGTGGTTCCTCGAGACTTTTAGGAACTATCGCTACCCCATTCAGCGTGCCGACGCTATTAGATACTTCGTCTTGACGTACTATGGCGGAATCTACATCGATCTCGACGACGTAAGACAAGTCTCCTGCTACCTACAATATATATATATGGCTTTGTGGATTTGGTCGGATGCTGATATTGATCGCGTTAGGGTTGCAATCGCCGCTTGGATCCGCTCCTTGTCTATCCCGCCTGGGTTCGCAAGACCAGTCCCACTGGAATCTCCAACGATATCATGGGATCCGTGCCTCAGCATCCCTTCTTCCGGCGCGTCATCGATTCTCTACAGACGTACAACCGGCACTGGGTGTTGCCTTATATCACCGTCATGTACTCGACTGGCCCCCTTTTCCTATCTGTCATTTGGAAGGAGTACATGGCAGGCAGACCGTCCGCGTACGAGCGTGTTCGCGTGATGATGGCGGACGAGTACAATCGACATTCGTGGAGTTTCTTCACCCACCATCCTGGTAGCAGTTGGCATGGAAAGGATGCTAGATTGATTTTTTGGGTGAGCGTCATCGTGTCAACTTTCACCCTTTTTTTTTTTTTTTTTTTTTTTTTTTTTTTTTTTTTTTGGGACTATGTGCTAAGCTAACATATCCAGATGGGCGGCCATTGGGTCCTCCTCACGGTCCTCGGATTCATTCTGGCCGGCATCGTCGGCGCGTTCTTATGGTGGGGATACCGTCGCCTCATCGTCCTCGGCTCGAAGTACTTCCATCGATATTCCCCGATCCAGACACGACCATCCGGCGCGATCCTGAACCCTTCGCGATCGTTTTCGCCGTCCCGCAAGCTCGGCATACTCCCCGCCTTTCTACAACGGAGAAGCAGCTCGAGGAAACGAGACGAAGAGAACGCGCTATCAGATACCGTTTACGAACTCCTCGATCGACCTGAATGAAGGGGGGCAAAAAATATCCCGAGATGTAATTAATATTCACATGTTGTCGCCACCATCTAAGTCGACTTGTCTAATTTCTCCTTTTTTCTTGGGAATCTCACGATAGCGAGGTGCACCCTTTTCTTGAGAGTTTTTCCCTCTCTTTTGGGATTAAAAAAGGGGGAAAAAGGAGAAAGACCTCAAAACAACCCCGGCATGTCACGGCGTTCTTGTCCACCTGTTACGTGTTGTCATTCTGCCTCCTCCTTTTTTTTGGGATTGGCGTCGATCTATGTACCTGGTCTGGGAGGGAAATGTGGAGGCGCTCTCCGGAGTTTTTTTATTATCTCGATTTACCACCTCTTATCTATCTCCCTTTCTGGGAGCTAATCCTCGTTACGCTATTTGCGAAAGGGAAAAAAGCGGTTCTTTTTTTTTTTTTCTTTGGGAGATGGCACATAGCATTTTACTTTGCGTGTGTTTCCTCATTTCTGATATGCTCGTTGCATATGAACCCGTTCTGCTTGGCCTTTTTTTTTTTTTTTTTTTTTTTTTTTTTTTTTTTTTTGGCGCTTTTTGTGTCCGCAGGCGCGAATTGTACTCTACTGCGATCTGGGCGGATGATACATATGTTTTTTGTTTTGAAAGCAAGCCCTGTTCTTATTTATCTCTTGGTCCCTTAGGGGTTGGAGCAGAGGGGTGGAGCAGAGGGGAGGAGAGATGTTTCTGATTTAACCTCCTACAAAACTCCACCAGCTGAGGCTGTGGAGATCTTTGCAGTTGTCCCTTTTCAGACGGCTGTGTGGAGTTAATTGTGGAAAAGTCTTTTTTCTCTCAGGAACAAAAAGATGAGAAGGAAAGGAAAACTAGGCATGTTACATATTAGCAGCAAGACAGGTGGGCGTCTCATGGAGAATGCTGCCTGGATGGGTCTTGATGTGCTGCTTGGTTTTCTCACCTGGGGTTTGAAGGTGTGTATAAAAAGAGAGAGAGAGAGAGTGTGTGTGTGTGTGTGTGCGTGTATGTGGGGAAAGGGACATCACGAAACAGGACAAGAAACCAACTAATTAGCATAATATTAATAATAATGACCAACCACTTTGAATGAAGCAAATTTGATTTTAATATGAGAAGTGTTCCATGTTTTATCTTCTAGGGGAAAGGTAAGTTAGCTCTCCTGAGACAACAGTCAAGCATTGTCTAATCTCTCTTTCAATTAAGATGGACGTATATAGAGGCGGTGCGGTGAGTTTGTAAATCTGCGACGATCTACTCTGCATCTGGAACTTATCTCCTTGCACCTGCATTTTTTTCGAATTTCGTACTGCGCAGGAAAACTTGGCAGGACGTAGGAGTCGTATGTAGTTGGTTACAAGGTGGAAAAAGCCTGACCAAAAAGACAAAGGCGTTCTGAGACAAAAGTGAAAGCTTCGATGATAACCGGCTCGACTTATCAGTCATGTACGTTTATGTATGTATCTCCGATCCTCCGCATAGACCGCGAGTTAATTGATGCCATTTTCTAGAGATAACGGAGGTCATGTCCGTCGTCGTAAATAGCTTTTGAAGCAGTTATATAGATCCCAGCCCCCCAACAACACCCAACGGAACAGACCGCAAAAGCTCAGGATCGAACCCATCGTGATCCGATTACTTATAAAACAAAGCCCTGCCGCAATTCTCGTTTTGCAAGGTACAGCCATCACATTGTAGTTTCAAAGCATCTCTAATTTTTTTTTTTTTTCCCTCCCCCGGCATTGGACAGATGTTTTTGAAGATAATTTAAATTTTATATTCACTTTGATTCATTAAATTACTTGGCAATCGATGGCAAGTCGGGCCTTGTGGCGTAATTGGCAACGCGTCTGACTACGAATCAGGAGACTGCAGGTTCGAGCCCTGCCAAGGTCATATTGTTTTTACTTTTTTTTATTTTTTATTTTTTTTGCTTTTGCTTTTGCTTCTTCTTTGCCTTTCGTGTCTCTCAGAGTAGTAGTTTGTTAGTATTGTTTGTGATAGCTTAAACCAGGTTGCCTACAATACCATTGAGTGAAACATTGTAACCTGATGTGTGATTTCCCAATTCAACACATTTACTCCGTAGATAGGGAAAAATTTATATTCTGCAAGCAATGCACTCTTTTAAAAGGCCACTATTTGTGAACACATGGGCGGGCCCCCCTTTTTCCCAGCATAATGCTTCACTTCTGTGGCATTATTTTCTGGGCTTGCTTACAAACATTGAAACAAATCCACCCACCGTTCTGACTGATTTTTGACATTGGTCTCTCACCATATGGGATATACGAAGATCCCAAATGGCTCCAGCTTTGGCTCCCAACTTCCCCCAGATGCGAAAATTGGCGTAGCCGAATGTGATGATCCTTCTCCTCCCCGTTTCCTCCCAGGGGCCGATAGCGACACCATGACAGGCTTGAAGATTTCCTCCAAGTACATTCCTTAAGTGGCCTTTTGCAATCTTTGCGCCGTGCAAAAAATCCAGTGTTGTGAGCGTCGCTATGCAGGCAGAAGTGATAGCTGCGAAGTCTTGTGTTTCCTGCACTTCGTACAAGCTCTCGAAAGGGCTTGAGCGAGAGAGCGATAATAGTGGTAGCGACAAATGGGTTCACATCAGTTTATAAGATCTTTCGATTCTTTCCATTTTTTTTTGTTGTCCCCCTGTCGAAGTAAATGATGCCACTTTTGTTTCTGCAAAGTTTCTACCACAGCGAGGTTAGCAGACATTGAAGTGGAGCAAAAGTCGGAAAGCAAGAAAATCTCCAAGGAGGGGACGGAGTAACTTGCACATCGTAATGCTCCAGGAGTGTGGGAAATATAAGAGTCAAGACGGCACCCCTAAAAAATCTCAAGTAAATCAAGTCGGAGCAGCGGCATGTCTTCGCCTCGATAAGCTAGAATAGTGAGCACTGACCCCATATCCTACATTGGGGTTTTAAATCCCAGGAATGTTAATGCAATTAAGAGGCCATCGTTCCAAGGTTGCTGTGCCTTGCCCTCCCCCAGTAATGGTATTTTGTCTGATGTACGGAGTACACAAAGTATTTAATGATCTGACTCGTCATGATCCCAAAAGATATGGCCGGAGGTTGGGTGGGCCGCGGCCAACAATAGCAAAACCAATCTACGGGAGTAGGAAAACAAGTGAGGAGGAAAGCCGCCTGTAAGAAAGATAACCCAATGAGGAAAAACATACTCTCCCTCATGACAAATTTGCACCCTTCTTGTAGACAGATTACCTCCTGACTTCGGCGCGCAGACAACCGACCTAGCACACACAGCATATACTCAGGGATGCACCCCCCACCCCCCAAAAAAGTCTTTTCCCACGCTGACCTTTGGGAGATGGTGGCGTCATTTGTCGCGAGATCTGAAGCTGAACCTGTCGTGAACACCCCGGAACCTTTTTTGCTTGTCTAGAGGTAGTTTGGACCGGGTGTGATGAGAGCTATCGAGTACGTATGAGGTGATCCGTGTATGGAGCCTTCTCGACTCCCGAAACAAACAAACAAAGCAAACAACGCCACCCAAAGCGAAAAAACAAAGAAATTGAAAAAAGAAAAAAAAAAGATGTTTTTGTGACCTTGGCAGGGCTCGAACCTGCAGTCTCCTGATTCGTAGTCAGACGCGTTGCCAATTACGCCACAAGGCCTTCTGTATACAGCTGCATACCATATATTTTCAATGCATATTTTTCTCAGTTAGAACCTTTTTTTCTTTTAGGCGTTTGGGTTTCCCCGAGAGGTTTGTAACTTGCTATGCGTTACTATATATAACATCTCAATTTTCTCAAAAAGTGAAAAAAAGTGCATATTAAAGATTAAAAAAAAAAAAAAAAAAAAAAAGGAAAAGGGCTGGGTGTTCCCTAGAGGTCCTGACTTTGGCGCTAGTGCACGCAGCACCTTGAAGCGGCTGTCACTAATGGCTTCGGTAATACCCAGAAAAAGGGGGGCCACTATACAGAGTATAACACACTCATAGAATCGACCTGACAAGCGCGATGCTCCAGGGGCCAATTGCAGCAGTCAGTTGCCTCCCGGGGAAGAGGGATGACGAGCAGATGTACGGAGTATACAGTACTCCGTATGCGGATTAGCATTCCGTTACGCTTGGACATTTCTCCCTCTCCAGCATATATATATATATATATAGATATATAATTTTGAAATTGCATGAGTCGTTCTGCTACGCGTAAAAGCAGCTTTATATTAGAGTATTTAATTAACTATATAGTACTCCGTAACTGCCTGAGTTACAACTATGGCCACAAGCAAAGGGGGGGGTATCAAACATGGGGGGAAAAAAAAAATATATCATCTAGATACAGGTCCACATAAACCGTCTGCTGGGCATTAGTTAAGTAAGAGTAAGACGGAGAGCTGCTGAACATTCGCAGATTAAAGAAACCAAAAGACAACAATTTTTGCTCGCTGAAAACGAGCTCCCAGAGACCCTACATCCTGATAAAAACAAAAAAAAAAAAAAAAAAAAAAAAAAAAAAAAAAATTCCGAACCATGCAGAGAAGGAAACACCAGACAAAATAAGGCACTTTTCCCCCCTTTTTTTACCCTTCCTTTTTGACTTCTTAAAAAAAAAAAAAAAAAAAAAAAAAAAAAAAAAAATTAATGGGCGGACGTTGTCAGCAAGCTCAAATACTCTGGAGGCGCCGACGCTGTCGAACCAGAGAGCATACTCATACCCTCGAGTCTTGCTTGCCCGACGTACTCCGGACTCGGTGGCGTGATGACTCGCGGAGTGAAGAATTCGTCCGCTGCAGCACTCTGCGCACTAGCCTCTCTCGCGCGGTTGGCCACCACCGCCGTGAGGCTCTCCTGCCCGGTGACTTGGACGGGGATGCACAGCGAGATGGTCTGCCGGGTGGTGAAGGTGCTGGAGCTCGAAGGATTGTAGGACAGAGAGATATCGAGGGAGTAGGTGCGTGAGATGAGGCAGGAGTGGAATGTCGGGGCGTAGGCTTTGTGCGAAGGGAGGGAGATGGGCACGAGCACGGTGGCGGTGTAGTAAGTGTTGCCGGTGAAGCATGCTGTTGGGCCGACGAGGGAGCCGTCTGTCCAGTTGGACTGGATGGAGGAGCGTCGGCTGCTGCTGCAGGAGGACGGGGAAGGGGGAGCGGACGTGGTGTGTTTCTGCCACGTTGCGGATGCCACGCAGCGAGAGGCGAGACAGAGGGTGTCCGTGTAGACGCCCTTGTTGTAGTTCCAGGCCAGCTTCGAAGAGCGGCTGGGGAAGTCGGACCAGGGTTCGATGCTGAAGAAGGTGTTGACTTTCAGTTTCGTCCAGAGGCACCCGAGTTTGGGCGGCGTCTGGTGTTCGTGATCTGGGTCGAAGCGTACGTGCAGCGTCGCCATGGTCGCTGGCGACGCATTCTCAGAGCTCTCAGAGTGGACAGAAGGGAGACGGAATGGTTTTGGCTGAGCGGCTGCGACTGCGATGCGGCCGAACTTCTTGCGCAGGGTACCCTTCTTGACGATCTTTTCACTACGCATGCGGAACTCTTCATTGCTGTCAGCCACGTCGAGGGGCGGCTCCTCGTCGGTCGCAGGGACGATGCGGACCTTCCTGACGACCTCGACGAGTGTCTTTGGTGGCTGGTCTTCGGGCAGGTCGAATCTGGACACCCGTGCGCGGATCTTGTACTGGATCTGGCACATCTGCGGGCACATGTCGTCGAGCCGCTTCGAGCCGCCGCGGCCGGCGAGGGTGTGACCGCCCAGGGACGGCGGGAGGTGGGTGTGAGCGGCCTGGACCTGAGGATGATTGACTTCGTGCTTGCAAGCATGGGGCAGCAATCGCTCCGGGACGACGAAGGTGAAGGGGAAGGAGTACTTTCGCCCGGCCTCGAGGACCCTGGGCTGGGGGTATTGGGATTCTTCAATTGGCTGTGTGAGTCTCAGGAAGGCGTGGAAGGCGGACGACTGGCCGACGGTGGGACCAGCGTATCCGGGGCGTTCGATCAAGGTCTTGGCTGCGCCGATGAAGGAGATGTGTATCTGATCGAAGCGGACGTCGGTGTCGGCGCTGATGACGACCTTGCCCTCGATGGGGTCAAGGGTGGTGTAAGTGTTTATCCCCCGGGACTGGGAGACATCACCGTCCAGCATGATCTCGACGGACGGACGGCCCTTGCGGGTGATGGAGTCGAATGTCCCAGTGCTCCGGGACTCCAGAGAGGAGGGCATTGTGACGAACTTGCCGGACAAAGGGCGACCGTAAACCCCCCCGGTAGAGACCGATTGATTAGGATGTATGTAGCAGTAGTTTTATTTCCCCTCACTGGAGAGAGGCGACAGCGACGTGCGACGACGACGACGACGACAACAAACGAATTCAACGACAAAAGCCAAGGCTCCGCAGCTGGATCGGAAAGGTGCTGCCTCTCTGCCACGTCTAAGAGGGGGAGATTGCGGACTTTTCGGCACCCAAGCAACCAAGGATCCAAGATGCGGGGAGGAAAGGGCTGGGAATGCGTTTTAACTGAAGGAGGGGGTGTGCGATGGCGCAGATCTGTGTCGACCAGGAGAGAGAGAGAGAGAGAGAGAGAGAGATAGAGAGAGAGAGGTGTGTGTGTCAAGTGACTGGCGAATAGACTCGACCAGGGGAAGGACAGGGAAGCAAGCTCGGGGTGTGATGTATAGACGTATACGGACGGAGTAAAGAGGCGGGGGTGGGGGGATGGTTGAATGGGTTTGATGCGAGCAGCGATGCGGTCCTTGCAGGGAGGAGGAGGAGGATGGTCCGAGGAAATTATATATATATATATATATATTACAAGGTGTGAATAGATTTGGATCGCGATGCTGTATACAGTTTAGATCTGGAACACGATGATCATGAGAGCTGCAGCGATTAATAATTGGGCCAGGAGCATCATCATCATCAGCAGCAGCAGCAGCATTAGTTAACTAGTTAGCAGCAAAGTAACTAACTAAGCGGTATGTCGTATTATATAGTTAGTTCGATACTTTTCGGTAGGCGGATGACGCCCTCTGACAGGCAGACCACGAAGATGACTCCTGACAGTCTCCTCGCCACTACTTAGTTAACTAACTTAATAGTAAGTCTCGTTATTTTTATTTTTTATTTTATTTTATTTTATTTTATTTTTTTTGAAACTCGCGTGTCGTCGTTCCTTCCCGGTTCCAGTCCAATCCTTACCGGGTTTTCCCTGCCAGTTCCTGCCGGGTCCAGCCCCAATACCGCGGATCTGGCCAGCCATCAACAACAAACAAACAAACACACAAAAAAAAAATTCGCAGTCAGAAACGGGAAACCTCGCCGCTTCTCTTCCCCGTGTCTTTCTTTTTCCTTTTGAGTCATTAATATTGGGGACGACCTCCCGAGTCCGGCAGGTTCAGACAAACTACGCTTTCTCCATCTCGCCTGCCCGCCCTGTGAGTCGTCGCCCCCCCGCCCGCCAATCAGATGCCGCCGACAGAACGTGGTGGACTGTGCGTATTGCGGTGGGGAAAAGAAAACAAAAAAGAAACCAAGAATGTACGGAGATGCACTGGGTAGCATGTACCTCAGAGGTACCACTCTGCGGTGGAATTGCCGTGATGGGTACCTACCAGGTACCGACCAGGGTCACGGGTGGCCGGCACCTGCAACCTGCTTGCCGCTCTCTCAGGCCTTTTTTTTTTTTTTTTTGCTTGGGGCCGGCGGGTGGGGCACGCGCGTCTGGCCGGTGGAGGCGACTGACATCAACACACATGGAGAAAAAAAGAAGAAAAAAATTTTTTATCGTTTCCTTTTTTCCCTTTTATTTTTTTTATTCTTCCGTGATTCCCCTCGGAGATTGACTCTCGCCCTCGAAATAGAAACAATGCATGAGATCCATTTTCTAGAGGAGGGCGGATCGCCTATGCTAGCCGAGAACGCTGTTCGAGTATGTATATACGGAGTACGGAGTCACTCTGGAACTGATATTAGAATTATCTGTTTACTGCTTCATACTCTGTACCGTTTTGATCGACATGGCAGGTCCGATAGCTCATACATTCAGTAACGATGATGATGATGATGGTGATCAAAGTATTCATGCTCGTAGCTAACACAGCTCTTCCCATCTACAGCATCGCACGCCACCAATTGATACAGGCTACAGCAGTGTATCACACTCCATTTCCCAGAATAAAAACGCATTGGCGGCTAAATGTGGATTCACAACGAGAAAAGGCGGGCCTGGTCTCAGAACTGAGGGTCAAAGAGGGAAGAATGAATTTAAAAAAAAAAAAAAAAAAAAAAAAAAAAAAAAAAAAAATTATTTTCTTTTTCAACGCCACCTGATCTCTGCTGCCCCGAACTCCTGACGGGTAGCCACTCGCCTTGTATGACTCTTCGGCAAGAATCTCATACAGTAACTATATGTCTCGCCCGACAAGAGAAGCACCAAGATGGGGCAGTTGAAGGAGAGGAGACAGGGAGCGCCGCGGCTCCGAGGCCCGCCTAGACATCCACGCTCGCCGGGCGGGAAAGTCAAAAAGAAAAAAAAGAAGAAGAAAAGAGAAAAGAAGAAAAAAAAAAAAAGAGAAGAAAAACAATAGAAAGACCCGCGCTCCTGCAGAAAATTAAGCTATTCTCGGCGGTGAAACTCTAATGCCGAGCCAAGCGCCGTGATTGGCCAATTCAGGCGGAAGCCGCACGGGCCAGTGAGTGCACGCTAAACCGCTTGGGGTAATATGACGTCGGGGTTGAGTCAGCAAGGGGATTTGTCATCAGGATTTTCTCGTTTCATTTTCTCGCATCGTCTGTTTTCGCGATGTTTTGCTGGCTTCCTTTTTCTGTGTTCGCGGCAAACATTGTAACTAGCTGGTGAGCACGCAATCTGCAAAGCGCTTGATTACGCTGCATGTTTCCCGGTCTGCTCTCCGGTTGGCCTGTCCGCGTCAGGGAGCTGTGACATCCGTCTATACTTTTTGAGGTGGGTTTTTTGGGGTACTCATTGCGGGGGAAAAAAGATAAAAAAATAGTTAAACTAAAAAGGCATGCGAATTATTAATACTCCGTACTCCGTACATATGCCCCAGTCAATGCACCCGGAAAAAGAAAAAGGACCAAAAAAAAAAAAAAAGACAAAACAAAATCATATGCTTGCAGAATTTGCCGAGCTATTCATCAACTGGGGCAGTCTGAGGGAGTCGGGATCTGCAGCCTGGCGCCCTGTCACATCTGCTTCCCCCTTTGAGTGCGGAGCACTTAATTTCCTTCAGCGGCTGTGTGATGTCACACTCGAGTTTCGAGAGAGAGAGAGAGAGAGAGACAGAAAAATGGGGAGAGGGAGAGATAAGCTTGGTTGTTGTTCGTAACGTGAACTAAACTGACTACATACGACACCGCGCCCTGCCAAGGACATCTGTCGATCACGACATCTCTTCAACCACCAAGCCGGAAAAGACATGGGAGCTTCTCCCTGCTGGAGAATCTGACACCACGTGTCGCGTCTTTTCTCGATTCGATCTCGACATTCTTTTTTCTGCGCCCGTCTGAAGCTAACACTCACTTCCACCACGCCCTTCCGTCCCCCTCTCGCAGCTAGCTAGTCTCGGAAACGGCTCCCGCTCGTCAAAGGAGCTTGCACCACATCTCGTGTTCTGCACTCCACACGAGCTTGTAATCGAAAGGGAGCATAACTGCGTCGGACTCCATAGTAACTAGTTAAGACCCTGCATGATAGTATTACTAATAACCAAAGGCTTCGTTTTTTGTCCTTTTCTCTTTTTTTTTTTTTTGACGTCATCTTTCCCCTACCTCTTTCAAGAATCTCACCACCGCGTTTCGACCTTCAGCTCGAACTGTCGCGTCTGTATGGAGAGCTCCCGCGACCCTCCGTCTCTGCACATCCAGCCCCGACTCTACACAGATCTCCTCCAGTCTGTCGGCCTGCTGTCCCGGAACGAGCTCGTCGTTCGCAGCAGACACGATCAATACCCGCATCTTCCTCTCCGATCCTCGCTCAAGCTCCCGTCCTGCCTCCTGCAGCGCGACACCCGTTCGCTTCAGCGCCGCCTCTGAGTCCCACCAGTTGCGCAGAAAGGGCCATAGGTATCGGTACGGGAGCCAGCGTTGTGGGTAGAGCGCGACGAGCATGCTTTGCACGCTGAGGAACGGCGTTTCGAGTATGAGTCCGCCGACGGATGTCCGCCGGTTGGACTTCGTCTCGCACTGATGCGCGGCGAGGCCTGTGGCTACGCCCGCGCCGATACTTTGTCCCCAGAGGACGATGGTGTCGCCGTGGTCGCGCCGTAAGGTAGAACCGTCGAGATCCTCGAGGTATTCCTCGTGGATCCAGTCGAGCGCGGCGAGCGCGTCGAGCTCGATCCCCTTCTGCGACGCTCGTCCGCGAGACGTCCAGTAGCCGCGGTACGAGAGCGCGACGAAGGTGTATTTCACGCGTGGATCGGAGCCTCCTCGCTCCAGATCCTTGAGCACGCCTGATAAAAGCGGCAACCGGGGAGGTAGGGACGAAGCATTGCTACATTCATCGAAAACGCAGAACAAAGTTAAAAAAAATCTTAGCCTTACAGAAACCAATAAATCATACGTAGATCGAAATCAGCTCAAACAAAAAAAAAAAAAAAAAAAAAAAAAAAAAAAGAAACCAAGGTTATCATATTTTTTTTTTCTCTTTCCTACTAACCCTTGAAAATACAAAATCACCACATGTCTCTCCGCAGTGTCCGCGGCTTTCAACCTCCCACTGTTGGCGCTCTCACCCACGCATAACCCCAGCTCCACCCCGTCCCGCGCCCGTATCCTCTTTTCCGTCCACCTCACACCGCCGCACATACCAGCGTAATCCTCGATCTTCTCCCGCCGCGCACCCGGCGGCATGCTCGGCATGTAGATGATCCGGTTCTGGAACACGATCATCATCGCACACTTGTAGACCCAGAGGATGAGGAAGAGTCCTGTGAAGACGAGCGGCGGGACGAGGATGGCCGGGAGGTGGAGGTGGCGCTTCAGGGGGGTTGGATTGCGGAGACGGAGACAGGGTAGAAAGGCGGGACGGAGCGGGGAGCGCTGGTGGTGCTGATGGATGGAGCGGCGGAACGCGCTGGGGACCGGGAAGAGGTAGGGCGGTCGTTGGGCGATGGAAATCGGGCGGAGGGGTAGTCGGAGAAGCATGGTGAGCTAGGGATTGGGTGGCTATGTTGGCCGGGGCTACATACTGCCTCGTGTGCTTGTTGTTGAATCGGGATTGTGGCCATATTCGAATGAGAGGCGAGGTCGTGGAAGCTGGGAGGGGCCCCCGGGGGTTGATGCCAAGCAAATCCACAACAAAGATACTTCCCAGGCTTGGCCCGCCAGCCCGCAAAAACCTCCCATCTCACAACACACAAGACACACACATCTCAGTAATGCCGAGCAGAAGCTGCAGTAGAATCTTGAATATCCAATTTCATGAAAGAAAACTTGGCTAAACTAACTAGTTATCTAGCGGCTGACAAAAGCTATTCTAAACTTTCTTCCCACATAACCGCTAGTTACAGTTCTCGACCCTTCGATACAAACCTCCCTCCACCCCGTCACTTCGATGCCGTCCGACTCGCCCTCTCATCCAAAGGTATGGACACCGAACCAGACTCTGGCAGACGCAGCAACGCCTTCCCCGACCGCACCACCAACGGCCACGTCGTGCCCATGATGAGAATAGCGATGAACACCGTACACGCCGGGTCGACGTAGAACTTAGCCTCTCGCGTGTGCGCCGGATCTATCTCCTCGTGTCGCGACGGGATGCGCCACACGATGGCCGCTGAGATGATCACAGCGACGTTGTTCAGCGCGTCGGCGCCGATGTGCAGGACGACCGCCTTGATCGAGAGGCTGGTGCCGGTTGTCCGGGCGTTCTGGGTTCCGCCGGGGGCTGGTTCGAGTCTGTTTGGGTCTGCGTCGGCCGAGGACTGTCCGCCGGCTTCGGGGTGATCGTGACCGTGGCCGTGGCCGTGGTGGTGGTGGTGGTGGTGATGTCCGTGTGGTCCCATGATAAGGATGCAAATAATGTTGAGGAAAAGTCCGGCCCATCCCATTACAAAGACAAGTAGCGGGCTCGATATGGCTGGAGGGTGAAGTCTGTTAGCATAGGCTGGCTACTGCTCACCGTGTGGCGGCGAAAAGTCACCTTGCAGATGGATGAACCTCTCGATACCCTGCAGAAATATGCCCAATCCAATAGCGACCAAGACGACGCTATTGAAGAACGCTGCGAGGGTAGGGAGCCTGGCGTAACCTCGTTTGTTGTTTTCATCTGGACGTCTCGAGTACTGAACGAAGAGTTCAGGGCAAATTAGCCAAATTATCTCCTTTTAGCTGCTATTGAGTAGCCTTTTTCCTTTTTCCCTTCCCTTTCTTTTCTTTTCTTTTCCTTTCCTTTTTTTTTTTTTTTCCTTTTTTTTTTTTTTTCCTTTTTTTTTTTTTTGGGAGGGGACTAAACTACAGTTACCTTTTCAGCGAGAAATGCCACCATGAAGGAAAAGATATCCGCCGTGTAATGGAATGCGTCCGCAACGAGCGAGAGAGACCGCGTTTTGAACCCCACGCCAAATTCTCCCATCACAAATGAAAAGGAAACGGCGATGACGATCAGGAGTCGAACCTGTGTCGATACTCTGCATTTCCCAAAGCAAACCTGCATGTTCATTTTGTCCCGCGAGGCTTAGTACCCGGGGTAAAAGAACCGCTTTCTTCTTCGAATATGCCCACTTCCTTTTTGCCCAGCGGTGGAAAGGAATCGTGGACTGTCAACGTGCTGAGCGTCTCGACAAGATTCCTGAGTTTCGATAATCGATGAGATAGCTGAGACTAATTCTCATTTCTCGTGAGATCGTTGACGGAAAAGGGGCGAACGCAGCCAAGCTGTCTTTGTTTTATCAAGAAACGAAAGCCAGGCAATAGTTGTAGTTGCGATGGGCTTTGGCAGGAGCGTTTTTCGATAGAAGGGATTCTTCAACACAAAAAAAAAAAAAGGAAAAATCTTTGGACTGGCCCAGTTCGAGGGCCTGAATTTCATCAAGCCCTGGTATCCACAATACCTCAGGAGCTATATGTACTCGCCAGGACCCGGTCCCTTGGGAACAGGTAAGAAGATGCTCGCAAGTGTGAGAAAAGATGTTAAACTGCACTCAAGGCACAGCTTGGTATTTATTCGATTCTATCGTGGTCTATAGGTGCGACTCCATTTTTGTAGCAGCCAGTGATTACTTTATGCCAGCACAATTAACGTCACGAGCGAAGTCGGGACGATGCTGTGGCACTCTGCCCAAGGGCTTTAGTTGATGCGCAAAGACCACCAGTGAATGTTTCTCCCCTTATTCTTTCCCCCCGGATGGGCATCGGACTCTACTCCGTAGTTTGAGAAAGCGGCCGATAGCTTTTGAAGCCTGTCTTATAGTGGACTTGGTCTTATTACATGCAGGCTGTGGTTGAGCAGAATCACCGCCCGCTGTGCCACCGTAATCACAAGCATGTGGTTTCATTACAAAGGCAGCGTTTTCGAGGCCTTTTCCCTCCGAAGAATTGCTCTTTGTTTTCCCCGTAGGGAGGCGTTGTCCTTTTCCTCTATTTGTTTGTTTGTCATTTCCCTGGTGATTTATTTACTTCTTTTTTCCGGGATTCTTAGTTCGACCAACGGATCGCTGGGAGCCACCTAACTGCTCTGTGCTCTGTACAAGATAGCAATAACTACTCCGTAGGGAATCAGAGAATGCGCCCATACGAAAAATTGTCCTGCGGGACTATTTGGCCACGGAACCATCTTTCTGCACGTCACCATCCCTCCGCTTGGATGCTCACCTGGGTTAGAACACATTCCGAAGCGGCTGTATTCCAGTAGGTCGTTAAGGGTTGTACCTAAGCTTGTAGGCTTTAAGGCCCGTCACACCCTTGTTGGCTGAGGGTGCATGTGGAAGTTGTGAAGTTCAGAAATGCAGTAGCGAGTAGTCAGTTACAAGTATGGAACACTCTTCCCGATCAAGGTGAACGGGATTTCCTTTTAGAGGCTTCGTCAAGAGTTGGCCGTGTTTTATGAGAGCCGTTGACCAGGCTTGAAGCGTCCTGCGGCGTCTTGGCGGGTTCAAAAGGACCACAGGGTGACATCTGAGCAATGCTCGGTTTGAGACACCTGCATATTCATCATGGCCAGCATCGCTCACTAGCGAGTGAAAACTAACAAGTCAAAGGCTGCGAACCTCTTTTTGTGTGGACGCCTTTCTTCCACAATCTGAATTGAAACGCTGATCAGCTGGTTTAACTCCCAGTGTCCCGTCCTGAGTGCAACTTAGAGAAGAATGTCCCAACGACGGCGACGCTGGCTTCTCCTCCCACACATTTCGATTCTGACATGGCTGGTTTGCCTCAGCGCCGCCGCCAAAGTCCAGTTCTGCAAGAGCAACGAGGACGGTTCCGTTGATCTGTGCCTCGCGCTGGCGTCTTATCGGAATGGGACGACCAACAGCAACGACGTCTACCTGCACTTATCCTCGAAGTTCACTGGTCGTAGGGGATGGGCGGCGTTTGGCACGGGCACGGGCATGGACGGGTCGATGATGTTTATCTTCTACCCCAGTGAGCGCGAGGGAGGTATGTTCATCCTCTGCTCCGTACCTCTCTCTAACTACATGATTTGGAGCGTGTCCCGGGGCTGATCTTCGCCAATCCTCAAGATGTTACGCTGAGCGTGAGGAGTTCAAGGTAAGCTCGATAAGTCCCATGGCAGAAAGAATAAAAAGAAAAAAAAAATTGCAGACAAAGAAAAGGCTGTCGCTTATTGAAACAACTTGCATTGAAACAGCGGGCATCTTCCCCCCGAAGCACACCCTGAACTCCCGTCTCATGAGGTGATACAAACCTCTGTGGATGCCCATTATCATGATGTCCACGTCGTTTGTTACGCATGTGACGGGTGGCCGGGGAAGAAAATTAAGGTGGACACGGACCATCAACCCTGGATATGGGCAACGCATACGTCTCAGGTCATGCAAACGGCAGATGTGGACCATCGGTTGGAGTACCATGGGCATCATGGTCATGGTGAGTCCCCCCTTTCTTTTCTCATTTTTTTTTTCATTTTTTTGGCCCGAAGATCTGAAGATTGGGATGCCGGTCTGATAACATCCTGCACAGGTGGATTTTACCTCAACATGGCCGATGGACGCTCAGCATCTTTTCCCAGGACTGACTTGAAGATGCTTATGATCGATAGAGGATCAGCTCATCCCGAAGATCCACAGTCGAACTCTGAAAGTATACGCCGTTTCTTGTTTCAAGTGCATGGCTTCGTCCTTGCCGTCGTTTTCACATTGATCATGCCATTGGGAGTGGGGTTCATTCGACAGGGGGGTGAATCCGCATTTTCCCGCCATTGGGTTGTTCAAGCCAGCGCTGTTATCGGAGCCATAGGTGGGATGAGCATCGCGCTTCTAATTTCCAAGAAATTGATTCAGGTACGTTCCCGCTGGCGAACTTCTTTTCTCTCCGTTCCTTCGCCCGAGATGCCAATTTCTGATTCTGTTTGACTATGGGCAGCTGGGGGACGCGCATGGAACACACAAGTTGATCGGTATATGTCTGCTATTGGCTATATTGGTGCAACCCTGCATCGGATATTGGCATCATCTAGCGTTTCTTAAACTGAAGCGCCGGACATCCGTCACCTATGCCCATATATATTTTGGACGAGCTGTGCTGATGCTTGCATGGCTCAATATTGCACTGTAAGTGCAGGGTACATGGGCGGCAATTGCACACCTGTACCGTCTCCCGCTTTCCCATGCATCTGTACTACATATGAATATACTAACCTTTATATCAAGAGGGCTTTACATCGCACATGTACCATTTTTGATCTGGCTTGCGTGGATAGCATGCATGCTTCTCGCGATCGTTGGAATGCTACGGCTGCGAACCGCGTCCCGTTTGTTCAAGCGGGGAAAGAGAAATGTATCCATATCTGAGTATGAGTTAGTGGATGGCGATGAAATTTCCCCCTCTCAACCGCAGGGCCGGTCGTTTACAAACTAGATGCGCCGTTAGTCCAAATATTAGGCTCGAGCGGCTAGCCGCAAATTAGAAAAGGCGTTGTCTACAACAAGAGCGACCCAAGCATTCATTTCCCCCCTTTTGTTTGGGGCTTGAATACGCCTGGAAAGCCGCGCGTATATTTTTCTTTTCCTGCGGACTAAATTCTCAGTTTGTGGGGCAATGCTCTGTGTACCACGCCCCTAGTTAACCCTACTGTTGTGGGACGAAGGCATGTCCAAATCCATGAGGAAAAATTTGGTGGCCTCGAACAATCCTCTTGTTCACTGTCGGTGACGCTAGCAGATACAAAACATATTTTTAAAGAGATACCAAGTTATCGACGCATCCCGTTGACGTTTACGTTTGCTGGGATACAACGTCCGCATTTCGCGATGTCATTGAAGCGCGCAATTGGGAGAGTACGCGCAAACATCAATGATGCCTTTCTATCTTTGCAGATTTCATACTCGTCGGACCATGCCGAAAAGTGCAATGTATATGTTGATCCTTGGGGTTCAAGTCCATGTATGTATTCCGTTGGCTGTCGTCATCAAGGGAGCGGTATCCATTCGTCCACCACATACTGCAGAATTCCCTTATGTCCCAGGAGCTTAGTGCCAATAGATCAACGGGAAGCTGAACCGTCCGTCGTTCTGCAACATCCTTTCGCTCGATAATCGTTAGCAGTCGGGACAAAGGAGGCAGCACGATGAAATATTCGGACGACTTCTGGACATGCTGCATTCGCTCAGTCTTAGAGACAGGATGCCGTTGATGTCCATGAGTTGGATGAATCGCATATAAAACCCATGGCTTTCTCCCTGCTGAGACGCCATCGCCTTCCTCAAATCATCAATTACTCAAAGCTTCTCTGTATACGCCATCATGTACTGGCCAATTCTCGTCCAAGCTCTGGTTCTCTCGGCTGGCGCCGTGGAGGTTCCGTTTGATACAGGGACGAAGCCAACAGGAGTGGTTGACCCTAGAACCACTAAGCAATGTCAACTTTGGGTTAACAAAATTACGGACTCCAATGCCTGCCCTACTATCGTGAAGTACTTCAGCCTCAAGCAATCCGAATTCTCGCTTTGGGTTTGTCATCACTCTTAAATCTCCCTCGGATTTTCTATGATGCTTACGCTTTTCTTTTAGAATCCGGGAGTTGATTACGATTGCAGAGGTTTCAAGAAAGGTAATTCCTACTGTGTGAAAGCGCCCGTCTGGCGTGCGCCTGCAAAAAGGGCACTTCCACCAGGGGTTGGAGTTTCTATTCCACCTTTGTCAAAGAGGTCGCCCACACCATCAACGTTGATCGTATCCGCTTTGCCCCGATCTCTGTCGTCAACAACAGAAGTCACGTTCTCCCTTGGCCTCCCTAGTCAATCCCCGACGAAAGCACGGCCTACAGCTTTGGTGAAAAAGGCACCCGATACAACGCCCCTCTCAATACTCCCACCTACTCCTGCCAAGCGATCAGAGTCGATGCCTCTCTCAATCCTTCCACCCACTCCTGTAAAACGATCTGAATCAACGCCTCTCTCAATCCTCCCCGTGTCCGGCGGACAGGAACCGTCAGCACTACCAGTTCCTCCTGCAAAACGATCCGAATCAAAGCCTTTTTCGATCCTCCCTGTGACCCCCAGGCATGAACCGTCAGCAACAATGTCTTCTAATCCTGCAGCAAAACGGTCTAGTGCTCCCGTATCACCTCCTCCACCATCTGCTACTGCCCCAAGCACGGGGCTGCCCAACAGACTCATCCACCCGGGGACGAAGACGGACTGCAAAGACGACCTTCTCGCGAAGCAGACTGATGCGTGTGATTAGATCATCTCTGAGAATGGGACTCCTGAGCCGAACTTCAGCACTTGGAATCCGGGTGTTGGATTAGGGCTGTGATAATTTGTTGCTGCGGTTTTGTGCCTGTGTGAAGGAGTAGGCAGTCAGAGACGATATCCATTGAGGAATAGTTCTTAGCCTTTGCGAAAAATGGCTCCTATCGAGGAGGATAAATGCAAGATAGGGTTCGAATTATGGTGAATGTTGGTATTCGGACTAGTTAACGCTCCTTTTCGTTGCTCCGGTTTTTGTTTCTTGCTTTCTACGATAAGTAGGGTACTATCTTTAGTATAAGCGAAAGCTATGCGTTGTCATGCCTCTAATCTTGCCTAGATCTGTTTTATCCCGAGACTAGACAAAATGTGTACTCGCATCTAGGTTTTGTAGGATGTTTCTATGTCAAAGATTGATGGACATTGTATCGTGCCCCTGAAGCGGATGAAGTGTACAGATGAATCCGATCTGTACCACAGAAGGTACATCATCTTCAGAATGCATCAACTGCGAGGTAAGTGTTGGAATATTTGAAGGTGGCTAAGTTGGAATGCAGGGTTGCAACAGGGATGCGGATGAAATTGTTCGCAGCAAGAAAAAACTCGGGGAGCCGCAGTTACTCGTTGCTGCGAAGAACATTTGTCCACAGACATTCGAGGGAAAAGGCGATTGAAGCTTATAGCAATGCCTAGACTGAGTCTGGGGGCCGTGATGCGGCATGCAGGGCGTGACAGATTGCAATTCCGCATTTCCCCTGGCAAAATACTTTCAAGAGCCACATAATACTACCCAGCGGAGATATAAGGTTCGTCTTCATGGCCTTGCAGATATGACTGACTGAATGACCTGCAGCTTGGCCCGAAGCGGTCACCTCATTGGGACTTAAGAAATTGTCATCACTTGCTTTTGCGTGAGAAATGCTCGGCGAGGCTCCCGTGTCAGGGTGAAAGTTATCACTGCTCAGTAGTCAACCACAACCTCCCAGCGGCTATCGCTCTGGTTTGTCAGCGCGGATATGATCGACGCAGCAGATGATCCCTGCATCCTCAAAGGCAAGGTTCTGGGGAAGAAATTCCACCACCAAAAGCCGGGAAGACGCATATACTCCCTGCTTCAGTAATTGGCACTATTCTACTGCCAATCAACGAACTCTGTCTTGGGACGGTCTCCAGAGTGTCCATATGTACGATGCGAGTACGCATTGCAGATTGTACCCCACGTTACTCCAGAGAACAACATGCATCATGATTGACAAGGCAAAAGTAAGAAATATCCTACCTGCAGATTCAACTATGACTTGCTGGGAAGAGAATGTTGCTTTGTATGGTTGTGCAGATCTTCGTGACATGGCACGGCGCAATTCGCTTGGTTCTCAACTGTACCACATCAGTTTCTCACACGCAGCGATCAGTGATAGGGTCAATATTCCTCCGTCAGGGATGTTTCTTCGCATTGAAAAAACAACCCGCTCTTCGCGTGATGGAATAAAAGCATGCAGGATAGAGTAATACCAAAGGGGGATGCATGCAGATGCCTTGTGCTCACGCGTCTCCTCGAAAACAAGCAGAAAAGCGGGGAAAGAATATCCTCCACAATAACTAGCTGGGGCAAAAGATATGTTTATATTAAAGCTACCGTGGATATGAGCTTTTCGCGCCCGATTCTCTTGTATTCTTCTCGTCTTTCGACTTTGAGCGGCCGATTTAACTTTGCAGTGCGCAGTTGTTAGCACCAATGGCGTTGACACATCGTGTCTTGCCGTTCTCAGCTGGTACACTTGCGAGCGTTGCTGTATCTGCAGCCCTAGGCTATCTGATCTATCGTTTGTTAAGGCTGGGCCGCCGTCCAGCCTATCTTCCCCCAGGACCACAGACTCAGGCAATATGGGGCAATCTGAAACAGGTCTGGTTGCGCTTGAATGATGAGCAAGAATGCATCCCTGATAATCGCTTTTCTCCAGTGTGATCCTTCTTTCCCACAGCATCAATATGCGGATTGGGCGTTAACACACGGCCCAGTATACACGGTCATGCAAGGGGACACACCCCAGATTATAGTCAATAGAGCCACAGAGGCGCGAGATATCTTCGTGAAGCAGGGAGCTTATACACAAAACCGCCCGCCATTCCGTTCTATAATGCTGCTCCGAGACGGATATTTTCCCAGCCTGATGAACGGATCAAAATGGCAAAATGCGCGGAAGATGTGGCAGGTTGTGTTAAGTTCAAGTGCGATAAAAAATTATATCCCCTACCAAGAGCTAGAAAGTGAACAACTACTCCTTGACACCCTCAATGAACCCCTGCTCTGGTATGACCATCTCGAGCGATTTGCTAACAGCGTCGGGATGGTTATGGTGAACGGATATAGGATCACATCGTCAAGTGACCCGATAGTGAAGGAGACAGTCGAGGACCTATACGATTTGTCAAGGGTGGGGTTTTCAGGCAATATGCTTGACTTCTGGCCGTTTCTAGAGAGAGTTGTATGGACACTCCCGATATACAAGTTGGGCCGTAGAATGGCGAAAAAGCACAAGGATTATATCTGGAAGAATTACTTCGGGGTGAAGCAAAGGGCTGAACAAGGAACAAGGCTACCATCATTCAACCGAACGATCCAGGAACGGCTCCAGGAAGGTTGGACGGAGGTATCCGAACTAGAGGGTGCCGAAATCGGCCAACATCTGTTGTCTGGCTCAACGGATACGGTGGTTTCGACATTGACCACTTGCATTGCTGCGTTATGTCTCTTCCCGGACGTGCAACGCAAAGCGCAAGAAGGTTCGAATCGGTCCCAACCTCACCACTTCGCACAAACTGACTTTGTGTAGAAATTGACCGAGTGGTGGGGCTGGACAGACTCCCACGGGGTGAAGATGAGATAAATCTTCCGTATATCCAGCAACTGCTACTTGAGTAAGTGTCCTCGAGAAGACATTATCTTCTCACACTCTTGGCTAATGCTGATTGCCAACAATAGGGCTCAGCGTTGGTGTCCTGCGATGCCACTTTGCGTCGCAAGGGTGACCAGCGGCCCAGTCAGCTGGGGGAAATATAACTTTCCCGAGAACACTGGACTGACAATCAATACATATGCGATCCACAACGACCCGGAATTGTACCCGGAGCCTCATATTTTCATGCCAGAGCGTTGGGAGGGAAGAATCAAGGCTGCTCACGGGGAGAACCAGCTTCTTTTTACCTTTGGCGCAGGGCGTCGTTTTTGTCCAGGAAAGAGCTTGGCAGAGAAAAGTCTATTTATTGCCATTGCACGCTGGCTGTGGGCATTTAACACATCTCACGCCACAGATGAAGAGGGAAACAAGATCCCCATCGACCCCAAAGATCTCAGGCCAGGTAATATAGTTCGAATAAAGCGATTCTCGGCAGACGTCCAGCCGAGAAGCCCCCAACGAGCTGGGGTGATCCGGAGGGTATGGAGAGAAAAGTGTGACACTTTGCTGGACGAGAACCACCAGTGGAAGACAAATCCGGAAAGAATTGCGGAATCGATGAAGATGGAGTGTGACATCTAGTCAGGTATAAGGCATTGATGGGATGGGGAAATGGTCAATAAACGAAGGGAGAGGGTTACAGCCGGGTGCAAATATGTCCGTTGTACGCATCTTGATGTAAGAGAGGGAGATTCCAGAAGGATGTGGACATAATATATATATATATATTGTATGCAACGATGCGGCTGGGGGAGGATCCTAGTTGAGCGGAGAGGAAAGCCGCAGACTATCCACGAGCAAGAGAGCCGGAAGAGGGCTACGAGCCGCAGGCAGGCGATTGGGAAGAACAAGGGTCGTCGGTAGCTCGAAAGATGATCCTGCTGGCAAGAGGAGAGACAATCAACGCATTTGATATCATAAAGGACAGTCGTCCATTATCAAGCAGTGAATGAAGACACGAAATGAATTTTGCAGTGGGATCAGGGATCGCTGAGGCTGGCGGAGGCAGCTGCATGTCTCTCTCTCGGCTTCTTCCAGCGTTTCTCCCCGCTGTCGAGATACACAAACCGTAATTTAAGCTCTGCTAGGCGGGAAGCCAAGCAAGGTTGGGGGCGGTGGCGGAGTGGGGACGCCTTTTTATGTCTCCTCTGCCCTTCGGCCCAGCTCAATTCCATGGAACGAAAAGCGTCCCAGCCAGCAGAAGCCCAGGCACGCGCCTGGGTATGTGATGGAACCATGCGGGGTAGGAGAAGAGATTAAAAAAGAGGAAAATTATTTTATTTGACTGCGGAAGTTCGTGTTTGAAAAATCCACTCCGAAGGTTACCAGGCCGTAACTCGCCAGGTTTTGACTTTGGCTTTATGGGGCGGGAGGGAAATTATCTGAGCTCATTTGCGGAATCAGAGGCAGACCGATATTATCAAGGGAATACGGAGGAGGAGAGGAGGATCAAATGGAGGGAGAAGGCTGTCGGTCGTGGCGGGATGACAGCTCACTGTATGGCCGGCCGCTAGGTGAATATTTGGGGGTCAAAAATGCAGGACGCATGCAGTTCAATTTGTAAATCATCATGATGGCAAACGTAAGATGCACGAGCAATATGTTTTAATATCCGGGATCCCTGGTAGCATCAAGCACGAGAGTACTCTGTATATCAGGAAGAGATATCGGAGAGGGAAGAGAAGGGGAGAGAAAAAGGAGAACCAAATGTCGTGATGCGGCTTAGTGAGCTAGTCAGCCCGTACTTGGAGCCGCCGATCGCTCACCCCCAACCTCGCGCCCTCGTCACCGTGATCCTTGGTCTCTCTCTCTCTCTTTTTTCCTCTCACGCATTCTCCCTCTCTTCTGCGCCCGCAAGTTCCTCCTCTTTCGGCTTCTATCGAGCACACGCAATGCTGGCCCCTCCGTCCTCATAGGTTAATTCATTTGTGCTGCGTGACACTATAAACTGGACAATGGTCAGCCAGGTATGTGGCTTTTACCAATCAGCTGCCCCTCCTCTCACGCTGGCTCTCTCTCTCTCTCTCTCTCTCTCTCTCTCTCTCTCTGTGTCTCTCTCTCTCTCGCTCGCCGGTCTGCTAGGCCCTGTCATGCACATCTATCCTTAAATTGCTCATGCCGCTGGCTTTCATTTGCTTGCGGTCGTCGGGTTGATTGGTCTCCGCTAGTTGCTGACCCCGGCTTCAATTTAGACATCGCGAGAATCACCCCGCCAAAACGCCCGATGTTGATTTGCCGATCCCCTGTCTTCTCGCTCCATCGACGCAGACGCACGCCTAACCTGTCCATAACATACTCCTGACTGGCGCTGTGGGACGGAAAATAAGAACTGTCCCTCCCTCCTGCTCTCTCCAACCAGCCCCATGCACCACTTCCACAATAACAAGTCGCAGCCATCACTTCCGCAGATATTCGAGGCAGGTGGTGAGGACTATAGCGAACATCAGGGCTCCAATACCGGCCTACCTGCCCGCTATTCATTGGTTATTCCGGGCGATAACGACTCCCAACAACCGTTCTACGCATATTCCAATGATCAGCCCGCCTACCACCCTCCGCACCACCATCACTACTATCACCACCACCAGCAACAAAATCACGACGACAACTATACTCATCCTGCCCACTCCGCGAACAGAATTGGCCACGAACTTCCGGACTCACCTCCACCACCGTTGTCTCGCCAGCAAGGAGGCAGGCCTTCTTTGAATCTGGTTCCCACTTCTCCCACCTTCGGCCTCAGCAGCTCGTCTGATCTGAGCTCGGCCGATCCGTCCTACACCCCGCATAGCTCGGAAGCCTCTCCTCTAGTGGAATCCCAGCCACGAAAGTTACGAAAGAGCCTGTTTGGATTGACATCCAAGGATAAGCACAAAGATAAGGATCCTTCATCGCGAGGCACCAAAGTCCTTGGACGTAGCATATCTGTGAGACGCAAGGTTCCTGGTCAGACACCTCCAGATCAGCAGAATTTAAACGGCCAGCCTTTTGACGCTGACCTGATAGACCCTAAAGAGGAAGATTCCACAGAGATCCGTATGCCTCTACACAAGAAGTCCAGTCCCCAGTCTGTCTCTCCCTACCCTCCGTCTATAAACCGCTCCTCTTCAAACGTTGAGGGCCAGCAGTTTGACCCTCCTCGAATTCAACGCGTGAGTACCGAACCACTTTCCCATGAGTTCTACCCGCCGCGACAATCATCGGCACACCAGTACCAGGAGGGACTCCACCTTTCTGGGTCACCCCACCCCCAGTTGCAGCTTGACCAAGCCCACCTGCAGCAGCCAGGCCCAAGCTATCAGTTAAGCGGACCACAGGCCTTTGTAGACCAGGTATCAAGTGCTCGCAGTCAATCCCCGCAAGTGGATCCTCATCTCACTCCAAGGCCGCCATCCCAGCAGTCCTTTGGGCCCCCTTCTCCCCTTAATCCTCAGTATCAAGGTTTTGAGTCTAACCAGTCTAAATCTCATTTTGGACAGTCTCTCCAACCACCCGCCGGCCCGAACCCCGCGCAAGGTGGGATGGATAGGCAGACAGGACTAAGACAGCCCGGAGAGTCGATGGGACAGAATGCCCAGCCACAAACTGCTCAACCTCCAAGTCTCAGCCCTGGTCCTAGTTTCAAAGGCAATTTGCCCCAACCAGGTTCTGGTGAACCAGATCGGGACACTCCACCTCCACCTCCTTCAAAAGCCCGAGATGACACTTCTGATGTCGATGTTCAAGCCTTAGTTCAGAAACATGAAGAGCTCCGTACGTTATCGCTTGGCTACCCTCCAATCTATTTCCTGTTCAATGGTGGCTTTATCGTTGCTGACAGCTCACAGAGGCGAAGTATATCAAAGTCAAGAGATACTATTTTGAAAAAGAAGCGCAGGTGCAGCAGTTGCAGAACACAGTCGCTCATCAACGGATGTCTACATCACGAACTGTTTTAGACGACAACGAATACTCGACACGCTTTGGTAGACTAGATGGCGCCATCAACAATCTTGCATTCAATATCCGAAAGGACTGGAAGAGTATTCCGCCTTGGCTACAAGGTGTTGTTAACGAGGACGCTCACATGGTGGGTACCAAAGAGATGACCGCCGTTGGTCGCGCGTGTCTCACAAGATGGCTGGTGGATGAAATTTTCGACCGGTACTTCCATCCAAGTTTAGAGCCCGGCTTAAGTCGGCAATTGAAAATCATCGAGCGTAATGTCCGGCGTATGGGCAAGGCTACTACCGAAGAAGATAAAGAAAACCATCTAGCAAAGCTTTCCACATGGCGGCGAACGACTCTAGACGGCCTAGGAGAGGCATTGCAGGGCAAGTTAGCGGACGATCATCGCGCCCAGCTCACTGTTTCTCTTGTTGAAAAACTGACTGCCAGCCTTGAGATGAACCTCAAAGACCCAGCGCCACCAGGCCTGGAGAATGGAGTAGCCATGATTGTTGAGCTTGCTGTTGGAATCGCTGCAAACATACCGCTCGAGTCTAGAGATGTGACTGTGGAATATTTTCTACCTGGCTCACCAATCATAGAATCGCATATGAAACTCGAAACGACGTTGCGTCCCCTTGCGAACCTCGCATCCGAGAGTCGTCAGAGTCCTGAGCCTTCTTCGGCATCAACCGATCGAGGCGACCAAGGATCTCTAAAAGAACTTACCATGGAAGGAGGCCCCTCCGAAGCAGACACGTCGTCGTCCTCCACGACGAACTCCGGCTACAGCTCTAAGGAAGGCCGAAAGAAATCCGTTTTCGGTTCGCTCATATCCAAAAAGACTCATTCAACTCCGAACCAAGGACAGACAGACTCTAGCAGGCCTGGTTCAGTGGCACTTCGGGATGGGAAAGAGCGCAGCGAAGGCGACAAAGACGAGCCGATGCGCATTCGATTCGCTGCTTTTGTCGCGGTAGAAGTCCGCAGCAAGGGTGTGGGCAACGTCATTGTCAAAGCACCGGTCTATGGCCTTGTATAAGAGGTCGACTTGCGTCGTTGATAATGGTCTAATATGAACGGAAAATCTAATTTGGGAAATATGGAAAGTGATTTGTATGAAACGATTTTGTGGCGGCTACTTGTTTGATGCCTTTGCCGCTTCGTACGCTTTAATGGTTTGCTTCATTTGGGTTTTGTCGTGCTACGGAGTTGGGGGTTTATCTGGCTAGAAATATATCGACAATTTGGGTTACCGGCGATTCCTTACCGGGTTTGTTACATTCGCGATGACGTGCACCTTAACGGGGTCTTTCATTCAACATCTTGCAATCATCCCCTGTCCAAAAAGCTTTTGAGAAGATAGTTATTTGCTCGTCCGGGGATGTGGGCTCGACAAGCGAAAGGGGCTGTTGGTTTAGTGGTATAATACCCGCTTAGCATGGCTTCACGAGTTCCACTCTAAGGGCACGAGCATGCGGGTGGTCCGGAGTTCGATTCTCCGACAGTCCAATTCTCTTTCTTTTTTGCATTTTACTTTTGTCCTTTGGGCCTTTCCTACGCTTTGCATTGTTCATGTGCGGTTGAAGAAGCAGGTCCGAGGCTATCAGGGAAGAACCCTCCGTTTTACGGAGTATGTATAAAAAGCAGCTGGCCGGGGTATCTGACCGAAGAAAAGCTGACTACTCCGTACGTAGCTGTTGTAAAAGGGTCCCCATACTACCGGTGCTTTACGGACTTTGCTTCTCCTGACGTCCAAGCCGGTCGATGTCGCCGCCGTCATATATCACCACATCGCCGCGCTTTCAGCTCGTCGTAAATTTTCTTCGGTAGCTGCAGAAGTTGCGCTAGTCTGAAAATAGACTAGTTAGTTAACTAGCGTCGTCGGCTTACATAATGGTCCGTAGCGAAAAGCCCTGAGGCGCCATTCCAGATGCGGCTAGCGCTTGCATTTTGGATCCCACACAGCGAAATCTTGACGAACCTCTTCCGAACCTCGTCAATCCTCACACCCTCGTCGTTGACCTGTACAACTCCCCCGGGTGGATATCCAGCGCATATATCGCCCATCATGTGTACGTTCCCTCCTTCTCTCCCTTGTGATTCGGTTGGTCTTGGAGCTTCGCTGGGCCGGTGCTGTGGCGGTTCCACGAAGTTTTTTGCTTGTGGGCTTGCGCGGAAGAGATAGGCTGACGAGAGTGAGCAACAACCATATAGCGCTCGTGTCCGGCGAGAAGACGAACTTCCAGTTCATCTTGCGTCTTCTGAACACCAATGTCGACGGCAAGCAGAAGATCATGTACGCCTTGACCAAGATCAAGGGTGTCGGTCGCCGATACTCCAACTTGGTCTGCAAGAAGGCTGATGTCGACTTGACCAAGCGGTACGCCACTCTTTTTCTTCACTCCTTACCCAAGTGCAACGGTCGATGAGACTACTTTAAAAAAAAAAAAGGGGAAAACCAAAAATTGAAGAGAGAGACGGCCATACACAGCTGAATGAGAACTTTTGTTGACAAACTTTCTTTTCCTCCCAACAGTGCCGGAGAAATCACCACCGAGGAGCTCGAACGTATCGTCACCATCATCCAAAACCCAACCCAGTACAAGATCCCCACCTGGTTCCTCAATCGTCAGCGCGACATCACCGACGGCAAGGACTCCCAGGTCCTCGCCAACAACATGGACTCCAAGCTCCGTGAGGATCTCGAGCGCTTGAAGAAGATCCGTGCCCACAGAGGTCTCCGCCACTACTGGGGTCTCCGTGTCAGAGGTCAACACACCAAGACCACCGGCCGCAGAGGACGCACTGTCGGTGTCAGCAAGAAGAAGGGTTAAACGAAATGCGCATTGCGTCGTGTTTTCTTTTTTGCCCCTCGTTTTCCCCCATCTCACGTTTCTCGCGTCTTCTTTGCTTCCGCTTTTTCTCTCAAATTCCGGTGTACGTACTGGGTGCCTTGGTACGTGTGGGGATGTGGATAGGGCGAATGGGATGATCTTTTGATGTTCTGCTATGACAGGGTCAACAATGGGTAATTTGAGATGGACTGCTTTTTAAGAAAAGAAATAAAAACTGGTGTGGACTTCTCTTCTCCGAGAGGAGAGAAATAACAAAGAAAGAGTGGCGAGCCAGGCTTGTTCTCCCGACCCACCTTTTGTTTTTGAGATTATTCTATACCATGATGAACCCTGCCTAGTATGAATGAAAAAGACTCGAAATGAACAAAATTCAATGACTTTCCCTTCTGTCGCGACAATCCTATCGGGTCTACTGCTAAAGTTCAGAGTACGGAGTACTGGTTAAGCGAGTATTGCGCATGAACTGTTGCCATCAACCCATGATAAAAATCTACATTCAGGCTCCCTCAGTTAAATATTTGGTAAAGCTCAGCTGGATGCATCAATGTACGGATGTTGGTTTAACAGTAATGGAAATCTAAAGCATTATGCTACTGGATATGTATAGTAACCAGTGTTCCATCACCTCATGATATACTTAAAACCACAAATTCGCCTATGTAATAAGCCATGTGTCTCAGACCTTCTGAGGTCGATCTTCATTCTAAAGCAAACGCAGAAGGAAACGCAAACCATGTGTGTCTACACATTATCGTAGCATAGGGACAAGTCGAAGAAAGGAGTAGGTGGGCGTCGTTGGTACCGGGAAATGCTTTATCCTTTCAAGCTCACCATTCACCACCCAGCCAGCGGTTGAAGAATTCAAGGCTTGCTTCTGGCTGATCAAGTGGAACCATGTGTCCACCACCGAAGAGTCTCATGAAGGTGAAGTTACCGTATGACTTGACCTTTCCAATATTCTTGCCCTTGTTCTCGTTATCGACGATAGTCAGATCCTTAAGCTCGGCTTTGGCGAACTTCTCGCGGCCACTCCATTCAAGGGCATCGGTCCATGCCTGGTTTCCGAGCCAGTTGCAGATGAAATCGGCATCGCCAGCGTAGATGAGGACGCGAATTTGGTCAATGAGTCCAGGAACGACACGGTGGAATGGTTTCATCCAGTCACCATGGAAGAGGAAGTTGCGGTTGATATCCATGTTGCAGGAATCGTAGCTGCTTACTTCCACGCCGAGAGCATCCATGACAGATTTCTGGTTGAGCCACTCCGTGATGTAGCCGAGTTGACTGTAGCAAAGAGAGCCGCCATCCTCGCATTTGGCACGGACATCATATGGGTTCTGACCGGTGCGCTGGTATGGGCCAATCATCGCGTTATTGCAGTAGATCGAAGCTGGCACACACAACCAGGCACTCTCACTGCTATAGCAGGATTCGATCATAGACAGGCAGCGAGGAAGCGAGTTATCCATGGAGCGGCAGGTGGATTCATCCAAAACAGCAGGGTAGCCACCTTCGCCACAGGCCATGGGTCTGTAGTGTGGGTATTGCGTGAGCGGGTCAGTCAAGCCATTGCCAATGAGCACCGACTGGAGGTTTATGTTTCGGTTCTTATGGGAGAGAATCTCTGACGCGAAAACTGGAATGTAATGTCCTGCGTAGGATTCACCTGCAATGTGGAAATCCTGTGTGGCGTATTGCGGGAATTGTTTGAAGAAAAGAGTCAGAAGAGCGTAGACATCCTTCCCTGCGGCGATAGTGTCACTAACGGATCCACCGCTATATGAAAAGCCAACATTGACGGGTTGATCCAAGAAGATGACGGATGCGTTAGAGTTCCATGAGTAAGGGTTGTGCACAACCTTAAGGTTCTTATCGATACTCGCGGGGCCAAGCTCCAAGAACAAGCCAGTTAATGATGAACAGCCTGGGCCACCGTTCAACCATAACACAACAGGATCATTCTTGGGGTCGTTGCGAGATTCAAAGAACCCTATAAAAAGTTCAGCATCAGTCACATGCAAGATTCTGAAGGGGATGTTGTAGGCCAAAACGAACAGTAGAACAAATGCTTATCGTTTTCCTTGTCATCCAGATAACCGCTATACTGCTTCACTTTATCGATTCCCAGCTTTGATGGATCCACAGCCTTGACTCTCAGATCATATTTCTCTAGTTTGCCGTCAACTTCTCGACGTTTCTGGCCGTCGGCGCCTTCCACCCAGATACTTTGAACGTCCGATCCGCGGACGATATGGTCCCAATGGGTGTCCGGTCGACGAGTGTGTTTCTTGGGGGCAGAGAAGAGGGTGTACTCGTTAATAGCATCTGGAAATGCAGACGCAAGCTCATTCCACGCCTGTTTTGCGTCGTTGCCGAGGGTCTTGAAGGTGTCCTTCAGGTTCTCGAGGGGCTTAGCCCAAGCGCTATCTTCGGTTGGGACTTGGATCGGCTGCTGTGGAGGTACAGCAGCCAAGGCAGTGCCGACCAACAAGGTCGCTGTAAGAGCTTTCATGATGCCGGTAAAGTGAACAGAGTCAATCCCACAAGATAACAGGAATCAAAAGCGTTCAAAGAATGAAGCACCAGTTTGGAGACGGGACTGGGTCCGTTGACTGACGTTGCCGAGCCGGCGTGCTCCACTGTGAGAGTTGGGGTGATGCTATAAGAGTGTTCTGCGGCCGGGCGACCGAGTACTCAGTAATGACGATGTTTGATGAATCCCCCAGTGACTTGCTTCTATGAGCGATGAAGGATGGAGGTTGAGGATGGAGATGGGAATGGCGGAAGCCTGATGAGATGAGATGAGGAAGAGGAGAGATTGAGAGAGAGAGGTTGGGCCTGGGATCTGAGGTCGGTGCCATTACGCAACGAAACGCCGAATACCAGCCCATGACCATACCAGATCTGGACTAGAGTACTGAAAAGCCCCGTTTTGAATTGTCACTCGGAAAGCTTGGCGCCCGCCTTCAACGACCCTGGGAGCGACGTATTTCGTCATACCGCCACTAGCCTCGGAGCTTTATTCGTCAGGAACCTGTATTTTATACGAGCACTGTTACTGTTAGTTACAAAACAGTGAGTCCTCACTTTCAATTTATGTAATTATTACTCCACGTGACTCGGACTGCGGACTTTTGTTCTCCCGTCACTGTTAGTCAGCACTGCTATCGATAGTTCGTTATCAAAAGCCGGCGGGGAGAGGCAAGGCTGCGTGCTTCTGTTGTGATGGAGAGGTGATTCTCTGCTCTTAAAAGATCAAACTGTAGTACGGAGTATAGGACTAGACTCGCTATATCTGTGCTATAGCTATTATTCGCTCATTATCTGCTTTCAACCTCCACGATCTTTCTTATCCCCTCTCGCATCAACCCGCCTACATTCGAGCAAGCAGCCCATTACCAACATAATGCCCGTCGGTATAAATCAGCCCTCGAATCAAATAAAATTCACAAACGTATCTGTCGTACGCTTAAAAAAAGGTGTGCAACACAATCCCCTGGCCGCTGTCCGGCCTATTTTCCTTTTTCCCATCCCTCCTTTCCCAACCAAAACCCGCCACTGACCTTAACAGGTAAAAAGCGCTTCGAGCTCGCCTGTTACAAGAATAAACTCCTCGAATACCGCTCCGGCGCCGAAACAGACCTTGACAATGTTCTCCAGGTCCCCACCGTCTTCCTCTCCGTCTCCAAAGCACAAACCGCCCCAACTGCAGAACTCGCAAAGGCCTTCGGCAGCAATGCCAAGCGTGAAGACATCGTACAGGAGATTCTGAGAAAGGGAGAAGTGCAAGTCGGCGAGCGGGAGAGAAAAGAGCTACTCGAACGGGTGGAGAGGGAGGTGCTGGAGATTGTCAGTGCGCGGTTGGTGGATCCCGTGTCGAAGCGGGTGTATACCACCGGGATGATAAGCAAGGCGTTGGATCAACTGAGTGCGGCGAGCGGGCAGCAGGGTGGGAAGCCCAAGAGTGGTGTAGAGACGCCGTCGGAGACGCCCTCGAGGAGCGAAACAGGCACACCCGTCCCGCCGTTGGAGGAGTCGACGTCCCAGCATAGAAAGCCGTTGTGGACGGGAGTGGTGACGACCAAATCTGCCAAGAGTCAAGCTCTGGATGCGATGAAAGCTCTCATCTCGTGGCAGCCGATTCCTGTGATGCGCGCGCGGATGCGGCTACGGATTACATGTCCTGCCTCAGTGCTGAAACAGGCGGCTAGATCCACGACAAACACCAGTGGCGCTGCTGGGGGCGGCGCCGCACAGAAGATTAACAAAGGAAAAGGCAAAAAGGGTAAGAAAGGAGATGATAACGATGATGAAGGTCGCGATATCGGCGGAGTCCAAGGTCCATCGGCCGGAACAGGGACTGTCAAGGATCGGATCTTGGGCTACTTGGAACAGGTGGAATCCCAAGAGATGCTCGGAAAAGATGAATGGGAGGTTGTTGGTTTCGCGGAACCGGGAGCGTTCAAGGCTCTCGGTGAGTTTGTTGGCGGAGAGACCAAGGGAAGAGGGCGGGTGGAAGTGCTTGATATGGCCGTGACACATGAGGAGTGAATTCAGAATTATTTTAATATCATTTGATTGATGCGAATTGGTCCGCAACAAACTTCGTGACCTTCCATTCAGGAATCGCACTTTCGAGATTGCCCTGGTTGCCATCGCCTTGCACAAGAGATGCAACTTCATATACCCAGAATAGGCATGTATGTACTATCGTGTAAATAATCCTCACAGTTCGATCTCTCCGCATTTGGAAGATGCCCAAGTGACATGGCACAAAGGTCAGTGAGTCGATGTGATAAATCCTATGTAAATTTTGGGCATCAAGCTCTGGTAGCATATTGCTACAGAGATGTACTCATGTGCCTCGATCCCATAACCGTGGCAGCGGAGGCCCAGTCCTTTAGCAGTAAAACCAGGATCTTCGTTAACATGAAATGTGGACAATTCTTCTGCATATAATGAACGCAATCATAGCCTAGAGAGATGTTAGTGTTTGCATGGCAGGGTAAGAAATGGGAATATCCTCTTATCTGTCGGGTAAAGTAGCACCTCACTAGCAGGTTCATTGAGTGATAACCAGTGGTCTGTTTGCTTGGATCCAACCTGTGAAATAGGCCGCTTTCAAAGAATGCCTACCTTTCCTTGCCAATAAGTGTGTAGTGGGAATGTATATGCTAAAAGAAATAAAAAGAGAGACACTGCTTTGCACAAATTGATGGACAAGGGAGGTAATAGGGAAGAGCAAAAAATTCTGTTAGTGGGCCCATCTTGGTATGTTGACTTTGGCTGCATGTACTTGTGTTCACCTGGCTATCAAAGGGAAATTATTCCCATGATTTCACTCTAAAGAGGGCAATTCCTGCAATCCTTGCCCCTTGGGTCCAATGGTGAGTGATCACAGACCGTAGAAGTCAAGTGATTCAGGTGTTGTTGAAAAAGGTGTTGAGCAAGAACACGGCGGTGGCGATAAGTTTTCGCACTTCACCCCCCATCGGGGCTTTCACAGACAAGCCTGGTGGCTTCTCGTGTTTAGCTTATCATTTCCCTGGCCCTCCTCTTATTCAGATGCACCACGCATAGTCTAGACACTACTAGCATGGATCTAGTAGATCTACCGCGCTAGAAACTCTCCGGGATGAGATCCATCTCTTCCCCGCTTCGGGGCATCAGCCCTGAGCTGAACAATGTGTGCAAGGTCTTCTGCATCATTACAGTCGCGCATGAACAGAATATTGCATTCCTCACATATCTGAATGCAGATGTGTGGTCAAACAACTTCTCCACAAGGCAAGCAACATCGCTACTCTGATCTGGAGCAGAGAGAACTTGGACCTAGATGGTTAGCTGGACATGCACCAGCCGTGGAAACACATCTGTTAAGAATGTGCAAGAGTCCTTCGTGTCCCTGTAATTATGTCGGATTGAGCCTGGTGTATAGTGCCAGTCTGAGGGGTACGTGGCCGGCGGACGGTGGCTGAACGAATCTCAGAAAGAGACGAACAGTCCGCTTTTCCGGGATGCTGATGTAGGGATTAAAGTGTTGGGGAGAACAGCACTGCTTGTGCCGTGGTAGACTTGTCAACTGACGCGGAGAAGACATGTCACTCTCTCCGACTTGGCTCGACGCGGAGGAAACATGAACCGGAATGCCCACAGACGAAGACTCGACGGCTAGGTATCAAGAACCATCTGGTAGATAATTTCGCGAAGCTCCAGTCGCAGCGAGAAGAGAGACGCTGCCATTATGTAGAACCCCCTTGCTGCAACATCAGGAAAACACCAAGAGCGTGAAGAGAGCTGAAGCCAACTATCAATTATTGGCCAACATTGAACTGGGCAACGAAGGTAAGTTGTTTGTCCAAGTACGGTACGGCAGGCCGGTTATCCCGTAACCCAAAAATCAAAAATTGAAAACATCACAGCCTGACAAGCTGATAGCTAACTTTCGACATTTTGGTGCTCTAACTCATTGGATTTTGTCATGGTATTCCAACGATTGAGTTCCTTTGCCTCATGTTACTAGTGTTCTCGTGAGAAGGATGCTTATGAGAGGATTCGATTAAGGATTCTCACACGAGGACCTTTTATGATAATTTGATCGAGGGTTTGATCAAGCATTTCTCAGGAGTGATCGACACCGCGGATAATCAGGGCTGAGCTTTTCTAGGCTTCTGTGGAGTAGTTACACCAGTGAGGTGGGCAGAAGGAACCGTCCCAGATATTGCGGGATAACCCACATCCCGCGCATTCAACAGTTAGTACTTCATGTTCAATTTTCCTTTTTATATTAGAAGTACGGAGTATTTAGCAAGAAAGTTCGAACAAACTCCAAAGCATTTTTAGCGCAGATCTGACTTTGGTCCTTGCCGTAGCTATATTATTTCCGCTTGTACTCCGTACATCTGGAAGTTTGATTTTTGAAAGGACTTGGAAATGATGAAGTAAATTTCAGCAAGGAAACGTAATAATCTATTTTAAAGACGAGATTTGGCATTTGAGCTGCTAGTGGAGGGCTTCCAAGCACCGAATTAAGCTTCAAATCCATAGATAAGCTTATTAGCTCCTTGTCTTTGGATGGGTGAGAATGAGATGTCACGGATCTTTGTGGTCACAACATGTCAAATGCAAAGTGACCACGCTTTTGCTGGTGGCACCCACCTTCAACCCATAGCCACTAACCAAAGCTGGTTAATTATAAACATCAGATATACTCCGTACTTGGCGTGAACATTTTTAACTTTCACTACCAACTAACTACCTAAGAATCAAGTCTATGCACCACATTATACTGAATTAGGCAAATAGTGGAACATTGAGCGTTGCAAGTCAACGATTCATCTATTTGATATGTCCTTAAAGGTTACCTTTTTCGAGTACTCGCCAGCTTCACAACAACCATCAATAATCACCCAGCCAGCCCTCCAGCGGTCATTATGAACCTTCCAAGTGCCGTTTCCGTCTCGATAACGACAGTTCCGACATTTCCATCCTCCCAGACGGCCGAAAACTCGGTTATGCACAGTATGTTTCACCAAATGGGCGAGCTATCCTTTACCTCCATGGCCTTCCAGGCTCTCGCGTCGAGGCGGCTTGTTTTGAGGAGCTGGGGCTGAAATTAGGCGCCCGTATTATTGCCGCAGACAGGCCTGGTTTTGGCTGGAGCTCACCACACCCCAGTCACACACTCCTTGATCATCCAAGGGACTTGGAACGCCTTGCAGAGCATCTTGGGTTGGATGAATATGGTGTCTTGGTTCGTACATACAAGCGATGCGTCACCTATCCCTGAGATGAGATAGTCCGAGATTGTTTGTTCACAGTAGCCTACATGCTTGAAATGTAGGGAATATCAGGAGGCGGACCATATGCACTTGCTTGTGCGTTCTCATTACCCCATGAAAAGCTGAAGTGTGTTTCGATCGTCTGCGGCCTAGGGGGCCGTGACATCGGTATGCGCGGTGCGGGTTGGCCAACCTTGTTGGGATTTACATGGCGATATCGCTTGGTTCCCACGCCCACTCGGTGGTGGTTTCAACGCCAGTTGGCAGCACGCTTGGACCTGAGCGATGAAAAGCATCTTGAGCTTCTGCAGCAGGATGTGTCGTCAAGGTCCGGGTCCAAAGCAACTCTGTCTCGCGAGGTGGAGAAGGAGCTGGAGGTTATGAGGGATGAACATGTTCTCCGATTGTTTTTGCGAACTAGTCGGGAAAGCTTCGCGCACGGGTGTGATCCGACCGTGCAGGATGGCAGGTTGATCAGCACTGACTTTGGTTTTCAAGTGGAGGATATTCGCTCCGACCTACCTGTGCAGCTGTGGTATGGGAAGCATGATAGTTGTGTGCCACTCAATCACGGTGTGCAAATAGCGGCACGCTTGGGTGGTAGAGCGCATCTTAGAGTGGAGGATGAGTCACACTGGAGCATTTCAAATAACCGGAGGGAAGAGTACTTGGAGGCTCTGTTAAGCTGTATGTGAGGCCTAGATGAAGTATGTACTTTTAGTGCCAAGGGGATCACATCTCGGTCAATCATCAGATCAGTATGTAGCAATACAAAGTCAATCAAGATATGCCGCGCCAACGCAGCAGAATAAACCGCCAGCGAAGACCCCCTATCTTCCATGGGTTCAACCCGCCTTAACAGAGGGTGAGCTCATAGACTCCTCCGCTAGCAGCTTTGAGCAGTGGGTTAATTTTTCAAGCTGGGTCTCCAAATGAGGGCTGCAAGGCCAAATGGGCCGGCAAAGGCATGTTGAGACACTAGTCTCCATGTAATTTAGCCTCCAGGCTCTCAGCCTGGTGCATTTGCTGGCATTACTCATACTGTACTGTTTTGAGATCAGCTTGGGATGCGATGAAATTAAAAGGCTACTTTGTAAATTAGGATAAGATTGGGAGGATGCTATTGTGATTCGTGAATTGAGGTGGAATGGGAGCAAGGCTCTTGTTCACTAGCATATATTTTTTCGCTACTCCGTACTCCGTACAAAGTACACTTTTTTCCCGTCGAAAATCCACATTTGGTTTACAACTACTCCGTACGCCTCGTGCTTGTGGGGCGCTGATCTTTTCACATGCGAAAATCAGTTTAAAATTTGTGTGGATCGTGACAATGGGGAAAAGGCCCTGCAAAGAGGATGTCGCGGCGCCACAACAAATATTCCCATCTGCCAGCCAAACGGTGGCCTTGCCGAGCCTAACCTGGGAAGCGAAGAACCTCTGATACTGGAACTCTGGTCCTCGGTTCTCCTATCCATCTTCTCACTGGCAGTGGATCTCCAGTCCTATCTAGCTATGTATTCCGAACCCTCTTCAGGAAGGTGAATCAAAAAGAGAAAAAAAGAAAAAGGTAAAAACTTTGTCGAAAATATGATCATCGTCTCTCTCTCTCTCTCTCAACTTGCTAACTTGGTGTGATTCCATGTTGTTCTTCTCCTTTCCATTGCATGACAACTATGTTTTCCGATCCCTGTCACTCCAGAGTTAGCGTGCTAGCCTGTGCGAGAAAGATCTTTTTGGGGTTCTGTGGTGCCTTTAACCTCCGCCCCCACCATATGGCAAAGAAGCCTGGGTCCACCGCAGGGTGCGGAGACAGCCGAACCCCCCAGGCACCGACGTGGATTGCGTTTCTTTCAGCCCTTGAACGGAGTACTCCGTCGGCCTTAACTTTAAAAAAAAGAAAGAAAAAAAAGAAATTAAATGAAATTAAACAAAATAAAATTTCCATGTCAAAAGCGCCCCATCTCATTTGCCCCTGGTCATCCACCCTGTCTGGCAGACCATTTGGGCGGCACGCAGACATGCTTCAAAGTCACGCGCTGGACAGAGAGACGGGGATCGGTCGAAGCTTCTGTCAATGCTAGAAAAAGCATATTGGTGCCGATCCGAATACGACGTGCCCCAAACTGACGGGCCTGAAGTATTCCGCGACCTAAACCTCTGGCGGCTCTGTACTCCCAGCAAGGTAGGTGACCGCCAGTTCGTTTCGATAATATGCGCAGCGCATACCATAGATTCGACCCGGATGCGTACTCTGCTGGATTTCGAGGTACATACGCATTTTCCATACACCAGGATCCTAATCGAGAACCGAAGCAGGTACTCGCTGAACAGCAGTAGTACCAAGTGAAGATTTGGCGAGGTCGCAGGTAAAACGATCAAACTGTCGATGAGCTGCGGCGCCGGAGTCGCCAAGCGGCAGGCATTGTTCTGTTCCGGAATCCAAATATTCCCAATAGCCCTTGACGCTTCCTCAGCGGGAGAATTTTCACGGAGGATTTGGGTAAGGGATCAGCGATTACCGTTGTGGCTCAGACAAAGCTAAGTTTATCTCGTGTTGACCTGTGTTACAAATGCATCACTGTAAAGGAATGGGGAGAATCTGTTAGATGTTCCTCGGAAAATTCGATCTGTCCAGAGTTGAAAGTGGGGACTCTGATTTCCTTCGAGGAGATAGATCACATTTGGAGGGAGTCAGAGCATGTTCAGGGAATGGCGGACGAGCGTTCGACCGGATCATCCTTCGATTGGTCAGATCAGGGACCTGGTGCAGAAACGTAATCGCATTGTAATGTCTTCCACTCTGCTTCTCTTGTTAGATAAGGATAAAAAAAGTTTCCTTTGCTCATAAGAGTTATTGAAGCCTCTCTGCTTTACTTAGCTTTACTTACTTTTGTGGACTGTCGATCTTAAACGGAGGCGAAATTCTTTCCTTAAGTGGAACTCCGCTACACCTTTGGTACCACAGCTGATCTGAATGGGCTCACACTCGAGTAGTATTATATTTAGAATATGTGCCTGGATGTGTGTTTGACGTTGCCGTTCCTGCTTCTAAAACCCTAGAGCCCGATGTCGTCCGGTTGAATACGAATGTATCTGTCATATTGGTTGGCTGGTGAGGTTGATAATTGCGTGCACACACAGTATACCGGCTGCGCGGGCTTGTCAATATCAGACCTCCTCGGTATGGCCACAGATCTTGTCTTGCCGACACGGTGTTGGCGCCGGAATTATGTCTTTTGCTGTAACAGGGGTGGATTCGATGTCAATTATTGAAAACTCTGCTCGAATCCCATTTCTCTCATTTTAACCACCAGCTGCTTTTGCCTAGCGAAAGCGGATAGCCTTCTGCTTAACCCCGTAAGGAATGCGATTTGGCAAATCTGATATGCTCCGCTAATCACAGTGCATATGTAGTGTAACTACACGCTTCTTCTGTTCAAGAGAGATTAAACTTGCGGGATGTGAGATACTACGCCCAATGGCAAAACGGTCCCTGGAAAAACGCCATTGCATGGCAATGGAGTCGGATATACCGCATCAAACACTGTATTAGCCCTGGTGATGCTAGGGCGCTAACAGTTTGTAACAAATTCTCTCAGAGGATCATAGCGTGAGTCACACTGATGGGAGCGATATCCGCGATCTCGCCGGTCTAGGGAACTGTAATATGTCCACTGCGAAGGTGAATCTGCCACATTCCATTGACCCCCGGGGGAAATCATGCACAACGCCACGCAACCACCGCTTTTTGCAGTCCGCCCTAATCGAAATAGCAAAGACATCATATTATGAATTACCTGGCAATTACGGAGCATTCTTCGAAAGTAGGTAACGTTTTGTATTCCGTGTTCAATCCTCAGAATCCAGGCATTGGTTGGTGGACTATCATATCCTTGAGCTTTGACGCATTGATTGAATCAAACGGCCTTTGAAACTTCGATTGCGCTAACAGCAAAATGAACCGAGTCGCACGACCAAGGCCTGAGCTGGCCACCAGTGGCCGATTTCGGCCGCGTTTTTGGGACTTCTCTAACCACCCATCTCAAAATGACCTCCATCGCGCCTTATTTCATGCTTATCCATTTTGTCCTGTTCTGTTCCGTCCTGTCCTGTCCGGGGCAGAGAGAACCTGGTGAGAATGTCGCTCATCCTAGACAAGGCGTGCAGGACTCAGAGCCATAACACAGCAAGTTTGGCCGCCTGAACTGGAAAACATTGGCCAAAGACACCAGTAAACTTACTCTCCCCTGCTTGGCGCCACTCCAAGGCCCGCCTTAGTTTCCAATCAATGGCGATTGTATTTTCACAACAAACAGTACGTATTAAGGTTGACGTCAATTGCTGGTTGGGAAAATCACCATTGAAGATTCGTCCGGATCAAGCCTTTTTCGGCGGTGTTATTTATCGAACAGTCAGGTAAGAAGCGATGCTTAGAGTATCCAATCCAAATCAATATCCTGGGCAACAATCATTTCCTTTTCATGTATAAATAGGTGGCTTCCTCAGTTGGGAGGCAGGTCGCATTTTCCTGCAATCATTTTCCTTTCCACTCCAATCACTAGGCGGCTTGTCGTTGGCAAAAGGAGCGATTGGGTTTCGTCTGTCAGTCCCCCTTTATTGCTATAAAGAGACACAACAGATACGCGATCTTTTGCGTTCTTCCTACATTCTTATTTTCCCTCCCCCCCAAGGTTTTTGGCTTGCTTCCCGGTTTCCTCCTGGGATAAAGACATTCCAAAACAAGGACTGGAAGCCCCAAAGCAGCCCCGGTAGCCTCTCGATCAGCTTTTTACGGCAATTTGACCAGGTATTGTCTCTCCCCAGCACCGTCGGGTACAAGCAAATACATTAACGTATCATGCAATGAACCGTCACACAGAAGCATGTCTTCTACCCCAGGCGGTGACACGGAAGGCCAAGGCACGCAGAACGGCTTCGCTCCCGACCTAGTCGGGTTTGGGGCAATATTCGATGGTAAGCCAACGGGTGTTCCATGTGGAAACACCGTTATTCTCACAGTCAGAAGCTAACAAGAGCAGGACATGCCGAGTCCATGACTTTCGAACACCACGATGATCCTCTCGCAGCCGAACTAGAACAACTGCATGCCAGTGCCATCAAGGCTGCACAGAAGTCCGGTGCCCATGAACCAACCGAAAAGAAACATCCTGCTGCCAAATGATTCTCCAGCATTATGCAAGGAGGTGACGCTCACGACATCCAGGGGGGGACCGGTAACTTCACCCTTGGGCACCAGGTGCCTTTATCATCGCTCGACCTTCCGGCTTGGTAAAAGCAAAGTAGCCGAAACCCATCCTCGTTATCCGTCTCAATGCCATAACGGACCAGACATGGCTGGTCAATGTTTAGGGATAGGCAACTGGAGGTGATAAGGCACAGAGTGTGTTTTTCTGGGGCTGGTCTTGACATCGTGTTTTCCCCCTGGTCCTGTCTCGACCCGCGCCAAGAGCGACGTCGGGGATAAGTTGGAATTTTGGATTGGCGCTTACCTCCGCACACAATGATTTTGGATGGTTTCCCTTCAGATCTCGACCTTAGCAAATATAGAGCATTTCTGTCTTTCTGTCTGTCCCTTTTTTTTCTCTCCTTGCTCTACTCCGTATGCAAGAATCCATCCGATCTGCAACCCATGGTGGGCTTTTCTGTTCGCGATTCCGTATCGACAGCCCTCAAGCAATTGCCGTCGTGGTCGCAATGGATAGCTTTTGAGCGTCAGAAGCCGTAGTTCCAATGCCAGAAGTCAGTCAATCCCCGCCATCCTCCTTCAATGGAAGCTTTTACAAACCAACTTCCACAAAACCCACGACGATTAATAAGCAGGATATTACATAATCCGCCAGCGCTGCTCGAGCGTAAGGCTGGTCAACGGGTTCCCGGCTGACATGACAGCTCTTGAACTCACTCACGAAAAAGGTGAGCTTGTTCCCATGGAAATATCCTCCGATTGACTTTGGCTCCCAGCCATGTGCTCCCTATCAACACTCAATGGTCCATGTAGCCCCCCAAAAAACATGGAAATGCATGACTTCACCGTTCCATAGTTTTGCCCGATGGAGATGGAATCGCCATCTTAAGAGAAACATCGGGCCAACCAAGCTGGGCCACGCTCCCTCTTATAATTCCCCGCATACGCCATAATAGCCAACGTAAGACGCTCGATTCTTTTCTTCCCCAGAGTCGCGAGAGAGTGGGGGGTTCGCAAGATACCCATTGGCGCTGCTCGCTGAGCAAACAAAAGCTTGACTTTCATCAAAAATATGCGCAGGCTTAAATCGCTGGGGTAAGTGAAATGCTGATTATTTCCCCCATAGCCATCGAGTCGCTGAGACGCGAATCTGTCTAGCCACAAGAAGGACCAAGGGGGCGGCCATGATCGAACCTCTAAGCACAGGCCAAAAGGTCTGATGACGGGACCCGGGTCACATTTTTCAACAAGTCGATCTGGAAGAACTGCTGCTGAGACCCATGATGCAACTGCTCGCGAACGGAGGCCGACATTGCCTGAAGAGCAGTTTCCCGGAGGGTTGGCCGGTCCTGAACGTCAAGTTTCCGACGAGGCTCACCCCGAAACAATGGCCGTAGGAACAACTCAAGTCAATGGGACAACTTCCGCTGAGGGTACGATTGGCCTTTATATCCGCGAAGACACCCCTTTTGAGGATATGTAGTAACCGATTATTTAGAGACACAGCCAACCACGGAGGTTGAGCCAGCGAGGCCGAGGTCCGTTTCAGTATCTGGCCCAGCACAAGCCTCGGGGCCGAACAACCAGCAGAGAGCGTTTCCGTCTTTGCGCTCGTCTCGAGGTCGGTCGCTTGGAGTCCACGATGAACAAGGTGCTGCGGTGGCCGCTGCAGCATCCGCATACTGTACAAAGGAGAAGGTGTCAAAGAGGGCGACGGGGCAACAGCCGCCTCCCGCAGCAGAAGCGGTTCAAGAAGAGCGCTGTGGTGAACACGAGAAGGTGGGAACCACGGGTGGTGTCGATGAGAAGTATGATAGGGCTGCGTGGGAAGATGATGAAATCATCGAAAGTGGCGGTTTGTCGTCTGCTCTACCCGCCAACCCAGGGGTGGACGAGGAGGAAGAATGGGACCTTCCAGCCAGCATGTCAACTCCAGCTGTTATCACCACCGCAGAAGCAGAGCGTCCTGCCCTGGCGCGAGCTCCTTCGCCGCGGCGCAGTGAGACATTGGTAATCGGAAACGCCACAGAAATTCCGTACGTGTCTACGGAAGAACAAGCTGCTGCGCCTGTCCAGGTAGGAGGAAGAGAAGGCGGAGAAGGAGGAGTAGGGGTAGGAAGCGCAAGAGGAGCAGAAGGAGTAGGACGCCAGCAGCCGCAGCCAGCGAGCATGATACCAGTGTACTTGCTTGCAGCTCAACAGGCTGAGGCAGAGCGGGCCGTCCTGGAAGCACATAAATCACGGCCGGAAGCACTGACGACGGAGCAGAAAGAGGCGAAGGAGAAAGAGGAACCTAGAGTGATACTTGCATGTGAATGCGCGGTTTTACAGGCCGAGGCCGAGGCCGAATTGGCCCAGCGCCAGAAACGAAGGATAAGCGGACGTATCCCAGAAGCCTTCGGTGAAGAGAAACCTGGCCAGCTACCCGAGCAGTTTCGTGGGGAGGAACGTCCTGGTGCTGTGCCCGGAACAAGAGAACCTGCCCGAGAGGCAGAGCGCACCGAAGAATCAAAACGCTTCCGCGAAGGAGACAAAGAGGCGGGTTTGGTGGCTGGAGTAGGGCAACCACCGCGGAAGGAATCCGATCGAGAAGAGATCCCGGAACAGTTCCGTGCTGAGACACCGGGGCAACCAGTTGAGGAACGGCCACAGGCCCCCGTTCAAGAGCGTGTGGCAGGAATGGCGCCTGGAGCTGAAGAACCAGTCGAAGCTGTGCCACCACCACACGAAGGAGAGGAAGCACATAAACAAAGCCGTTGGGCCCGTAGACGAGCCGAGAAGGATGCCAAAGCCCTTGAGAAGAAGCGCCAAAGAGAAGAAAAGGACCGGCAGAAGGAGGAGAAGAGACGCCAGAGAGAAGCGGTCAAGCAACAGCTGGGAGAACAGAAGGAATCTCGCACAGCTGAGCCAGGTCGTCCAGAGCGGCGAGATTCGAAGATGGAAGAAGATCGTGGATTCTTCAATAAAATTTTGCGGAGAGCCTCGACAAAGCAATCGGGCGTTGGGGACACAGGTGCTGCCGGCGGAGGTAGCGGCGGGAACGTGGAGGGAGGAGGACAAGTCGGAGGACAGCAAACGGGGACGACGACAACAGCTGCCGACAATACGACGGCGAATCAACCGGCAGTGTTGGCTTCATGATAGCATTTCCGTTGAATTTTCGCATCTCCCTTCTTTACCCCCTGTGGATGGACATTTCGAATCATTAATTTGTACTTGAAAGTGCACAATACCTCTCCTCTTTGATTTGACCAAAGTCTGCGTTTTTGACTTTCTTGCTTTTACCTTTCTGCTGCCAATTCAAAAAGTGTATATAACCATAACAAAAACAGCTGCATTTTTGATTGACTCAAATTGACCTGCGTCGTGTCGTGGTGCTGAAACCCAGGAGCTGAGCAGCGCGAGAAAAGGAAGAACTGCTGTTTTAGGTGCCGTGAGTAAGTGTAATTAATTACTGCGATGTTACGGCGCGGCAACCCAGCACCCTTAAAGATTTAATGGGTCATTGGGCAGATCAACGGTAATTACAAGAGCGAGTTACACGCTGGCTAGCTAAATAGCGGCAACGGTTTTGTCCCAGGCGGGAGAAGATTCCTACAACGCCCCAATAATAAGTTAACGATAACTCTTGGCCCCGAGTTAAATAGCTGAGAAGAAGGCGAGCAATACGAAATAGCTTGGAGCCAGCCTCGGATCCGAAAGCGATTGAAAATCCATCCAACTGGCTAGAATGTCATCCCGCGTTTTGTTCTCAAATGTGAGGTCGACTTCCATCGCGACCGTCCCCGACCCCGGGGAACCATGAATGTATCCGGATGTCATGATTTGAAAGGCTTCCTGCTTCAATAGTTATTGAAGTTAACCGGTCAACCGGATAGATCGCAGTCAGCTGTCATCCGTCGTTGCATCCCACAGTTCTATTCGGAGCTCGGGCACGCTAGCCGGGAATGCTCTATATCAACGCATCGCCAGATCTCGGTGCTTGCACCTTCATGGCTGCTACCAAGGTCCCCCTAGTCTCAAGGCTGAACCACTTTTTTGGTCCGATGTTAGCGGCCAGGAGGAGGACCTTAAAAGGACGTGCTTGGATGTCATTTTGGTTCATTTCCCTATGGATACTATATATCCCTAAGCAGCTGCATTGAGATCCCTGTTGACCTTCACGATGATTTCCACACGATACTGGTTTCACATCGGAGCTATCACTGCAACTCTTTTGCTGGCGCTGATACTCCCCGACAGGAAAAGTATCTTCGGGTTTTTGGCGGGTGAAGAAATTGAGATTTCAAAAATTGTCGTCGAGGTATGTAAGAAGCCAAATATACGCCAGAACGTACTTTTCCAGATATCCAAGTTTATGCTGAGGTCCATAGGGCCAGAGAAACGCCCTTTTGCCCCGGGATGGTGCACATTTTTATCCAGAGACGTTTTGACAGATCTCTAACATACCGGTGCATATTTTTATTTTGATTTTTTTCTTAGACCGTGGTCTCTTCTGCTCCTGCCGGCACTGTCGATCGACATCAGGAAGAGAAGCAATTTCTCCTCCAGCGATTACGTCGGCCGAATGGCGAGCTAAGCCAATATCACCCTCGACGTCGGCTGCTGGCCGCCCTTCATGGATTTTATCGATATGCAACAATTGCCATGAATGACTTGAATACTATCAGTACTAGATACAAGAGTCTACCCGACAATCAGAAACGGGTATGATATGCTGCACACTTAGCCAACGCTGACCCGATTTTGTGGTTTTCAAAGTTTTCTATAACAGTGCAGAGCATCACTTTGCTTAATGGTCGCTGGAAGGGCTCCGCTGACAGAGCGTTGATTAGCTGATTGAACTCACCGTTAAGTACGACGAAAAGATTCGACAGACGGAACGACTCATAAAAAAGAATGATGTAATAGCCCAGAAAATTGTCGACCACGCTCTCGAGTTCTATGGTGTTGAATTTTCCGAGCTTCAAAAGTTCGTCCATGACGTGGAGTCGAGTGGGCAGTCTGCCGAGCGTGTGAGCGTCTCGCAGGCCTTGAAGCATTATATCCGTGATTGGGCGCCAGAGGGCGAGCATGAACGGATCAGTACCTTCCCTCACATCCTAAACACCCTTGAGAAGCTCTACCCCACGCGGGACCGCGCCAATCCTGTTCGAGTCCTTTTGCCAGGCTCCGGACTTGGGCGTTTGGCGCATGACATTGCTGATTTGCAAGGCAAGTTTGTCCTGTACACCTTCAATCTATGATGGATCTATTTCTGTGGTCTACTGACTGCTTTTTTGATAGGCTTTGAAGTTACTGCTAACGAATGGTCGATGTACATGAATGTTGCGTACCGCTACATTACGTCTCCAGGAGGTTCTTTGGCTAACTCGTCTACTATCTACCCTTACATCGACTGGTGGTCACACCAGCCAACAACGGCAGAGCTTCACCGGCCCATTACATTTCCTGTTGTGCCTGCCGACCCTCATTCCGTCGTCCTCGTTGAAGGAGATTTTACGACGGCTTTCAAGAAACCTAGCGATCAAGGCCGCTTTGATGCCGTAGTAACTCTGTTCTTCATCGATACGGCGCGCAACATTGTTACGTATATTGAAACCATCCACCAGCTACTCAAGCCAGGTGAGCTTGCACCGCTTCATTTGATATCCCAGATGTCGGACTGGACAATATAACTTACACTATACGTCAAGGTGGGGTATGGATAAACCTCGGGCCTCTGCTTTACGGCTCCTCTCCACTTATTCAGCTATCTTTGGATGAAATAATCGACATCTCTGAGGCAGTTGGATTTGACCTTCAAGACACGGATCCGCAATGTGGGGATATTAGCCTGCCAGGTAGAAAAGTTCGTCAAATGGAGGCACCGTATGGGTTCAACAAAGATACACTATCGAAAAATGCATATTGGGCGCAGTTCTGGGTGGCGACTCGTCGATAGTGTACTACGTATTCACTCGGGAAGTCGAGGGCGCTTTTGTATATAGACGAAACGAACCACGATGCCCTTACAGTACAGAGTTTCGCTATGCTACAAATTACAGCAATCGAAGTAAATTATTGGACGTGATGGGGCCTGGGTGTCCAGCGGGTATTTGGTATCTCCTCGGATCGTATCTCGCTACTTGCCTGCGGCCTGGAAACCATGGGTGGTGTCCCGCAGCCCAGTCGCTTGAAGGCTTACAAGGCCACCCCCTGTATATTGTTGCAAGAAATCCAGCTGTGGATATACGTATAACTGCCCCAAGTCCCAGGGTCAACTTACTGAGGTGGCAAAATGGATATCATCCGTCTAGCTTTGCAGGGGATTGTGAATTTCAATCTTAGGGTTGTCGCATTTGCCTATTGATTGGTGTGTGAAGCATTGTGAGGGGCTGCCTCCAACTCGCAAGTGTCCCAGTTCCCCGCCCGACTTACTAACCATTCAGCTGTGAACTCGTTGATCCCTGCAATCCGTCAATGCTTGTTATTGCTTGACGGTGAGTAGTGACAGGCTAAACAGGTTAAGCAACCATCCAGGCTGGTCAATGGAACGCTCCAGCTCTCCACATTCCCATTCGTGTCCAACACTCGCACAAGAAACACATCCTCCTCCAATTGCTGCTCACTCGCCTGTTAGCCCCTCATCACCGGCATAAAAGGGAACATACCTTGCCCCTCTCTTGCTACACTTTCTGTCCCTTTTCTTTTTTTTCTTTTTTTTTTTTCTTTTTTTTTTTTCTTTTTTTCCATGTTCTTATATCGCCATAAGAAGGATAACATTCCATAGCTGCATAAAAGCCATATTCATCATAGTTATCGTTCTCTTGAATTGGAATAGTGCCAAGACACCCACGCAACAATGGTCCATCTCGCAGCTGTCCGCAAAGACTCCGAGGTGCTCCCACTACGCATGGTGAAGCGGGTAGATACGATCCCGCTCGAGGAGCCCCAGGAACATGACTTCTTTTCTAGCGTCTACGGCTCGCGCTTTGCCGCCGAGGACCTGCCCACCCATGAGATGCCCGAGAAGGAAATGCCCCGTGAAGTTGCCTATCGGATGATCAAGGATGAATTGAGTCTGGATGGGAATCCGATGTTGAAGTGAGATTTGTCTTCTTTCCTCCTGTCCCCAGTCGAGGAAAGAAGTTATTATGGCTTCCTCGGGGGCATAGAAACACATTAAGCTAACACATAAGCCGGACTGTAGCTTGGCCAGCTTTGTTACGACTTACATGGTAAGCAACTGATAGCATCTTCTCCCCGGAGGGGGACAAAAAAAAAGATCATCAACATCATGAATTGCAACTGACGTGTGGCGAGAAATAACAAAAATGTAGGAGGAAGAGGCGGAAAGACTTATGGCAGAGTCTTTCAGCAAAAACTTTATCGACTATGAGGAATATCCACAGTCTGCAGAGATACAGAACCGCTGCGTCAATATGATTGCCCGTCTTTTCAATGCTCCGGCATCAGATGAATCTGACCATGCAATGGGAACCTCATGCGTCGGCTCTTCTGAGGCCATTATGCTCGGCACCCTGGCTATGAAAAAGCGATGGCAAAATAAACGCAAGGCAGAAGGCAAGGATTACTCGCGTCCCAACATCATCATGAGCAGTGCCGTTCAAGTTTGCTGGGAAAAGGCAGCTAGGTACTTTGATGTCGAGGAGAAATTCGTGTACTGCACCAGTGAGAGATACGTTATTGATCCAGAGGAGGCTATTAGCATGGTGGACGAGAACACCATTGGTATCTGCGCTATCCTTGGCACCACATATACCGGTCAGTACGAGGACATCAAAGCTCTCAATGATATCATGATCGAGAAGGTTATCGACTGTCCGATCCATGTCGATGCTGCCAGCGGAGGGTTCGTAGCACCTTTCGTTAACCCCAACCTCGAATGGGATTTCAGGCTGGAAAAGGTCGTTTCCATCAACGTTTCTGGGCATAAATATGGACTGGTTCGTCTCTAGGGCTTATGCGATTCGAGAGTGAGACGAGTGTTGACATGTCGACGTTCTAGGTGTATCCCGGCGTAGGTTGGGTTGTCTGGCGATCGCCAGAATACCTGCCGAAAGAATTGGTGTTTAACATTAATTACCTCGGAGCTAACCAGGCAAGCTTCACTCTTAATTTCTCCAAAGGAGCATCACAGGTTATCGGCCAGTATTATCAAATGATCCGCCTCGGAAAACGCGGTTACCGCTCTATCATGGTCAACCTTACGCGCACAGCCGATTACCTAGCAAGCGCATTGAGACAGCTAGGCTTCATCATCATGAGTGACGGCAAAGGCCATGGCTTGCCGCTTGTCGCGTTCCGACTCAATCCGGATGACGAAAATGTCATGTACGACGAGTTCGCCCTTGCCCATCAACTGCGTGAACGCGGCTGGGTCGTCCCGGCATACACCATGGCACCACACAGTGAGAAGCTGAAGCTCATGAGAATTGTTGTCCGCGAAGACTTCAGTAAGAGCCGTTGCGATAACCTAGTGAATGATATCAAACTTGCGCTGCAGCAATTAGGCGATATGGATAAAAGAACGTTGGAAAGGTTCCAACAGTATGTCTCGCTGGCTCCTCCGGCTCCTATAAGATTTTGCGCAACATCCATTCGCCAGAAACTAACTGCTGCAAATATTTTTTCAGACACATTCGCCGTCATGTCACTAATTCTGGCAGTGCGACGCATAATCATCCTCAGTACCAGGATGAAGACCACTCGCTTCAGGGGAAGACAGGCAAAACTCATGCTATTTGTTAGGTAGCAAAATGATTTCCATTGCCACTGTTTAGTATATCTGCTAGTGACATTTTAAAGCATATAATATCTAGCGAGATATCACGAGGATTGAATTCAGCACGTCTGGGTCCCATGACATCTTTTCCGCCGCGATTGTTTCTGCGTTTTGGTGAGAACAGCCGAATCACCAGCCTAGACCCTTTGTGGTTAGGCTCGAATCTTAAGCTAGTTAGTTAGCGACGCCTTGGAGTTGGGCAGGGAGTTAAAACCTTCCACCAGACTTATAAACCCCTTAACAACCATCCTCTTGTCATTCTCATCTGTCCATCCCTAGCTGAGGGAGATATGCTGCCACGCTCACATGTAACTTCTCTAACAGTTGACTTGACTGTGCATTGCCATGATACAGTTCAGGCACCATTGCCTATCAAAGGGCCTCGCCGGAGAGTCAAGCATTGGCAAGTTGAAGATTGATAGGAATATCAATGGCTCTGTTCGCCATGGGACATATCTTTCTTCCGCGCTTGTGTGGGCTTTGGCCCAACAAAAGCTGACGGCCCTTTTCTGCCGAACTGTTTGGAAATGGCTTCGAACAATGCCCATAAATTTCAATATTGATGCAACGGGCCTCACTCAGTGTCTTCTTCTAGACACTTGCCTTTGTTTCTGTGCTACCTTGACATCTTTGCATAGTATTTTAGTCTTTATATCCTGACATTGTCGTCTATCGTCCATTGTTGAAGCATCTCACAAAACAATACCCTTGAAATAAGTATTTCTTGAAGTATTTCACGATCCTCCTCGCCCCTCCGGACTGGGCTTACTCAGAGGAACATTTTCGCACCTTTGAATGCAAAATTATCGAAGTTTGCATTAGTATTTTGCATTGTGATTTCGGCGCCGTGCTAACGCCCCATTTTCTTCCGATCTGGAGTCCGGGCAGCTTTTGGAGGGAGGCAGGGTTTGGAATATGTCGTCGGATGATCCGCCCTCTGAGGTTAACGAGAATTATCCGGATTTCGATTACAACCGCTTACAATGCCCCCCGGAGGAGTGGGAGCTTTATGATATCCCGGACAAGACTCACCTGAGAAATAGGGCGCTCGATCTCGATACCTTTAAGAAATTGGTTAAGCACCATACATGGGGCTTCCACGTTGTTATAGGTGAACGTCGGACGAAAGAGAGATTACTGCAGGTCCTAAAAAGAATTATATTCAACCAAGCACCAAACCTTCGTCCAAGTTGGCATGACTTTATATCTCGAAATTGCGACGCCGGGCCCCGGCTTTTGCGCAGAAGCTATAATGCGTTGCAAATCAGCCGAAATTATCCAAATGGGCTCCCAGGAGCCTCAATATACCTTCCGCCACTGCCCACACAACATCAGCCTCAAATGGGAATGCTGCCCAGTATACCATCGGGACCCCTGGTACACATGCCCAACCAATTCGTACCAATGCGGGCACCCAATTATCCTGTTCTTGCCCACGGGGGCTCCAATTTACCGCCATCGCGACAAATGGAGTTTATTCCAGCCCCTATTTCTGACCAAAATCAGGGGCTTGAACCGGCTAACCTCAGACAGTTCTATCCCCAAACATATACAACGCCGCAACCCTTAGCTCATACCTTTATGACCCCAAGTCAAAGCGCTAACCAACCTCATCAACCAGTACCGAGCATAGCGCAATCGAGTCCAAGCCGAAATCAGACAATGTCGGCTGCGTCATGGCGGTCGATGAGAGAACCAGTATCGGTTTTATCAACACCAATGGCACATGAAGTGATCGAAGTTATAGAACGGGCAATTATGGGCTTTGCGTATAGGCAGCTCCAGCGGCATCCTGACTCACTTCCCGTTACGCGCCCAGCGCAAAGTCTCGTTGCAAGTACCGGAGCTCATCTCACTTTGAGTACCTCTAGGTCCTATTCCACCGTCTCACATGCTCGTGCAGTTGTTGTAGGGGATATGGCCGGATTGAGGTTTGACCCCAACGGATGTTGGTATCCTTACCGTGGTCGAGGACCCGTTTCAAGCCAAGATACAACTGCAGTAGACTGCGCAATTGTTGTCGGAAGGCTTCTTGATGCTGGATCGACCGTTGCAGACCGTGAAAGCGATATAAATTGGACTAGTCATCTCTCTGGCCTAGAAAATGCGTTCCTCAATGCTTTGAACGTTAACTGGGACGTCCTTTCTGATACCGACAGCGTTATTCGACGCGAAGAGTTCAGAGGGATCCTTCTCAATTGGTTTAGCGACAAGGGCCTTTCCATAATACCTGCAAATGTGTGGGGTGCCTGTACAGAGTCCTTCAAACAATTTCACACTCGATACACAGAGCAACTTTATCCGTGCCCCTGTCAACAAGCAACGACGAGCAGTGTGGTTCAGACTGTGACCGTCTTGGCCCCTGACTTTCATGAGAATGACGCGACTGGTGTTGAGCTTGCTGACTTGCTTACACGAACTTTTCAGTGCCAGCAGCGCTTCCAGTGTCCCCAGTGTGGAACCATGGGAGCTAACCGCATCGAGAGACGATTCAATGAGCTTCCCTGGCGGCTAGCTGTGCGACCCGATCAACGAACGCTACTGCAGTCCCATAGTTTACGGAACATGACCTTTAATTATATAGATGGTAATGGTTCGCAGCAGCAAGCAACGTATCGTTGGCTTGGAGGAATATATTGCGTTCTTGTCGGCCGCGAATACCATTTCCGTGTGTACTGGAATGATCACGAGCGCGGTGAAGCAGAGACTGGGAACATTCGGGTGTATGACGGGACCCAGCTTTCCGGTGCAATTATCGGAGGATTACGCGCAAGTGGGTCTCAACGCGTACCGCATACCTGGTGGGTTGGTGGCACTCCGCCGGTAATATTCTATGAGAAAGTGGTGAACCCAGAGCCGGAAGTTTTGCATGCTGCTCGTGGTGCCGTGCAGGGCATGGGAGATACTGCGAGTCGGGGCCGACTTATTTTACAGCATCACCGGGGATGGAAACCGCATGAGCATGCGCTAAAGGGAGTACAGAGTCATAACACGCAAGGAACAGGGCAGGAGAGAAGAGTGACGGGGGGAAGAGTATCGAGAAGTGGGTTTTATGATCAATCTCCATCAAATCGCCCACGTCTGCAACAGTTGCAGTCTCCTCTCTCAACTGGAGCATCGGGTGAGCGAGCTCTGTCGTTCTATCATCCAGCGGCCTATCCTCAGCGTATCGCCTCGGCCGCCCGACAAACCTTGCCTCAACCCCAAGTGTCCGGACATGGCCAGCGGGTTGCCCGAATGACGCCACAAGTACAGCCAGGCAGTAGGACCGGCGCCCCTGGTTTCCCATCTAATACTTCATGTTTGGTGCCAGCACAACGTGGCAAATATATAAGTCAAGAAAATGTGACCCTCATGCAAAATCCACAACAGCCAAATCTCACTCCAGGAATCATGAGTAGTGGTGGGGAACCGCCCGTCCCTTGCTGCCCCAGCCTCCCAGAAATCGATTTTAGCATGGGGTTCGGGCCTGAAGTCAGCATCCCAGAGCTACCTCCATCCACCGGTCCGCCATTGGTGCCATTAGGTGGGATGGAAATCCGCCCTGATCCTATGTTACAAAATCCTAGAACCGTAGGCCCCTCTGCAGCAACGACCACGGAGGGAGTGCCACAAGGGATGGTAGGAGCAGCATCAGATGTAGGCTTTGATATGACGATGGACGGCCGTCAAAATACTCTGCCGAGCAGGAGCCGAATTTCAGAGGACTCCTGGGCGTCAAATCTCGAGGAATTCCTGCAAGGACAGGATAACAGTAACCAGCATGTATCGTGCGCTTTTTTTGACAACCTCAGTGCGTTAAGGGCTCCGGATCCGCGAGCGACAACACAACTGAACCCGGAGGTTAACCCGCCTTTGCAGTCCCCTTTTGAACCGGCCCAATCTCAGCAGCAACTGCAGATTGGGCCCACCGGCTTGTCCACTTCGCCTCTAGTAAATCACCCACCAGCAGGTGCCGGGGAGATCGATGATCCTGAAGCATGGGCGTTTGATTTCGACGGCGCAAGCGTCGAACTACCCAATCCCATTCCAGGGGCGACAGCACCCGCGACTGTGTCCGCCATAGAAACCGCGCCAACTGCGGGGATGTCTGTCGTGAACACGGGTTCAAACGTTCTGGGACATATGTTGCAGGACTTCGTCGGGCACCACGAACCACAGCTGGGAGGAGCGGATATTGGAATGGCTGGGCAGGCACAGGGTCAACAAGGCACGTCGACAGGGTATTATAGCGAGACGATGCAGCCTTCTGATGCACCTATGATTGGGAATGATGGCGGTGGCACTTCTGGCGAGAAGCGGAAGAGAGAAGAATGTCCAGGTCAGCAGTCGATGAAGAAGCTAAGGCAGTGATGGCCATTTAGAAGAAGTAGGCGAGATGCTTCTTGATTGGGGAAGTTTCAGGTGCCGTTTGCTTTTGTTTCCTTTGAAAATTTTTCCCTTTGCTCATTGTATAGATCCCTTGTGTTGGAATTCATTTTGCATGGTATTTGCTTCTTTTGTCTGCTGTCTCCTCCAATTGGGGTTCCAGGGGGGGAGCAGCCAACTAACTGGCTAAATGTGAGAGAATGTGTTGTGGGATCCGCAAATCAAACTTCAGGAGATTTGTACTATTATTTGACACGCTCCTTTGGCTTGCACATGGCTGGCAAACATAGAATATGTGCTAGAATATAATAATCCGCATTGCAAACAGTTGCCGGTGAGCTGGGCGGGCGATGATCCTCCGTGCTGGCTGTCTAACTACAGTAGTCCGTAGTAGTTACCCCGCATTCTCCGCACTTTGGCTAAAACCAAGCTCCATCGTCAACATCTTCTCACTTCTTCTCTGCCTCTCTCTCTCTCTCTCTCTTTTTTTTTTTTCTCTCCTATGTTTCTCTTCTTTTCTCCTCTCTCCGCCAGGAAAGACAAACTGAACGCAAGCTGCAGACCGAGAGTCGGCTTGATTTTATCTATTCCTGGCCCATTCTAGTTCTATTATTATACACAAGTATTAAAGAAAGGTGGATATCTCTCTCCAAACAAAGTCCGGATTCAACAAAACAGCAGCCACCGGCAGCACTTTACAACGAAACTCAACACAAAACAGCTCAAAGACGAGCCCTGACTTGGCTCGCAGCGCCCTTTTTCGAGCTTCTCGGCGGTCCTGTGGGGGTGTCGCTCTTCTTTGGCGCAGAGATGTATCCTCCCTTCTCGTTATCTGTATTGATGATCTTCCCACTGGCATCTCGCTTGATACCCAGCTCCAACAGCTTGGCAAACGCCTGGGCGAAGTGTTCATAGAAGAGCTCCTTGTCGTCGGCATATCGGTCCACCCACTTCGAAAATTCCGGATCGGAGAGCAGGCACATGTCGGTTGGAAGCATCATCAGAGGCTCCTCCTTCTCGTCCTCGGGAATATCAGGGTCCACATAGGTAAACTGCTTGACACCGCTGGGCAACGTCGTTGGCTTCCATTCCAGGTTCTTGAGGAGTCTGAAATATTGGTTCGAGAAGCGGATGGGGTTGTTCACCCACGGGCCCTCGAAGCCGCTGCGGTCGGCATGCGTGCGGCCTAGGTTGTGTGCTCCGGAGAGAGCCACGATCTCCTGATCGTTGAAGCCCATTCGGTAGAAGATGTGGCGAAGATGATCGCTTCCTTGCGTCGCGTCCGGTAGGCGTCCGCGCGGCGGTACCTTGGAGTCATCTACAAAGTCGGTTCGTCCGGGCTGCCATTGGACCTCGGGTCCGTCCATTTCCTTGATCGCCGTGACGCCTGCGAGCGTCCAGAGGTCTGAATATGTGATCCATGGGTGTTTTTTCTTGACGGGTTCGAGGAATGCCCGTCCGAATTGGAGGCCTGCGTTGGCTGGGTCGCCGCCTTCTTTCTCGTATCTCATGCCTGCGCCATTGGAACCGCCGGTGTCGGTCTGCTTGTCGTATGTGCCAGCGGAGTGCCTTCAAAAAAAAATTTTACAAAAAACCAGTAAGCACATGCTGGCTTCCCAGGAGATGAGAGTCTTACCATGCAAGGCGGACGAAAACTGGACCAGCACTGCCATCGTCATAACCTGGCTGTTTCATCTGTGCGATAATGTCCTTGCGGACGGCGTTGAAGTCGCCTGGTTTACTCATGTTTGGACAAATTATTCTCAGAAATCAGACGTTGAAAGGAGTTGATATCTGGAAAGGGTACAAATTTGACTGGTGCTGATAATCCTATCCCTAGAAAATTTCGTATACAACAGCAAAGCACAAGGAAAGGGAATATTAATACAGCAAAAGATGTCCGTTCCGTGTTATTCTGCAACTGGATGGCAAATTTCACATGATGTGCCTGCAAGAAACGCTTCCTCACGAAAATTGAGATCCACTGTCGTCACTTTGCTGGCAAACACCGGGAGGCTCCAAACTCTCTCTTGGGCCGAGGCTCATCCGCTACCACCCGCCGGGTCCTCAAGGCCTCTACGGAGAATTTTCGACGATGATTTTTCGCTCCGGTCAGCCAAATCAAATCTTACCTCAACAGCGAGTTGCCGCCGGAATCGTCTCCCTTTGCCAGCTTGGTTATGTAATAAGTACAGGCCAGTCAAACCGGCGGCAATTTTTGCGGCCGAATCACGGTTTGTCGCAGGCGAATTTTTTTGTCGACGACAAAAATATCGCTTTTTTTGTTGTTTATTCGTAGTGTACTCTGTAAGGTGTTGCTTGTTCTCATATCTTGTTAACAGGACAGACATGGGGCAGCGGCAGGCATGAGGCTGGATGGGCAACTGTTTTGGAGCCAGGAACCAACGATTCATGCCATCAGCAGCAAGAAATGGATAAACTCCGTATTTCGATCACAATGCCTCGGTTTAGTCGACTCACCACTTGAAGAGCGTGGTCTCGACTCTGGCCCATATCACGATAAACTAAACCCCTTTGAAAATACAGGGTATCAAGCCGCCGGGCTATCTCGCATGGCCTGCTCCACGCAGTCAAATCCCGTTTCATTAAACAACAGAGGCCTCCCCTGAAGATGATCGCATGCATGGCAGGTTAACCGGGTTTTGCATCCACTTGGCTAATGCCAGCGAAATATCAATTTTAGTTGCGATAATAATACTCGGGACCACGGCACTCATCGGGCCTTTCTTTCAGAGCATGAAATATGAAGCTGGTCGCCTGCTGACATGTTGCAGAATCCATGCTCCCAGAGCAGCAGCACGAAGGGGAGAAAGGAAGAAAATATTGGAAGCGATTAAACTCCTCATTGTAGCGATTCTTAGGATATCGCATTTTATTGACAAGATGGGAGGCTTTTTTTTTTTTTTTTAGGTGAGTGAAAATTGATATCATTCTCGCCATACCCTTAAAGAACCAGCGATTTTGTCAAGCAGGGAGTTTTTTCCCAGTGCCATCCACCTTTAACTCATTTCTGCAAGACGGATTGGCCTCCTTGCCCTCTGCATGGATTTCTTGTTCCACAGTCTCGTCCGCCGTGTCCAGCTTGTTCCCAAGGTTAAGCTTTGTAGATAGATTTTTCTCGATATGTCCGAGGCTGACCTTCCTCTTCCCCTTCAATTCATCCAACTCCATCTGCAATCTCTCCGCCTTGCGGCGCAAATGCACGATCCCACTTTTCGCCAGCTCCAACAGTTTCTTGATATCCCTCTGATGGCGTCTCGCTGTCCGTTCTATCCTAGAATCCTGCCTTTTCAGCTCCCGCAATATTTTGCGCTTCTCTTTCCTTTCAACGATCAAAATGTTGCTGACTAGCTCGTATAGAGGCTTGCAGTGGTGGTTGGACAGCGTACCAGCCTTGACATGCCTGGATATGAAGATGATGGAAGCGTAGATGTCACTGACCAAGGCGGCGATGCGGGCGGATTTTTCACTGGATGAAACGTTTTCTATGCCGGTCAGGGAGAGAGCGCCGCGTGTCTGAGGACTTTGTTGAGTGTCTCCAAGGTCGGAACCTTCAGTGGCGTTGTTGGCCATGATATAGGAGATTGGAGAGTGATTTGAGGTTTCCGTTTTGATTTAATAGAGCGGAATACGCATGGGCAAAAAAAAAGAAAGATCAAGGTGGCTTACTTTTCGGCTTTAAAAGTGTCGTTGCAGTCCATGGTATCCCGACTGCGGTTGGGATCACGCCTTATGAGCTCCGGCAGGATAAAGAAGTAGCCCCACTATGATCGTGAAATACATAGATGAAGCCTGGCCAAACTCTGCTCAGGAAATGGCCTTGTCCTCCCTCAGTGAAACTAAGGATGCTCCCTATGGTGCTGTAATTAACGGGAAGTGCTGCCGTTTAAAACACTGCCCCGTTGAACAATGCTTTGTTGGAGTCCTTTGTTCTGTCGCAGAGATGACCCTTAAATAGATTGAAAGTCCACATGGCCAGCTCCATGCCATTGTGAATCGGACAATGCGCGCCTTAGGACGGCTGCTCTATAGACTTTTGGGCTGCGGCTCGCGAAATAAGCTTAATCCGAACGTGTTTGATGGCGTGAATGTTTGCTGTGTTTGCCTCCATACAACCATTTCCCGAGACAGCGCGGGGAAAAAGAAAAGCACCCCAAAAAAAACACCCCCGCCATCCTTTCACCTTCACCTTCCATTCTGCCAGCTAAAAGGAGGGGAGAAACCAGCACAGTCGCAGCCATGGCGCGCATCGAAGAGCTCCCCGACGACTTCAACGAATCCCTCTCCCTCAATGACCCCAAACCCGCATCCAGCTCCACCACCATTCCCGAGACCCCCTTCGGCATCAAGCCCATCGCACCCAACGATGACCCAACCACATCCACTGCTCCAGCCCTCCCTCCAGCAATGGCCTCCGTGAAATCCCACACCGCCGACGAGATCCTCTCCATGATGAACCAGACCCCGCTGTTCATGACGGACGTCGAGCAGGCGCTCCAGGACAGCGCGGGGGAGGAGAACACGTTCATCGAGGCGATTCGCGCGCTGCAGAATGAGGGCACGCAGCTGCAGGTTGCCGAGGGATTCCGCGAGACGGGCAATGAGCTGGCGAGGGAGAAGAAGTGGAGTGATGCGCGGGAGTTCTATGGGAAGGCGTTGGCGACGGTGAGGGATAAAGGGGAGGGGAAGTGGGATGTTAGTGAGGATGTGGACGGAGACCGGAAAAGGATGAGGGAAACGGAGGAGAAGGTGTTGGTCAATAGGGCGTTGTGTAATTTGGAGATGAGTGAGTGCTCTGTGTTTTCCTGTTGCCTTTTTTTTTTTTTTTATGTGCTGTGTTTACAGGGTTAGATGGGACGAAAAAGAAACCTTTTTTATCCATTTTTGTTCCCAACCTCTCTTCGTCTGTCCGTATTCGCTCTTAAATAGAAAATTACTGACCGGGCCAAATATATATAGAAAACTACCGGTCCTGCATCCTCGATTGCGCCGCAGCACTCAAAATTAACCCTGAAAACATTAAGGCCTACTACCGCTCCGCCCGCGCCCTTTTCACCCTCGACAAAATACTAGAAGCCCAAGACGCCGCAAACCGTGGCCTCGCCCTTGATCCCACAAACAAATCCCTTCTCCATACCGCAGAGCAAATCTCCGCTCGGAAAGCTGCCCTCGACGCTCTCGCCGCTAAGAAGCGTGCTGAGGCAGAGCGTGAAAAGCGTGTTAAAGTTACCCTAGCTACAGCCCTACGCGCCAGGAACATCAAAGTCCGCGAAACCAAACAGCCGCCAGACCTAGACGACGCGAACATGCATCTCTCGCCTGACCCGCTGTCACCGAAAAGTACGCTGGTGGTGCCCTGTGTGCTACTGTATCCCATGCACGCGCAGAGTGACTTCATTAAAAATTTCGAGGAGACGCAGTGCGTGCGTGACCACCTGGAGTATATATTTCCCTTACCATGGGATGAAAAGGCGGAATATGGCGTGGACAGTGTGGATTGCTTCATGGAAACGGTGACCGGCGGTTTGATTCGCGTTGGGAAGAACATGAGTCTGTTGGAAGTGTTGAGTGGAAGTGGAGGAAAGGTGGAGATTGTGGATGGCTTGGTGAAGATAAATGTCGTGCCTGTGCCGAAGAGCCGGAAATGGATCGATGAGATGAAGGCACGGAGGGCGCCGGGCTGATCCACTAGGGCCTTCTGCTATTCTCGAATGGTATAAGGTGATTTCTCTTGACGCCGCGAAGGATTGGCGCTCGCTCAGACACATGTCTAGATATACGGGCTATTTCGTCTCCGAAAGACCAGCCCAAGAAGCGAATTTAACCGGTTTGGATCGATCGGGGATAGGCGATATGTAAGAGCCAATGGACGGTGGTCAAAAGCGCGGATGGCGGTTAGATACGCCGTTGGCAATTCGAGTTCGATTCGGGCACGTTGAGGATCCAAATGATCGACGCCCAAAGCTGACGGGATTTTGAGATTGAGATGGACCGGGAAAAGGAGAATGTGTAAAGGTCGTTCCCCCGACTCTACAGAGGGGCATAATCGTATAACTCCGTTTCCAAAATATTCAAGGAGAAGCCGACTTCTATTCCAAGAGGATGAATAAAGTACGCATCCAACTAGCCATCTGTAATACACCCCAACGATATGGTATGTAAGGGTCAACAAGGCCGAACAGAACAAGAATCATGTGCAGGCCGTTACTGTTGATAATACGACATGTGCTGCAGCATGACGTCCCAGTTCATATAATTATCATCGAACGTAAATTGGATCGTTTCGGGCATATTGTAATATGGATCTCTGTACTCAGGAAGCGTGCCCATCGATATCATGTGGGCCATGCTTGCCTGTGGGTGGGTTGCGGCGATAGCGTGGTCACTGACGGTCTGGTCGACAGGCCTCGTTGTGGAGACCGGCACCGCCGCCGCAGTCGGACCTGTTGTTGCCGGCTCGTCGTTGAGGACGTATCCGATATCACATCGTTTTAGGTACTTTCTTGTGGACTGTTCGCCTCCAAATACCGTGGCGATCTCAGAAATCACAGTCTCAGGATCCAGGGGTTCACGGAGGCCACGGCGATCATGCATTTCCAGCATTTTGATAAGGACCTTCCTTCCATCCACCGCAATTGATATATTGGCGTCGGTGTATGCGAGATCCGCAATTATCATCTCGATGTCTTTCCGAATATTATCTGCGGGAAACGCCCGTTCTACGAGCAAGAACCCCGCTAGAGATACTGCAGCTGAGAAAGTCTGGTATCCTTGGATGAGAAACTTTTGGGATTTGCGGAATTCGTCCACGTTGCGGTTGCGGAGGTTGCTATACACGGCGAGGACGTCATTGGCAGCCTTGACACAAACTTCCCAGGAATTTCCCGTTCGGGTGTGGATGAAGGGTCTATTCATGCGGATACGTTGCATGCATATACAGCTGTTGATCATATGATGCTGCCAGGTGATGAATTCGAGGTGATCGCCTAGAATAGCACACTCTCGGTTTGGCCCGATCTGGAAGTACCAAGGAAATTTGGAAACGAGGTCTGCGATTTCATCATCAACGGATTTGACATATTCATAGGAGCTGAGGAGATCGACGTCGGTATTGTACAGCTTTTCAAATATCATGAAGGCTTCGGCACGAAGGATGTTTGCGGTGGTGTCAGTCGGCTCTTCCATCGGTCTGGGCTTGATCGAGGTCTCGGTGATGTCGTCATCATTGCAGTGGGCCGGGAAGGGAACTTTGGAAGGGCTGGTACTTATCAGGGGAGCCCTGCCGAGGCACATTGATTGGAAGCTATGCAGATTGTTAGTAAAATCAGAACGGCTAGCCAAGGCTGTGTGCCTTTAGAATTTTATTGTATTTTTTTTTAATTTCTTTTTTATTGTTTCTTTTTCACCCCACATACATGTCGCAGTTGAAGAGTTCCCACCAAATACGCCGTCTTAGCTCTGTGTCGATATAGTTTTTACCGGGAACATCCCTGTCGAGACCTAGTGCCTGGGCATTCCTCACAGCTTGGCCGAGATGGCTAGAAAGGTTGTCAGCAAAGACGGACAATACATTCTTGCATGACAAAAAAAAAAGAGGGGGGGGTGGGGGGGGGTCACTCAACGAATTCAATGCTTCGACATTTTTTGTGGCTAACCAATAGAGCTGGGTGATCAGAAACGTCAAGAGCTGAGTAACAGTAGGTCGAGCTTCAAAGCCGCCAGCATGGAGAGCCTGGCGGGAGGCTGAATACCATTCATGGGATTTGTTCCGGAGGCTTCTTCCTGGAAACCCGGCGTTCTGGGCAGCGTCAAGGGGCAAAAAGATTGCGCTACAGGATATGATGGAGTATAGGAAGGACAACCATATCAAATTTATATCCTGAACTTTGGTGTTCCAGAATGCGGCGTATTCATCTTGGAAAGAGGGGGAGTGAAGGAAATGAAAGACCCAATTGATATGCTCGAGGTAATACATGGTTAGCAAGTCACACTGGTACTTGCTGGGTAAAGAGGCAGTGAGCTCCGATTTCCAAAACGAAGCCACTTCAGCCTGGGAATTAAGGCCCTGAACGGCCGAAAGAAGGATGGGAAGGGTACGGGGGGCGGTCGAAGTGCCGGCGACCCTCAGAACGACATCGCTGTTTTGGCTTGTTGAAGTCCTCAGAGACAGAGTGTTTCCGAGAGGCAGTGAAGCAGTTGTGCCTGCGTCCCTGATGGTGGTCGAGGGAGGAGGATTGAGGGTTGTCTCGGGCCGGACGACGGAAGCTGTACCGGGTTTGGACGTTGGATTGGAGTAAGGAGTGGCGTCCTGGGCAGAGGAGGAAGGGGAAGAGGAGGAGGCGTCCGAGACGGCGGCGATCGCATTGGTGGGCGCCTTTGGGCCGCCGCGGACCCCCTCGAGGAGGGAGGAGGGGGCAGGATGCTTGCGACAGAGGTCCTCTCTGCGGTAACGGGTGCACGAGTGGCACGGAACCTGGCGGTCACATTTGAGTTTATGGCGCCGACACGGCAGGCAGCTCAACGCTCTCCGTGTGCTAGGGCCCTTTGCCGGTTTTGGTGGATTCGAAGGGGGTGGCGGCGGGCCCGTGGGAGGGATCCCGAAGGAGGAAGAATCCGATGGCTTTGGCCTGCGGAGAAGTCAGCATGATAGTCCCCCCGTTCTGTTCCGTTTCTTCCCCCAACTCCAACTCTGTTCACATTTTGTCTCTCAGCAGATTGGCAGTCCAAGGGGAATCTCACCCTAGAGGCCGCTGCGCGGCCATGATACAGAGCGGGCGACAGTCGGTTCAGCGTTCTCCATAGGCTGTTCACATCGCACACAAGGGCCAGCGCCGAGGCAGCTGGGGCGATCCGACAGTCTGTGTTTCAGGGAAGAGTTCACGTTGCAAGACGCATGCCGGGATGCGAGATTATCTCTCAATCTTTCTAACACACACACACTCTCTCTCTCTGTGTCTCTCTCCTTTTTTTTTTTTTTCCCTCTCTCTCCCCTCTCCACTCGCGTGCTGTCTCGTCGCCGCGAAGCTGCTCTCCCCGCAGTGCCGGATCGGTACTAGCGCCGGGAAATCAGTTGTTCCCCCCCGTGATTAGTTAAGTATATAGTTGAGTGCTAAAACAGTGCAAACAGCAGGATGATTTAAAAAGGACCAAGATAAGGACGGGGACCACGAAGCGAAGAAAGAGGAAGAAGACGAAGAAGACGAAGAAGAAGAAGCAGAAGAAGAAAAGAAGAGAAAAGAATTACATGGAATGGAAGCGGCTACTTATTAAAGCTTTGCCAGGGGGAGTCCGCCGGCCTTTTATTCTGGTAGCGTCCTGTGCGTTCTTCTCCTGTCTCAAACGCGGCAACGGCTGTCAGCTCGACTGCATCCCGGCGGCAGGGTTGGTGGCCAGCCGAGCGCTGCGTTCGAGACGCCTTCATTCGCTGATCCGCCACGCTTGCCTAGCAATTGTGGGCTGCCGCTACTGCACGTCGTGCTGCGAATGGGGTGTCTAGCCTGGAATCCCGGCGGACCTCTTGTCCCGGCCGTAGACCAGATTTGTATGCTCGAGGCTGGACGACGGGTAGCTCTGTATGGACGGAAGAGTCTCGGTGCATCCGGATGCCTTCTCTGCCGCTCTGGCTGCTTCCGATGTCTGCTCTAATATTCTCGATGTCGCTGGAGTCGTCTTGTCATCACGATACGCATGGGTGTGATCCCGATACAACCCCTGTAGCCAATCATCTTGGCGAATTGCGGAGATTATCTAATAACAATACCTGTAATTACGCCCTCCGTACGATTTTGATTTTATTTTTTTATTTAAAATTTTTTTATTTAAAAATTTTTTTTTTTTTTTTTTCCCCTTCTTTTCCCGCGTTGAAGAGACTAAGAAGAAGATTGTGATTTGCTGTCATTCACCGCAGGAGGCAGCAGCAAGCTAATAAATTAATTCAACTGAAAAAAAAAAAAAAAAAAAAAAAAAAAGAAAAAAAGCCCCTGTCAGGACCCGTGAAGCCTTCGCAGAGCAGGACCTTTTTTTTTAAAGAACCAAAATTTTGCCTTTTTTTGCCGAGCCCCGTGACGGATCCATCCCCCGTCGAGCGACAAGGTTGTCCCGACAAGACACGCCACGCGCTTCCCGCCCGACTCTCCCCCTTCGCGCCCACAAATCGAATGCAGCAGCAAATCCGGGGTTCTCCATCAGATGCCATCGCTCAACCCGTCGCCCTCGTCTCTCCCTGGTTTAAATCTTATAATTTCCGCGGGTTCGAGTGGCCTCGACGAATAATATTATAATGAACCAACCACCGATCCCCTACCCACAGCCCTTCCCCCAGCAGTTGCCCGCCGCTTCAAATCCTCCCGGCTATCATCCCATTCACCTCCAACACCAGCATCAGCACCACCAGCAGCACCAGCATCAGCAGCATCAACAGCCTCAACAGCATCAACAGCATCAACAGCATCAACAGCCTCAGCACATCGCCCCGCAGCCTGTTCAGTCGATGTCCTTCTACCCGAACCCCAACCTGTACGCCCAGGAGACCCTCCCGCCCCAGATCCACCAGCAGCACCAGCCGCAACAACAGCACCAGCACCAGCACCAGCACCAGCACCAGCAACCACCTCAACCGCAACCTCAGCAGCCTCAGCAGCAGCAACATCCCTTCCCGCATGTCGTCGGTGCTGTTCCACCACATGCCGGCGTGGGTGGAGCCATGATGATGTCCCCGGCGCCGCTACCCCATCATGCGTCTGCTAATCGTAAGTCAAATCTTTTTATTTGCTTTATTTTTTATTTTTATTTTTAAATATCCTGCCAGGTCCTGTTTCCTGACTCCATCGTGATCTGCCGTCCTCTATTGGCTGGGTCATGCAAGTTTTCCCTTCCTTCTTGTCCGCCTTTTCTTGCGACTTCGTATTACTCAAGAACAGATGAACTCTCCTTGGAGCATGTGCCTGTCGTCCTCGTCATCCCAAGACCACGAGGATCGGGGTCGAGTTCTCTCACTCTTCTCTCTAACTCTCTCTTTTCTCTCGCGTACTTTTTCTTTTTTCTTTCCCCCCTTGTCCTTCCTGCTGCTCCTCTTCTTTTTCTTTCTCAAAAATTCCTTTTTATAATCATCGTCTTTGACTGTGTCACATTTCGACCTACTGACCATGGCTGTCCGCCTTCCTGCTGCACAAACAGTCCCTCACCACCCAGGTTTCTCCCAGCCCGCGTTCTCCCATCCGGGGGTGCCCACTGTATTAGGCCAGACCTCTTTGCCCCAGACGCCTCACAGCACCAATGCCCTTAATAATGGCACCGCTTCGTTTGTCCAACCTCCGGCAATGACTACCGCTAGTGCGTCTAGGCCAGTATTTACAACTCCTACGCGGCCTGCCCACCTCGCCGGCCAGATGCAGGCCCAAACTCCCACACCCTCCCATCTGCAGTCCTCTCCCTCTCCCCACCCGCCTCAGCAGACACAAGCAGCACAGGCCGCGCAGGCCGCCATGGCTGCGCGAGAGAAGGCTCGCGTCACGACTCTGCTGGATATCAATTCTGCTCTGTTGCAGGAAGTTGTAAACCTCCAGTCCGCCGGGAAGACAGGAGGCTCGAACCAACCGGCCAATCCGTCCACTCAGGAACAGTCAGGTGCCCACTCTCCCGCCGACCCAGCGGTCGCGCAGTCTCAAAACTCCGGTCCGCAGGCCGCGAAGCCCGGTGGCAAGTCAACCCAGGAATACGTCGACTGCATGCGGCGCTTACAGGCGAATCTGGCATACCTCGCCACCATCGCTGACCGAGCCAAGAAGTCCGGCGTGGCAGCACCTCTGGCACCTGCCATCATGACTCCACCACCGAGCATGCCCGGTCTGAACGCGATATATGCGCAGTTGAATGAGCTCTTCCCCGAGGCAGCCAAGGCTACGGCGCAGGTACCACCGCAGCCACGTCAAATGCAAGTGCAGAATGTGCCCCACTTGATGCCACAGGCAACCCAGCCGATGCATGGCCCAGAGGGAATGGCACCGGGAGGTATGGGCGTCATGACTGGATGAACACAAAATAGTGCCATGCATGCTCCTGTTCTGTCAAGAATCGTAGTAGCTTTAAAGCAGACGTGTGCCGAAAAGAGCTGTTTCTCCATCTCTAGTTTGGGGAAGTCCGATATATCTGAGAGACCATGGTCCTAGCTTAAACATCCCTGCATGGAAAAGAGGGGGGAAAGAGAAGGAGATAATTATCTACCAATCAATTATGGTGGAAAAAGAAAAAAAAAAAAAAAAAATCAAAGTTTGATATTGCAGAGAAGAGATGACGGAAGGCCTATGTCTGACAGTACAAGCACCAGGTGGCTTGTTTTTGTGTGTTTTGCTCAATCAGGCAATTTTCTTTGGACTCTTCTTTCATCAAGTGGGTCAAAGGTGGTTTGAGTTGCTGATTGTTTTCCGCCATGCTTGTTTCATTACTGATCATTGTTGGAGCGGAAGCTGGCCCCATGAGGAGGACGGTATGAACTTCTGGTTGGGCAGCGGCTATTTAGCCTGAAACAGCGCCCACTGGTCGCGTGTGAGACTGACATATAGCCTACACCTCCGAAACGTTGGACCCTAGGCTGTGCGGCAGGGAGGGCATTGGCCAGGCTGTAGGGTAGCCTGCAAGACCTTGCTGGTCATGATTGTGACCAAAGACTGGGGGAATAGCGATGATGCTGGGATGGTAAATTAACTAACTACACCGGTTGATTGCCTTGTGTGTCCATACATGCACATAATACATAGTACAAATACCACTACCTAGTTATCCATTCTTCCCCTCAAGCGTTCATCTAAATGTACGACTGTCATCACCATCATCATCTTCTTCTTCGTCGTCGTCGTCGTCGTCAAAACTGCCTGTCACGTGGCAGTGCAAACAGGGCAAAGTTTTCCGCATTCGGCGCGACGAGAAAGTTTGATGCGCGAAGCTGGCGGACGAACGAAACGGAAGCAGAATCGCATCTCAGCACCTCGCGACGGCCGTCCTGTCTCTCCCGCCAGCGCCTTGTGAATGCCCAATCTGTTCCGCCTGCAGCTCCAGGAGGCATTCCAAGCTCTGACGCCGTCCTCACCGCTCCCATTCCAACCACCACTGCTGCTGCTGCTGGTGGTGCTACCACCCACCCTCCGCTCAACTTCTCCCGTTTCGAAGCGCCCACACGCGGCTTTGGGCGTGATCTCTCGACGCTCGTTTTCCTTAACGCCAATTTCTCCCTCTGGCCGCATCTTGTCTTCCCTGTTACTGCTACGCCATCCCGGCCCTGGGTCAAGCTGTTTGCCTTCTGTCCCAATTGCTAGAGTCTCTCCCTGCGCCCGGTCCCCTCTACTTCACCACGGGAAACGCAATCAGCCTTACCACCACCACCACCACCAGCAAGCTTATAAATACCCCTCTGCATTCTCTCGTCGATCGTACTTCTCCTCTTCCGCCATGGAGCTCAACGGCTCTCCCCAAAAACCTAAACGCAAACACAGCGGTGACCCTCACTCGTTACCCTCTGCCAAACACCTTCGTCCAGACTCAGCCGCTCCATCCTCACCCAGGATCTCCGGCGATCAGACTCCCGGCGACCTTGCCGTGTACGGATACCGCGACGTGGACTCCGCCGGCGAAGATGCTGCTGCGATGCAAATGAAGCTTCCCGCCGTCCAGACCGATTCCGCGGAGTGGCAGGAGACGATTGAAACCGTCGTGAAGAGCGTTGTGTCCATCCATTTCTGCCAGACTGCGTCCTTCGATACGGATCTGTCCATGTCCAGCCAGGCCACGGGGTTTGTCGTCGATGCGAAGCGTGGATATATCTTGACCAACAGACATGTTGTCTGCGCGGGCCCGTTTTGGGGTTATTGTATTTTTGATAATCATGAAGAGGTACGCTCAGGCTTTTTCTTTTTCCTTTTCCTTATTTTTTTTTCCCCCATACCTCCCTCTATTTGTATTTCAGCTCTTTAGGGCTCTTGGTGGCTAATTACAAATTTCTGCCGAATAGTGTGATGTAACACCCATCTATCGCGATCCTGTTCACGATTTTGGTATCCTCAAGTTCGATCCAAAGGCAATCAAGTACATGCCTCTCACCGAATTGAAGCTACAGCCAGAATCCGCCCGTGTGGGTGTGGAGATCAGAGTTGTGGGAAACGACGCTGGTGAAAAGTTGAGTATTCTCTCCGGTGTGATCAGTCGTCTTGATCGCAACGCCCCGGAGTACGGTGAAGGGTACAGCGATTTCAACACGAACTACATCCAGGCCGCTGCGGCTGCTAGCGGTGGGAGTTCCGGCAGTCCCGTGGTCAACATAGACGGCCATGCGATCGCGCTGCAGGCTGGTGGTCGTGCTGACGGTGCGGCAACTGATTACTTCCTCCCACTCGACCGACCCCTTCGCGCGTTACAGTGTATCCAGAACGGAGAACTTGTCAGTCGCGGAACCATACAGACTCAATGGATCATCAAACCCTTTGACGAATGTCGACGTCTTGGTCTCTCGCCAGAATGGGAGGCTGAAGTCCGCAGAGTAGCCCCGAAAGAAACCGGTATGCTCGTGGCGGAGATCGTACTTCCTGAAGGCCCTGGCGACGGCAAATTACAAGAAGGCGACGTGCTGATCAAGGTCAACGGCGAGCTTCTGACCCAATTTGTCCGGTTAGATGATATCCTGGACTCCAGCGTCGGAGGGGACGTTCATCTGCTGGTGCAGAGAGGCGGCGAGGACCTGGAAGTTACGTGCAAGGTTCAGGATCTTCATGCGATCACTCCGTCACGATATGTTACCGTTGCTGGAGCTACCTTCCACGATCTATCCTACCAGCAAGCGAGATTGTATGCCATCGCGTGCAAAGGTGTCTATGTGTGTGAGGCAGCTGGATCGTTTAAGCTGGAAAGTACATTTTCTGGATGGATCATCGATTCAGTTGATAAAAGACCAACAAGAAATCTAGACGAGTTCATTGAAGTTTTGAAGACTATCCCAGGTATGACCTTCTTTTTCTCAGCATTTAACCTTTCCCCGCTGAGTTACCGGCGTCTGACGGTCGAAAATAGATCGCGCTAGAATTGTTCTTTCCTATCGCCATATCCGAGATCTCCATACCCGTGGAACAAGCATCGTTCATATTGATCGTCACTGGCATCCGCATATGAGACTGGCCCAGAGGAACGACCAAACAGGGCTCTGGGATTTCACAGACCTCGCGGACCCAATTCCTGCCGAACCCCCGGTCCCACGTAAAGCTGATTTCATTCAGCTTGACGGTGTCAGTCACCCTGCCGCTGCTGATATTGTCCGAAGTTTTGTCCGTGTCTCATGCACCATGCCCGTCAAGTTAGACGGGTTTCCACAGGCCAGAAAGACAGGGTTTGGATTAGTGGTTGACGCAGAGAAGGGCTTGGTTGTGATCTCCCGAGCGATTGTCCCGTTTGACCTGTGCGATATCAACATCACCGTCGCCGACTCTATCATCGTGAGCGCCAAGGTTGTCTTTTTGCATCCCTTGCAGAATTACACGATCATTCAGTATGATCCTAGCCTCGTCCAGGCGCCCGTCAAGACCGCTCGCTTGAGCCCAGAATACATCAAACAAGGAGCGGAGACATTGTTTGTGGGGTTCAATCAGAACTTTAGAATCGTGGTTGCGAAGACTGCGGTCACTGATATCACCACTGTTGCTATTCCACCTAATGCGGCGGCTCCTAGATACCGCGCCATCAACTTGGATGCCATCACTGTTGACACTGGACTGAGCAGTCAATGCACCAGTGGTGTTTTGCTAGGAGACGATGGTGTGATTCAGGCTCTGTGGTTGAATTACCTCGGTGAACGTACACAATCCTCCCACAAAGATGTGGAATATCATCTTGGCCTTGCTACGCCGTCTCTGATCCCCGTCATCTCGCAAATCCAGAGTGGTGTCATCCCGCGCCTGCGCATCCTCGATATGGAGACATATGTTATTCAAATGAGCCAGGCACGTGTCATGGGTGTCTCGGAGGAATGGATTGAGAAAGTCGCCAAGGCTAATGCCGCAAGACATGAACTGTTCATGGTTCGAAAGGTGGATTGCGCCTCGCCGTTGTCCGCCGATGTCCGACCGCTAGAAGAGGGAGACATCATCTTAACGTTGAATGATAAGCTGATCACACGTGTGTCCGAATTTGATATGATGTACGACCAGGAGACTCTTGACGCGTTGATTGTGCGAAATGGCGAGGAGATGAAGATCAAGATCAAGACTGTGCCAACAGAGGATCTGGAGACCGACCGGGCGCTGATTTTCTGCGGTGCCGTATTGCAGAATCCGCATCACGCCGTTCGACAGCAGATCAGTAAATTGCACAGCGAAGTCTACGTCAGCGCCAGGGTATTGTTTCCACCCCCATTCCCTCTTCCATATTTTGAATTACTGACCTGTACGTAGTCGCGTGGCTCCCCCGCCTACCAGTATGGCCTCTCTCCAACGAACTTCATCACCGCAGTAAACGGTGTCAAAACCCCCGATCTAGACTCGTTCATCCGAGAAGTCAGCAACATCCCCAACAATACTTACTTCCGCCTCCGAGCCGTGACCTTCGACAATGTGCCCTGGGTCGTGACCATGAAGAAGAATGATCACTACGTATGTCTCCATTCTGTTTTAAGATTGCCCATTCACTAACCTTTCTATTTAGTTCCCCATGTCCGAATACATCAAAGAGCCCTCTGCACCGCTGGGCTGGCGAACTGTCAACTACGATCGCGGCAAGGAACGCCGCGGGACTGGCGACATTGCCAATCTCAACGCTGATGCGATGGACGAAGGCAGGGACGAGGGTGTTAGTGATGTCGAGCCTGACATAGAGTGATTTGAACAGGTCATACATACCTCTGAAGCGCTTGGTGATGTCCCATCACTACCGTGACACTCGTATGATCCTGATGTTTGTACTCTATTTTGTATATCGGAAGTGACTGCAGCAGGCTAGCTAATGGATTGGGAAACGGAATTCGGTTGGGGCGTTTTTTTGGAGACTTTGTATTTCCGGG